GTTTTTGCATGGAAATAGTAAAGAAAGTTTTTTGGAAATTTTTTAGTATATAACCCATGCAGAATCGCATATTATCATTTCGCCATTACGTTAATTTAATTTACGGTTTAATTTACTACATTTTTAGGGTTATTGGGTGAGTGCTATAGCTGCTCGACCTTCATCAACCCACAAAGGGTATTTGCTTGGTGGACTCGTGTGGTTCGCTGTGCCTTTCTCTCTAGCCACCTCATTAGGCCTTGGCGCACTAGCCCTTGACTTGCCTATAACCGCGGATGAGGCTGACCGAGGTCTAGTCCCGCCTGCTACAGCCATTGCTCTCATGGGTAAATCAGGATCATTGCTTCTTCTCACTATGCTTTTCATGTAAGTACACTTTCTCTCGAGGTCATAGCAAAAATATATGGGTAGATGATTCCTCTTTTTTACCCTTTTGATAAGTCCTCTTGCTTTAGAAGCAAGAAATTTTTTATAAGTTGTCTCGATTTCTTCTTACACAAGAAACCTATTTTACATACAAAGACATGATTATTCCAAATCATGAATTTTACGGTCTTTGTCAATCCTCAGGGCTGTTACATCGGCTGGTTCTTCAGAGCTAATCGCGGTCTCGTCTCTTTTCACCTACGACATCTACCGTACATACATAAACCCTAGAGCAACCGGTAAACAAATCTTGAGAATCTCAAGATCCGCGGTTCTTGGATTTGGATGTTTCATGGGGATTCTTGCAGTGATCTTGAACAAAGCCGGGGTTTCACTCGGATGGATGTATCTCGCGATGGGAGTTCTCATTGGCTCTGCGGTCATTCCCATCGCTTTCATGCTCTTGTGGAGTAAAGCCAATGCCTTTGGTGCGATTCTTGGATCGATCACGGGTTGTGTTCTCGGGATCGTTACTTGGTTATCTACGGCAAAGATACAATACGGACGTGTTGATCTTGATACCACTGGCAGAAATGCTCCCATGTTAGCTGGTAACCTCGTGGCGATTCTAACAGGTCAGATTCTAGTAGTTCATTTAGGCATTTCGGTTCGGTGTTTACGTTCTTTGAAGGTGACTCTAACATAGGTTTTGTTTGGTTTGGTCCGTACGTGTAAACATATAGGAGGATTGATCCATGCGGTGTGTAGTCTAATCCGACCACAGAATTACGACTGGTCGACGACAAGGGAGATTAAAGTAGTGGAAGCTGAGGCTTCAGGGGACGATATTGACGTTCCTGCGGAAGAGCTAAGAGAAGAGAAGCTGAGAAGAGCTAAAGCTTGGATTGTGAAATGGGGTCTTGTCTTCACTCTCCTCATTGTTGTCATTTGGCCACTTCTCTCTCTCCCAGCACGTAAGTCTTCCCATACTAATCGAAATATAAAGCAACCGCACATTTTAATATGAACCATATTTTTTTAGTTGTGTTAGATTTTTTCTTTTCAATAATTGGTTACTATAGCTAGTAATTAAGAGCATATACATCATGCAAAAACTAACATTTTAGAAATTTTGCAGGCGTGTTTAGCAGAGGATACTTTTGGTTTTGGGCAATTGTGGCTGTAGCTTGGGGAACTATAGGATCAATTGTGATCATTGGTATGCCATTGTTTGAAAGTTGGGACACGATCAAGAGTGTTTGTATGGGAATGTTCACGAACGATAGGGTAATGAATAAGCTTGATGACTTGAACCATAGGCTTCGAGCTTTAACCATGGCTGTACCAGAAGCTGAGAGGATTTATTTGCTTGAACTTGAGAATACCAAGAAAACTGATGAAGAAAGTTGAAGAAAAATATATCAAAAAGATTGATAATTTAATATCTTTAATTTGTTAAATACATGTGCTTTTGTTTGGATGTCTTTCTTGTTTGTGTGAAATCATATCATTTTGCAAATTATGTTAGATAAGTGTTTGTATAAACAGACGGTGAAAATAATGAAGATAATGCATTTGGCTTTACTTCGAGTCTTCGAGTGTGGTTAAGCAGTATGGATTTTGGTTATTCATTTCGGTTTGACCTGATTCGATTTCGCAACGGGTTTAACTTACACGGTTCGGTTTTCGGTAAATTCAACTCGGTTTGATTTCGCATACCAAATAGGCCTAGGCCCAATAAACCGTCATTTGGATAAAATAACCCGACCCGGAATCGTAACCGGGTCAATTACTCGGGTGTTTCTTTCTTCTTCCAAAGGTGTTTTTGTTTTATCAAATCCACATTTCCCCAATTTTCAGTTCTCTCTCGTCTTCTTCTTAGCTTCGCTTCAGCCATGGGAACCCTATCTCTCTCATCTTCGCTCAAACCTTCACTCGTTTCATCAAGACTCAATTCATCTTCATCTGCGTCTTCTTCTTCTTTCCCTAAACCAAACAGTCTCTACCTCAAACCCACCAAACTCGTTTCACCACCTCTCCGAACAACTTCTCCGTCGCCTTTGAGATTCGCCAATGCTTCTTCAATCGAGATGTCTCAGACACAGGAATCAGCTATTCGCGGAGCTGAATCTGACGTCATGGGTCTTCTCCTTAGGGAACGAATCGTCTTCCTCGGTAGCAGTATCGACGATTTCGTAGCTGATGCTATCATGAGTCAGTTGCTGCTTTTAGATGCTAAAGATCCTAAGAAAGATATCAAACTCTTTATCAATTCTCCTGGTGGTTCCCTCAGGTTAAAATCTTGATTTCGTTTTCGCATTTGGGTTTCTGCGTTAATGGCGAAAGTTTCAGTCTTTTGCAACTTAGGTTTTGATTTTAGGGTTTTAGTTGGTATTGTATAGTAATTTTAAGTTATGCGAAAGTTTTAGTATAATAGGCAATTGAAGTGTCTCCTCAGCTAATTTGATAAGAGCAATTTGATAGATTTGCTGTGCGGAAGTTACTTTTCAGTTCAATGGAGGTGTCTTCTCAGCTAGTTTGCTAAGAACTTCGTGATGAATTTGCTGCAGAAGTTAATTCTCAGCTAAGTTTTAGTTCAAGTGAAGTGAGTCTGAGTCCTCAACTAATTTACTATGTAAGCGATGAAAATATTCACTGAAGTCTCTCCTCAGCTAGTTTACTACTGTTAGTTGTGGTTGATTTATTACATTTTTGAAAGTTAATATTTTCTCTGTGGATTTGAGAGTGATATCAGTAATCATGTTAACTTGTTTGTAGTAATGTTGATTGGGTTTAGTTTTTGGCTCAGATGATCGAACTTAATGTTCTTTTTGTTTGTTTGGTTAGTGCAACCATGGCTATATACGATGTGGTTCAACTTGTGAGAGCTGATGTTTCAACGATTGCTCTTGGAATTGCTGCATCAACAGCTTCGATTATTCTTGGTGCGGGAACTAAAGGCAAGCGTTTTGCTATGCCCAACACGAGGATAATGATTCATCAACCTCTTGGAGGTGCGAGTGGTCAAGCTATAGATGTTGAGATCCAAGCTAAGGAAGTTATGCATAACAAGAACAATGTCACCAGCATTATCGCGGGATGTACCAGCCGATCGTTTGAGCAGGTTCTGAAAGATATTGATAGAGACCGGTACATGTCTCCAATTGAAGCGGTTGAGTATGGTTTAATAGATGGAGTCATCGATGGAGACAGCATTATTCCTCTCGAACCCGTTCCTGATAGAGTGAAACCAAGAGTAAATTACGAGGAAATTAGCAAGGACCCGATGAAATTCTTGACTCCCGAGATTCCTGATGACGAGATTTACTAAAGCCAAGCTCATCTAGAATCAGGTAACTGATCATATTGATATAACTACGTTCTTGTTATTGTTTAGCCATGGATTCTTCATCTTTTGCTATGTAGTGGTGAAATAACAAATTGACCTAAGTGATAATAGGCTGATCAGGATGTCAAAAAGAAAATTAGAGATCATAGGCTGGTCAGTTCAAAGCACATAGAGGGATACTCCAATATCGTAGGACAAAAATTGTATAATGTTTGAATTTTCATTGTCAGATGAATAGACATCTAAAACCAGTAAGAAAGAGTATTCTGATTTTAAAGAGTAATCTGAAATTTCTTTCTCATTTATCTCCAGGGATCTTCCAATGTGACTCAGACTGGTGGTTTCGAGGACAAAGCTCGATTACTTCTGCGGTTACTGGTGATTGGCTTTGCGAAACCAAAGCTGGTATTACTTACATTTTGTAATCTCAAATTTCACTTGTTCAGAAAATAATTGTTTTTTAAATCACTCTGTTTTGAGCAAAAAGACTTATAAAGATGTTAGTAGATTTCATTTGTGACAATCACTATTCAAGTGTTCTATGGTTTCAAGAACTTTTATAAAATTAGACATACAAGTTGTATGATACAACCATAAACGTTTTTTTTTCTTTCAAAAATATACATTATCGGGATACATTGGAGAGGATAAAATGTTTTAGCGCAAACAACTAGTGTATGTTAAGTTATTTCATGTGAGAAGTATCAGTGATTCAGTGTACAGTTTGTTTCTTCTTCTTTTTATGGATTCAAAGTTTGTAAAAGGCTGTATCAATTGTTTGATTTGGGCCCTAATATGGGCCTTAGTCCTTTTCGATTTTTTGGAGCTTAAAATGAAACTTCTTTTTTTATAAAAAAATTTATAAGGTTTAGAGCTTAAATCGGCGAATCGTGGGCCACCAAGTATTCCACGTCAGCAGTTTAAGAATGAAGCTTGTACAGTAAGCTTAATGTTAATTAATTCCGGGATTAATGATTTATACTTAATTGTGATCATTAATTTGGGATTATTTCATCACTTACCCCTAGCTCTCATTTCATCACTATCTCTTCTCTAATTAGTAGACCCTCCTAAATCATTATCACTTTGTACATGTAAATTAGAAATCTGCATATAATTTTGAAAATAATCAAATATAATTGCGAAGTCAGATTTTAATTCTGGGGGGTATTATGTAGTTTTGGGGCGTACTTGTAATCTACGTAAACTCTAAGACCCGATATATTAATGGTCCAAAACTCACGAAAACGTTCTAGTTTTTCCCTCTCAAAAGCTCACCACCTTATTACCACTTTAGGGTTCAATCATTAAAAAACCCCTAATTCAATTATTCATCATCCTCCCTTCTCTTTAGGTTTCTGTAAAAATTCAATTCAATCACATTCATATATCTTCTCTCATCTTCTCGAATTCTGGATCAAACCCATTTCCCCTCCTCGAATCGAGTTTCTCCGCATTGCGAAATCGAGGTTTCGTTTCGTCGGTGAAAACGATGGCGGTGGATTTGACGACGGGAGCTATAAATAAGATGTTAAATGGAGAAGTGGCAAGTGAGGCTGATATGACGCCAGTGCTACAAGTGACAGAGTTGAAGTTGATTCAGAGCAAGCGTCCGAATCAGGAAGCCATAAATCGATACAAGGTTTCTTTATCCGATGGGATCCTCTCGCAACAAGGCATGCTTGGTACTTCCTTGAACGTTCTCGTGACTTCAGGAAATATCCAATTGGGTTCCATTTTGAGAGTCACTCAGTTCGTCTGTAATCTCATCCAGAATCGAAGGTGAGTAATAACATTGCAATCTCTTCTCAAATCCATGATTGTAAGAAAAAAAAAAAAATGAATCTTTGTTTAATGTTGTGCTGATGAACAGGATTGTTATTATTTCGAATTTGGAGATTATTGTGGAGAAATGCAATATAATTGGAGGAACTCATGTACAAGCTGGGATGCCTAATGAACCTGGTCAACAACTTGGTGGTGGGGCGGGTTATGTAAATACTCAAAGCAATGGTGGTTATGAGCAGCAACAAGCAAGAAGGACTGATTTGAATGGTGGGAGGTATGGTGTATCTGCTAATTCACCTCAACCTCAAGTTGTTGTTCATAACAGTTCTGACGCTGGAAGATATGGTGTATCTGCTAATTTACCTCAGCCTCAAGTTGTTCATAACAATCCTGATGCTGGGAGATATGGTGTATCGGCTAATTTACCTCAGCCTCGTGTTGTTCATAACACTTCTGACGCTGGGAGATATGGTGTACCGGCTACTTCACCTCAGCCTCAAGTTAGTCAAAGATATGGTACTGGTTCTGGTTATCCGGAAACATCACCTTCCATCAGACCATATGGGAGTGCAATTGCAGGTTATGGAGGATCTGGGTTGGAGCAAGCTCGGGCACCTGCAACAACTGCTTATTCCCGTCCAGTTCAATCGGCTTATCAGCCACAATCACCACCGATGTATGTCAACAGGGGACCTGTGGCTAGGAACGAAGCACCCCCGAGGATAACTCCGGTTGCTGCTCTTAATCCTTACCAGGGTCGGTGGACTATCAGGGTCAGGGTCACGTGTAAGGGAGAACTGAGGCGTTTTAGTAATCCGCGTGGGGAAGGCAAATTATTCAATTTTGATCTCCTTGACTCTGATGGTGGGGAAATAAGAGTGACTTGTTTTAATGATGTGGTTGATAAATTCTTTGACCAGATTGTAGTGGGTAATGTTTATTTGATTTCAAGGGGAAGTTTGAGACCTGCTCAGAAGAACTATAATCATCTTCACAATGATTATGAAATACATTTAGACTCTGCATCGACGATACAGCAATGCCAGGATGATGCTACCATTCCACGCTATCAGTTCCATTTCCGTAACATAGGTGATATTGAAAACATGGAGAGCAACAGCATCACTGATCTAATTGGTATCGTTTCGTCCATCAGTCCGACAGGAAGCATTATGCGGAAAACCGGAACTGAGGTCCAGAAAAGGGCACTTCAGTTAAAGGATATGTCAGGCCGAAGTGTCGAGCTTACCATGTGGGGTAATTTCTGCAATGCAGAAGGACAGAAATTACAAAATCTTTGTGACTCTGGGGTATTCCCGGTTCTTGCTGTGAAGGCAGGCAGGATCAGTGAATTCAACGGGAAGCAAGTGAGCACCATTGGATCAAGTCAATTCTTCATAGAGCCAGATTTCCCTGAGGCCAGAGAATTAAAAGACTGGTATGAGAGAGAAGGAAAAAACGCTCATTTTACCTCCATATCGAGAGAGTTTATTGGTGCTGGCAGACAAGAAGTTCGCAAGGTAATTACTCAGATCAAGGACGAGAAGCTAGGAACCTCAGAGAAGCCGGACTGGATCACAGTCTGTGCCACCATCTCATTCATGAAGGTTGAAAATTTCTGCTACACAGCTTGTCCTAATATGAATGGAGATCGCCCATGCAGCAAAAAAGTCACTAATAATGGAGATGGGACATGGCGTTGTGAGAAGTGTGACAAATGTGTGGATGAATGTGACTACAGGTATATATTGCAGATCCAGTTACAGGACCATACTGGTCTAACCTGGGCCACAGCATTCCAGGAAGCTGGTGAGGAGATAATGGGAATATCTGCCAAAGATTTGTATTATGTGAAGTATGAACATCAGGAGGAGGAGAAATTCGAAGACATCATCCGTAGTGTTACTTTCTCCAAGTATATCTTCAAGCTGAAGATTAAAGAAGAAACTTATAGCGACGAGCAACGGGTTAAAGCAACTGTTGTGAGAGCTGAAAAGCTTACCTATTCTTCAGATACCAGGTTCATGCTAGAGGCAATGGATAAACTCAGGACAGGAGATGCAAATTCTCTCCCTGTAAAGACAGAGAGTTCCAACTACAGGTCTGATGCATTCAACTCCGGTATTGGAACATCAGGAATTGGAGAGACCGCATCAGTGGACGCACGCAGAGAATTCGAATTACCTGCAGCAAACCAAGTGGGTCAATATGGAAATCAGTATAGTAGTGGTGCAAGGCCTGTCAGTGGTATGATTAGCTGTAACGCTTGTGGTAGCAATGGCCATGTTTCTGCAAACTGCCCGAGCCTTATGAGCGAGCCACAAGGAGAATACACACAGGGAAGATACACAGGAGGTGGCATGCCAAGGCAACATGTTGGCGGCTACTGAAAACCTCAAGTGACTATTTCACATCATGATCATCATCATTAGCAGCATATTCATTAGGATACAAACAAAGGTTCGAGGGTCAGAGGCTGTTTTGACCGTTTAAGTTTAATCATTTACATTAGATGTCTCAATTCCGTTTTTGTGGGTCTTTTTTTTATAATAATTTTATTTGTTTTCCAATTGATCTTTTGTGTTTTTGTTTTCTTTGTGTAAATCTCTTTTATAAGGTAACGTTCTTTTGATCAAATCATATTCAAATAAAGTCGATAACTTTCTTTTTAGTGTTTACAAAAGAGGCTACTGAGGGAATTATTAACCTTTTATTTAGACCCATATATAGGGATAAAACGACACCATTGTTTTGGCTTACACAATTCACTGAATTACAAAAACTATCCCCCCGCACACAAATATCCAATCTCACATAGTCGTCTGTAGTTTTTGAAATCAATAAGACCAATCTCTCAATAACAGAGTCCAGTTGATTTAGCAGATTCTCCAACATTTACATTGTAATAAACCTCCTTCACTCCCTCTCCTGTACCACAATGTCCCCCAGCAGAAAAGCCTGAGTCGCTAGGGCTCTGGGTGTATCCAGAAGCCGCAGTAACAGTGGCAGTTTCAGCGACTGTTTTCTCAGCTACCGCTCTAAGACGGTATCGTTCAGCTCTTGACCCAATCACTTGTCCCAAGATTGAAGCTCCAATGGTCAAAGCCATGGCTGTTTTTGGCATCAGCACAGATTTCCTGAGCATTGCTATAAAGGGCACAGCAGCATGGATCGCCACAAACCATGAAGGAGAAAATTTCTTTGTGTGTTCTCTCCATACACCAAGAGGCACATTTGCAGCCATTCCCATGAGAGCAATTGCAAGCATCTTTTCAGGTAAAGGCTGAGGGCGAAGACTTTTAACCAAAGCAGTCTTCGAAAGTGCTGCTCTTGCAGCTACTATAGGAGCTGGACATCTATATTTCATACCAGATGGTGGCTTTAATGCTTTAGCTACAAGAGGCATGACTTTGCTTGCAGCTCTAAATGATTTTGCGATAGGACAGTTCCCGGTTTTTAACCATTCGTCTCCAACTGCCTCATGTTTCGACGAGTCCCCAGACTACAAAAAGCACGCAAGCAAGCAAAAAAAATAAATATCAGAAACACTAAATCCTTATAAATTCTCAAGTGCTTTTTCAGTGTATGGAATCTACCTGTTGGTTTTTGGAAGGTTTTGGTTTCTTCTGTTGTTTCTTCCATTTATCTGAGAAAGGACCAAAGCCAAAAGGCCCTCCAGGACCAAAAGCTGATAGGCTTATAGTAGCTACCTTTCCCGCAAGTGGATTGAATTGCAGAGGAGCACAACGAGCCTCCTCTTGTTCAGTATCATCCCCGAAACTCGAATATCCAGAAAGCGGCACAAGACCATCTTTTCCATGGAAGAGCTTGAACGCTGAATCAAAACCAGGACCATCTTCAAAAATCGGACCTTTACCTCCTTGCACCTGTCCAAGAAAACATAAAACGTCATCACCAGTTGACCAGCATGAAAAAATCAAAGTCTTTAATTACTACGAAAGGTAAGAAATTTCCTTACCGGAATTGGAAAACTCAAGGAGGAGAAGGACAAATTGGTCGGCTTGTTGATGTTTCTCAGGAAAGGGCATTTCTGGATCATGCTTTCAGCAACAAAGGGACATTGTGAAGATTCTTGATCCATTGAAATATCCTTTTTTTAGCTGAGCAAATAAGCCTGAGACATTCAAAATGGATTTAAAAAAAAAATTTGATGATCAAACGAACAAAATCTTCTAATACTGATTAAAAAAGAAACAAATCCAGAACGAGATCAAAGAAAAAAACTCGAAATCGGCATTCGAATCAAAGCTAAGGCTAGCTTTGAGTTCAAATGTTTGGGCAAAAAAACAAAAACCCAAAATCAAAATTAACCTACTATGAATCAAATTCCACCATGGAAACCCTAAAATCGAATGGAAATTAACAATTCTGCAAAATTTTCGGATTAGAAAATGAGTAGAACATATGCATCGCGCGATCTATTTTGCTCTAGATTCAAAAAAAAAAGGAATCATGTGAAACATAGAGAAGAGATTTGATTCGAACAGAGGAGAAAATTATAAACGAATCGATACGAAGAATTAAAAAATCGAAGAGAGAATCACCTGAGAGTTTTCGCCGGAAAATGAATTTGCAGAGTAGCTGAAGATTTTTTTTTGGGACGAAACGTGTGGTGAACACAGACGTGTTTACGAGTTTGTATTGTATCCGGGAGAGTTACCGGTTGAGTCGGTATAATCGTGAAGTTATTTGGGAAGCTCTTTATTTGAAGAACCGGTGATTGCCGGTTAAGTTGACTCTGTAATAAAGTGTATGCAGCACGTGGTTGTATTCGGTGGGGAAGAAACCAAACCACGAAGACTATTTTGGTGCTGGAGAGATGGATCTCTTGCCGTGTATCGTTACGAATTATATGATCCAACGGTCGAGATTTAAAGAGGAAGATGCTTGAGTGGTTTGTGTTTTGATGATGGAGACTTGTAAAAGGTGTGTATATATATATATACATGTATTTTTTTTATACAGGTTTATCTTTGTAATCCAAATCCTTCCTAATTACAATTTGACAAAACAAAAAAAGTTATAATTTGATTATATCATTTTTTATACTTTTTTTACAAATTGATTCATATTAATTTATAAATGAATATTCTCCTTTACTTGTTAGGACTTATGATTGCTATCCGTAGACTTTAAATTGATTATATGAATATTCTTGTGTGGATTTAGAGTATTTGTAGTTTTATATATTTTTCCTAATAAAATAGGTAATCTTTAGGATAAGGATACACAGATGCCCAAATTATGTAATTCTTATTATAGCTTGGAAGTAAAAAAGAACCTCATAAATCTATGTTAATTTCATCTTTACTATATTAAGATGCTCTCTTGTCTGTCTCTAAAGAAAGAAACTTCCTGCATAACTCTTGCTTACTTCTTGATCCTGTGGTACACTCAAGCAGCAACAACAAAATTGTTCTTCCCCTCCTGGTATTTGCCCTAATCCGAAAAGATGTCCCTGCATTATCGGTTCATGTCACTATGTCAGTAAGAAAGATTGTGACTACATATATTTACTTTTGAAGACTGTTTTGACTTTGATTCTGTGGATCCACCTTGTGAGTATAGCTCTATTTCTACCAGCTATACTATACTAGGGATTAAACATCTTGAACCGAAAACAATTATAAACCTAAACCAGTTCCATAGCAAGTTAATGTCAAGCTAAACATATCAAAATTTAACCAATAACTAGCGGAAGTAAAAGATAGCCAAGAAGCTGCAGGAAACTAGGACACAGCTTTCACAAAACTGGGATAAAGTTTGACATGACATATGAGAAACATGGAAAAAATGCCTGCAGTAAACAACCACTTTAAGAACATGAGCCTGGAGGACCCAATAAGTACGTTCACAAGTGTTTCTATGACTACTCGGCTGTTACTGTTATGTAAAGAGATCTAAATTTTATATCATCTATAACGTTAAGCGACCTATTTGATAGCAAGAAAAAAAAAAAAAACTAGTAGATGTAAAGGAAAGCCAAAAAAACTTCTGGAAAATAACACACACACACACCTTCTATGAAAACCAATGGGGTTTGACATATGTATGAGAAACATAGAAAACAAAGTGCCTTAAGGAATTTTTACCATTTATCAATCATATAACCCAATCATGGATAAAAAAGCGAGCAATCACAGCATCTCAAAGCACTTTACCAAGTAAGAGAGATAACCATAAAATGCCTATATTTCTATCTCTAAAGATTGAATCTTACATAACAGAGGATTCCAAAGTTGAATACAATGTTATTGGAGGTTGAAATGATACTATTATTAAGCCTAACAATAAATTTCTACAATGATAGACATCACTAACCGGAAAAAAAAAACAACTATGAACCTAAACCAGTTCCATACTATGTTCATGCCTTTTCTCCCTTAGCCAAACCCCTATTGGTATAATTCTTTTCAAAGCATTACATTCCATTCTAAACTTTGACCAGAAATTAACAGATCTAAAGGCAAGCCAGGAAACCATAGAAAAATAGCGCACACAACTTTTCATGAAAACCAATGGGGTCTTCTTAGCAACCGTAAATCATATAACCAGTGGATCAAAAAGCAAGCGACCATAACCAGGCAGACCAGTAAATATATACCTATAATGTTATGCGACCTAAGTCATAAGTGACAATATGTTATGAGCATTGTCATCAAGTTGATCTCTCCAGATTAAACATTAACAACTTGCACGTAACTCACACTAATGGAGATATCACTAAGCATAGGAAAATTATACAGCAACAATGTAACAATTATATGCTCTTATGCTTCATATTGTCTCATAGTAAAGAGTAAAGCTTATTCTATCAAAGACTCTGGTTAATCAAATACCTCATTGGCTTCTCACCCTAGCTAATTGGCTGGAGTTTTTGAGCTTCTAAACCCTTTTTTAAGCTCAGTAACTCTCTTCATACAAGCTGCCTTCGACTTCCCAGGCACTGCAGCTGTAATCTTCTCCCATCTCATAGCTGCCTCCTTAGGAAAAGCTTTCAGAGCATTCAACAGTGCAATGTCTTCTCCATTACTCCAAGTCTCCTTCTTAGCTTCATCATCTCCACCAGCTCCAGAATCTTCAGCGTTTTCTTCAACCAATCTAGGATCCGAAGCTTTCCTATTCTTCAGAAACTGCGCATAATCATCACTCTCATATATTTTCTTCTCTCCAATCTCTTTGGCTTTCTTAATCACATTCTCAGTCTTGTACCTTCCTCCGAACGCTGAAGCAACCACTTCCCATCTCCCAGGCTTACCAGCTGGATGCTTAATCAACTGCTTCTTCAAAACCTCGATATCTTCTTCACTCCAATCTTTGGTTCCATTTACAGATCCACTCTCCTTAGACTGCGGAGTCGCCACTTTTCTCGAAACATCCGTCACTGAAGAATGATTCTCCGGAGGAATGTCCTGCTTCGTCGTACCTTTAGATCGCTTATTCATAGATTTCCTCCTCGATTCACGTTCGTTATCCGTCGATGACTCATCTTGGATCTGCTCCGGCTCCAAGATCTGACCATAGCCGACGCGAATCTTACCTCCGGTGAGCGAACTAGGAGCGAAAGGACCGACGAGGAAAGAGATGGCAAGCCATAAGAGAAGCGATTTGGCAGGCTCGGATTCGAAATAGAAGAAGGAGAGAGACAGAATGATGAGAGAAACAGTGACGGAGATTGAGATAAAGATCTTTTTAGGTATTTTAGGTTCTTCTTCTTCCTCCGTCGTGAGAGAAGAGGAAGGACGAGATTGCAAGACGAATCTAGGCCTGTCTTCGTCGTAAAACTCCATTGTTGCTCCGTACTGTTAGAAAGAAACCTGAAACAAAATGAAATTTTATAAAATGCATACCAAAAAAATAAAATTAATAAATATCGGAAATAAATGAGTTTAATTTGGGCTTTTGGGCTACTGTAAAGTCCATTTAAGATTCTAAGATTTTTTGGGTATTGTCAAGCCCATATATTAACATTTAAATATGGCAGGAAGAATAGTACGTTTTTGTTTTGTTTCAAAGTGAACGCACAACAGAACCTTAATTAATTAAATTTTAGTGGAAAGGATGTGCCACTAATCATGCTCTCGAGCCTTCTGTTCAACTACGCAGCAATTGCAGAGAAATCACACGTTTGTGAACTTAAATTTAATAACGTCAATTTATATTTATATTGATTGGTTTATATTAAAGATTATTATATAAAATTATAATATTGCTGACCAAAAGAAGAAAAATGGAAATAATAGGAGCCAGGAAAAAGGAAAAGAAACATTACGAAAAATAAATAAAACTTGTACGAAAAGTCAAGGCAAGTATTTATCTACTGTTACAACTTATGATGGAAAGCTGAGGATAAGTAAAGACTAGAGAGACGCGGTCATTTAGAAGATTAAAATAAACGATAAGAATCGTGAAATCTTACGGTTCAGATTGGAGATGACGTCATTAACAAATAAATCCACGGTTTCTTTGTGAGTAAAACACTTTAGACCGAGATGTAGGAGATTGTAACTTAGCACTAACAAAACACGATTGCTGAATAATATATTCCTTATTAGCTGAGATATTATAAAAGTAGGGTTTTTATATTTTCTTGTTTATTATCCACGAGAACCACACAAATACGCGGCAAAGAGAGAGAAAGAGAAGAGAAGAGAGAGAGAGAGAGAGAAGAGAGCGGTGGAGTTGATAAGGGAGAAGCTCTGGATACAGTCTCTTCCCGTCGTCGGAGACGGACTTTATGCCTATTGGCTTTTGAGGTAGTCATATCGATATCGCCGTGTTTTGTTTCTCGTGGTTTGACTGATGCGATTTCTGATTCTCTTCTCAGTTCTATTGTTTTGCGCTCTGTCAGATTGGTTTTGATTTGCTTTTGTGTATTGTTGTCGTATGATTGAAGTCGCGTTTCTGAGATCTTGTGAAGTCGGATTTGAACGTATACGGATTGTTTTCTTTTAGATTTGATTTTTTAGGGTTAACACTTTTTGTGGGTTTTTGTTATGTTCTCGTGTTGGATTGTGGATTTCTTTGTTCATTCAGATCTGTGATAAAATTTGGTGGTGTACTCGCAGTTAAGACATTGCGGAAATTTCTTAGATATCATGAGTTGTGGTTTACTCTGTACTTATTGATTGAATTTGGTTGCTTAGGGTTTCATGTTGCTTTATGGCTTTTGCTAGTATTGCTTGGAGTCTATAAGAACTGGATTTCATTGTCAATCTGTCTTGTGTAGGACAAAAGGACAAAATTATTTGTATAATATATTGAATGGCCTTTCTTGCTTATTGGATTGTTATTATTCCTTTTGTATTATGTGCATAGCTCGTTGCACTTATAATGTTGTTTTTTACTGTTTCTGTTGTGCTCATTACCAGGTTATATTAAGCTTCGTTTTTAGTGGATTTTCTTCTTTTGAGATATGGAACAAGACTACATCTGCTCAGGCTGCTACCAGTATCGGGTTTTTTCATTGCAAGAAGCACTCGATTGGCGGTTTCTTGCTCGCGCAGATTTCCTTATTTGCTCTTTCGTGAACTGCACTTAGTGGTCAGGCCTTCTGCGATCTTTACGGAAGGTGTGATGCAAATTTCTGATTCAGGTATGTTTTTTTTGGATAAAGCCGTTGACACAATATTCAACGATAGATGAATTTTCTTGAGTATACAAATTTTCTTTATAAATTCTGAAATATTTGAAGTTACCTAGCGGTGTGGTAAAAGTATTTATTTTCCTTATCTCAATAAGAGATTTATCAGATTTCCTTAAGATTTTTTTGTAGTATGAATACAAAATAAGTAAATTTTGAAAAAGGAAAATAACTTTATCAAGAATTTAGGAAAACTCAAAAAGAGGTATAGATGATGAGAGTTCAAAAAGTACATCAAATACTCATACTTATAGTACTTTTGAATTCTCTTTTACTGTCGTATTTGTTGGCAATTGGAACATGATATTTGTATGATATCTTTGATTTCTGCAGGGCTGATGTTTGCAAGTTATCCTACCTTCACATAGTCCTTGAGTGTCATCTAAATCTGTTCCCTGTGGTCAAAAACTAATTAGTCCATCGTCCATACCTTGTTCTTATTAGAGCTGGTTAAAGAAGGATGATCATTTCGTAGCTGTGTCTTTTTCTTGAGTCTCTGAACCCCTTGAGTGAAATGTTGTGAGGATTGGTTTCGTCCTGTTACCCAGAACATTACATTTTCTTGGTGCGTCTTCCAGTCTCAGTATGTTCTGTCTTTTTCTCTTAGTGTCTTTCTTTTTCCTTGATGGTCAACCCATTGATAGTCAAAGTAAATAACGGTCGGTCTACCTTGCGGGAGAGTCATTGTTCGTGCTGCCATACGAACATCTGGAGATTATAGTTATAGCCATATCATAAGTTCTCCACAGATAAATATTGGTGGATACTTTGCTTTACCTAGAGGCAATGGAGAGGTAGGTTTGACTTCTCTTATTTCTTTTTCTTAGTCTTTAGCTTCCATCAGCTCGATCAATAGTTTGTGTTTACTTCTCTATGACTTTTGCAATTGTAGGTATACTTTACTCAAAGAAGTCGGTGATGGAACTTTTGGGAATGTTTGGCGAGCAGTCAGTAAACAGACGGGTGAAGTTGTAAGTTTCTCCATTGAGAGGTAAAGACTTGTTTAATGTGTTCTTGTTTCTAGGGTACTGAAGTTTTCTATGGACAGGTGGCAATTAAAAGAATGAAAAAGAAGTATTTCTCTTGGGAAGAATGTGTCAATCTAAGAGAAGTGAAGGTACTGTATCTCCTTCAGTGAAATGTTTGCAGTCTTCTCTTCTGTATTGTTTGCTGATTCCTCGCTTTTCTCATTTTAGTCGCTTAGCAGAATGAATCATCCAAACATTGTGAAGCTGAAGGAAGTCATCCGGGAAAATGATATCCTATACTTTGTGTTTGAGTACATGGTATACTTCTTACTGCTTTTTGTTTAATCTTATTGGCAACACATCTACTTTTTCGTTGCTCTAATTTCGTTTCCCTTTCTTATCTATCAGGAGTGCAATCTTTACCAGCTTATGAAGGATCGCCCTAAGCCTTTTGCAGAATCTGATATCCGAAATTGGTGCTTTCAAGTCTTCCAAGGCCTTTCTTATATGCATCAGCGTGGATACTTCCACCGTGATCTTAAGCCAGGTAATAGCCTTGAGTTGCCAATCAACATCAGCACATGTGCCTTGGAAATTTGTATCAGTTGCAGGGTTTTTCATCACATTCAGTTTTCACTAGTCTGTCACTGAAACATTTTGTAAATTTATTTCCTGACACAGAAAATCTATTGGTCACGAAAGATGTCATTAAGATTGCTGATCTTGGCCTGGCTCGGGAGATCAACTCGAGTCCACCTTACACAGAATATGTCTCTACACGCTGGTAAGATTTACACCCCTGATTGTTCTGTTTTTATACTTTAGAATATCAATATAGATTTAGTTCAGTGATCCATATGCTCTGAGCAATCACATATGTGTCGATTTGTGCCATACCCCTTCCTTATTCACCCTAATTCTGTTCCAAATTTCCCACAGGTACAGAGCGCCTGAAGTACTGCTACAGTCATATGTATACACATCAAAAGTTGGTTAGTCTTCCCAATATACCAATAACAAAAGTTTCTTTTCAATATAGTGCAGTGCGGTGCTTAACAATGGGGAAATTTAATTGTGTTTCAGATATGTGGGCGATGGGTGCTATTATGGCGGAGCTGTTGTCTCTTCGCCCTCTTTTTCCTGGAGCTAGGTATTGTCGATGATTGATTGAATTTTTCCTGATTGAACAATGTTGCAGATTTGAATGCTAAACCACTGAGTGTCACCTTTTTATTGTATGCAGTGAAGCAGATGAGATATATAAAATCTGCAGTGTCATAGGTAGCCCAACTGAAGAGACATGGTTGGAAGGGCTGAATCTTGCCAGCGTTATCAATTACCAATTCCCTCAGGTATTTTTTGTTTTATCTTTAACATATCTATGAAAGAAAGCGTCATTGATTATTTGATTTGATATTAAGGTTACTGGTAATGATATGCTTGTTTGTCTTGCAGCTTCCCGGTGTACACCTATCAAGTCTGATGCCATATGCTAGTGCAGATGCGGTTAACCTCATTGAGCGCCTTTGCTCGTGGGATCCCTGCAATAGACCGACTACTGCAGAGGCTCTGCAGCATCCATTCTTCCAGAGTTGCTACTATGTCCCCCCATCTCTGCGTCCCAAGCTGTCTGTACCGAGAGAGTCTCCCGAGCTTCAGCAATCCGTGAAGCAGTTACCAGCGTCCCTGACTTATACTGCTAATAAGCCGCTGAACACTTACATTGCTCCAAAGACGAATGCTCCTTTCAGTAATGGTGTCAACAGTTATGTTGCTCCACGGACAGATGTTCCTTTTAGCAATGGTCTCAACAGTTATGTTGCTCCAAAGACGAATGCTCCTTTTGGCAATGGTGTCAACAGTTATGTTTCTCCAAAGACGAATGCTGCATATGATAATGGTGCAACCCAGTGGAAGGTGGATACGACTAATAATAATAACCAGAACACAGCATGGAACAACAAACCTGTGAGGAGTTATAATGTTAAAGATGCGAAGTATAGACCACCTGGAAGGAAGATTCGTAAGTAAAAATCACATCTTTTTTTTCCTTTCAGAAATCTTGTTTTATCATATAAATGAATGACGAACTGAAATGATGCAGTACCAGTATCTATGGACAAGAATTCGGTCTTTTCTCGTGGAGCATCGGAGACTGCAAAAGCAACTACTGAAGCGAGATGGACTCAAAGTCGTAAACAACAACCAGCAATGAAGGCAGGGTGGGTGGGAGAGAGTGGTGACATGTTCCTCCGGCCAACACAGCCTTCAAATCCCTACTCTAGGAAAATCGCTGGTTAAGCCCAAAGACACTTTAACTTATGACTCAAATAAGTTACGAACCATCACCATCTCCGTCATCACCATCATCATTTTGCTTCTAATTATCATCATCTACCCCCGAGAGTCCAAGTTATCTGAAGACTACTTGTGTTGATTTCCCTCTTTTGTGTTTCGTTCTTCTAAAGCTATCTTGTTTGTTCGACAGATCTTCCGTCTTCATGACGTGACTACTGTGTTTGGAGTATTACTTTCAATTTGCAATAAAAGCTACACAATTCTCGATGATCTGGATCCAGTTGATTAATATATATTTGGTTTTGGATTTTGTTTCCAAGTGTTGTGAAAGATTCGTCATCTACCATTTATGTTTGCTTGTTTGAGTGATTCCAAGTGTTGTTTGTGAACATGTGAATAAGGAGTTCCGGAGTGTATACGTTTTGCGTATCCTGCTATACTTCGTTGTTTCTTGAGTGGTTAATCTTAAGTACATAATACATGAAGTCACTTATCTTTCACCGTCTCTCCTGTCAGTTTTCCAGCTTCCTGCCTATTTCTCTATGAATGGAGTGGGAACATAGAATATTCAACTCCTGCCTATTTTCAGCTTATTCTACTGTTCTCTATGAATGGAGTGGAACATAGAATATAATGATAGAATATTCAACTCCTAGACCCTTTAATATCCTCTTCTTCAACGCAGATATCTTATCCTTTGTTTAGTCACTTTGCTATGCTTAATGCTTATCAGTACATAATGGAATGGACTGAACAAAAACCAGACTGAGTTCTATGTATAGAGTGGTGAACATTTTGGAGCATACAAAAGATCGAAATGATAGTGATTTGTGAGGAGAGGGTGTTAGAAAGAATAGTAAGGGTTTTGGCTAAACTAAGCATATGAGGATTGTGAGGAGAAGGTGTGAGAAAGGGTTTTGGCTCAACCAAGCATCTTGTTTCTGATCAGATGTGCCTGAGACGCAGAGATCAATTCAAGAGCATATTACCAAAGTGCCAGCAAGGAAAAGAAAAATAAATACACAGGCGTTTAAAATTATTGTACCTTAATGGGCCTTCATTATAAAACCCATCAAATCTGTCGAAATAGAACATAACCGTTGAGAGGACCGTTTCCTTTACTTTTGCGTTTGCCAATTAAAAAAAAGAAAAATCATCTTTTAATCGAGAAAGATATAGGACCGTCCGATTACTAAAGTATCTGACAAATCAACAATCAATCCAAATATAACCGTTACGGAAACGCGTTCTTTCAAGACGCGATAATATTATATACATTATCGGAGAAAACATTTTCACAGTTTTATGTTGCTAATCAAAATTTCACTTTTTTTTTCCGCTCTTCAGACTTTTTGAATGAAGAATTATTCGACGATTGGGAAGAAGATTCGTGTTAAGCAATCTTACAAGGTTAGTATGTTATTTCAATTTCTCTGAGTATCGCGAATGAACTTGATTTTTCGTTAATAAGTTTTGTGTAACCGTCGTTCTTAGGGTTTTAATTTTGGTTTGATTCGGACACAAAACTAGTTTAATCGGCTCTCTTGGTGATTTAGTTAGGGTTCTTCTTCAGATCCTTGATACGATCACGATTGGGCCTAATGGGCTTCTATTTGGCTAATTGTTTTGGCCCCGTTTTCCTTAGTATTGCTTGTATTTAAGCTTGTCTTAGTCTCTGGAAACGGTATCGAAAGATCAACAAAAACAACAATGACGAAAGTCTAGTTCTCTTCCTTCTCCATTTCTCTTCTCATCTAAGCTCTGTTCTTCTGATTTCTCATCTCTTTCTTCTGTATCTCATCTTATTTCTGTTACTTTCCTTGATAGACCAAATCTGGTTCTATCAATCCTGTTTTCCAATTCTACTTCTCGTTCTTTTTAGGGTTTATTTCTGTTTGGTTTGACTCAGCAAGCAATTATCTCAATCGGCGGCTGGGTTCTTCTTCATCTGATTCCTCTTCGTGATTTGTTTTAGGGTTTTCAATTTTACTAATTAGTCTTGTTATTGATTTTTGTTTTAGGGATTCTGTTTTGATCCTAACCATAGAAGCTTGTCTCCGCTTCATCGAGGTAAATTTCTATCCTCTCGTTTTATTTTTGGTTTTGGTTTTGGTTTTGTTTTTGTTTTTGTTTTTGTTTTTGTTTTTGTTTTTGTTTTTGTTTTTGTTTTTGTTTTTGGTTTTTTCGATCTTTTGAGTATTGAAATCAAATTTATTGTTTCTTTACTTAAGCAATTGCTTTATGTATCACTGTGATTTTGGAATCAAGATTTATTTTTCTTGATCCACAACATCTTTTTATTAAGAATCCGAAGCTTTTTTGTTTTTGGTTTTGTTTTGTTACTTGGTATACGGATTCTTATGTCTGGAGCTTTTAAAGTTTTGATGTTTTTGTTTTTTAATCTTTCTTTCAAAACCCAAAAAAGATCAATGGCAGACACTAATCTAATAGTGTTCTGTCGGATTCTATTTTGGGGACATTGTCCCGAGCGAACATTGGTTTGGTAGTGCATGCATGTTGGGAGTTGGAAAAGGGGTTTCGATTTGTCGGCTTAAGAAGTCTTAAGACAAAGACTGAATATAACAAAAGGGACATTACGATTTGGTACCCTCGGCTTGGAAAAATCAGAAGAAAAAGAGTCAATGGCTGAGTCTTAAGACAAAGACATAAAAGAACGAAAGAGTTCTCACAATTTGGTACCCTCGGCTTGAAAATATCATAAGAAGAGTCAAAAGACTTTGAAAGGGAATGACCGATGGCTAGATAAGTCTTAAGACAAATACATAAAAGAACCAAAGAGTTCTCATAGTTTGGTACCCTCGGCTTGAAAATATCAAAGGTAATGACCGACGACTTAATAAGTCTTAAGACAAAGACATAGAAAGAACCAAAGAGTTCTTGGTACCCTCGGCTTGGAAATATCATAAGAGTAAGAGTTAAAAGACTTGATTATTAAGACAAAGACATCAAAGAACCAAAGAGTTCTCACTGAATCAGATCTGTTTGGATGGGTAGTGCATGCATGTAAGGTGATCAATTTTGATTTGTTGGATGGTAAAAACGACCAGCAGATTAAAGAGGTCTTTAAGAGAAGACAGTAAGCTTATAGCTAATAGACCAACGGCTTGGAAATATCATAAGAGAAAGAGTCAAAAGACTTTAAATATTAAGACAAAGACATAAAAGAACCAAGTGTTCTCGTTGAATCAGATTTGGATGGGTAGTGCATGCATGTAAGGTGATCAATTTTGATTTGTTGGATGGTAAAAACGACCAGCAGATTAAAGAGGTCTTTAAGAGAAGACAGTAAGCTTATAGCTAATAGACCAACGGCTTGGAAATATCATAAGAGAAAGAGTCAAAAGACTTTAAATATTAAGACAAAGACATAAAAGAACCAAGTGTTCTCGTTGAATCAGATTTGGATGGGTAGTGCATGCATATATAAGGTGATCAGATTTGATTTGTTGGATGGTAAAAACGACCAGCAGATTAAAGAGGTCTTTAAGAGAAGACAGTAAGCTTATAGCTAATAGACCAACGGCTTGGAAATATCATAAGAGAAAGAGTCAAAAGACTTTAAATATTAAGACAAAGACATAAAAGAACCAAGTGTTCTCATTGAATCAGATTTGGATGGGTAGTGCATGCATATATAAGGTGATCAGTTTTGATTTGTTGGATGGTAAAAACGACCAGCAGATTAAAGGAGTCTTTAAGACAAGAGAGAGGTTTATAGCTAATAGACCAGCGGCTTTAAAAAGTTGTAAGACAACGATATTGACAAAAAAATGCAGGCTGTATAGACTTGTTGGATGGGTAGTGCATGCATGTAAGGAGATCAGTTGTGATTTGTTGGATGGTAAAAACAGCCAGCAGATTAGAGAAGTCTCAAAACAAGATAGTGAATTTAGAACTTGTAAACCAACTACTTAAAAAGTTGAAAGACAAAGAAACTTATGAATATGCTGGGGGATTAGACTTGGGACCACATAATACAAAAGAATGAGGTAAGTATATGACATTCACGTAAAATGAAGACTAACAAGTTCTGTTTTAATTCTTTTTTCAGGTATGTGCTTCTGAAGGTGCTCAAGTTTTAAGATTTCGAGTAGATTTCAAGTGTAACAGACTTCTTTGACAGGTGTATGCTTTTCAAACCTTTTCAAGACTAACAAGTTCTGTTTTTTCTTTTTCTTTTCAGGTATGTGCTTCTGAAGGTGCTCAAGTCTTAAGATTTTGAGTAGATTTCAAGAACAGACTTCTCTGAGAGTGTATGCTTTTCAATCTTGTTAGTAATTAGTTGATACACTTATGAAAATCACACTTATGATACACATATGTGAAATATATACTAATTTTGATTTTCTCAGGTAAGTGCTTCAAAAGATGTTGATGATCAAAGTGTAGCAGAATTTATGACCAGGTATATATATGCTTTACTCACATTTTCTGTGATAAACTGATTTCTTACACAGAGGCAAGTAAAGCTAAAATAATCTCTACTTACATATAAGAAATAGTCTATGTCCTGTCTCTTGTTGCCTGACTTGTTTATATGCTTTGCAGTTCACCCTTCATTCTAAGGCTGGTGGCAAATGGTGTATCTAACCGAGCTATGATTGTGCCCATTTCACTTTTGATTCTCTTGAGAATATAATGGATATGGTATGTCCCACTATCCGTTTGAGAATATGATGCCAATGGTGTATCTAACTGAGCTAGGTCTTTTGGTTGTTTGCAGCATATAATATCATAACTTCAACAACTGCATTTTTTGATCCACTATTTACTTTCAGTATTAGATAATCCCTTTCGTTATTTTCATAACTGTAGCTCTGTACTACTAGTTATTGCATTCTATGGATCTCTACATGAACATTCACGATTGAATGTCATAAACACTGTAATGTTCAATCGTACAGTAGATAAAATACACAACTTGCCTGTGAACAACTTAAAGCATTTTTTTCAGAGATTCATGCTAGTTGTATAATTTTTCTTTTCTTTTGCTGCAGTTGAATTACATGGCGGGGAGTAATAATGTTTGGCATATGTCAATTGTCTTCGTTAATTTTCCTCTCTCTCGTTTTATGTTGAAAGGATGGTTGCATGATACATGTGAGTCATCTTGATCATCACACCATGATGGTGCTTAATCCTTTAGTGGTGGTCATAACATACAAGGTTATGGAGTGATGCTCAGAATGATAACCCCTCAGCATTCTATTACAAGGTAAACTGTGTTAAACATAGACTAGTTTTCTACACACGATGGAACATTTTTCTGTTTTCTTGATCTTGTTTTCTTGGGTTGTGGATCTATGTTACATTCTATGGAGTTTATAATACACTGAATCTAACTACTAAATGAAGGTTATAATACACTGAATCTAACTACTGAATGAAGGATTCACAAGATTATTATAGGCTCGCCCATGGTAAACATGTCTTGCTAAGGTATAGGAAGGGACATTATTCATCACTATTAGTTTTTCTTTGGATATGATTCATTTGTGACTAGATTTTCTTCCTGATTTTTTTGCAGATACGATTTCCCAGTTAAGTGCAAAACAATGACACAGTTTGTGAGATTCATGTAGAATATGACCCTAACAAAAAAAGTCAAAGCCAAACATTCTTTTCTTTAGCCATCTTTATATGGATTTTCTACAATGTTGAGGCTTTTTCTAACTGTTACTCTTTTATCTTTAGGGGGTTCCACACTCGGTAGCGGGATCTTCCCCAGGAAAAGCGCCCATATAGGTTGAAGTCTGATTATTTAAGAACTCTTTAACTCTGAGGTATGTATATTTACCTCTAGCTTTTGTTGTAGTTACAAAGTTTGCTTCCTCAAGTTAAATTGTATCTAATAATAACAGTACCCTGCTGAACTCAATGATGATTAGCTCATTGACATCACACCGAATTCCAAAGTGGTAGTTTCTGGTACTTTTGCTGTATCAACCCTTAGTGATGTTGTGTGTTTAAATTTTTTCATTATCTATGTTTCAATGCTTGTGTTTCATAAGATCGCTTATTCTATATAATGGATGCATCTTATAGTCTCTTTGAGATATTTATGTTGATATAGGTGCGACTATTGTCAGTTATGATTGTAGTTTCCTTGAATCTTGAAAGTATTTGTTTTACGTTATGCTTTGAAACTTTGGTGATATTTTAAACATGTGAATATCTGAATGACATTCTAGAGTTATGCATCATACACTGAGAAAGGGTAGATTATAATTTGGTTGTTGGAACATTATTACTTTGTGTGTTTAAAATACTTATTATCTCTGTTTGGTGTAGATTATACTTTGGTTATTGGAACATTATTACCTTTTGTGTTTAAAATACTTATTATCTCTGTTTGGTGTTTGTATGTAATTTTTTTTCATTTTATGAAATAGAAGCATCTTGGGTCTCTTGTAGATACGTACTTCTAAATGTATGTCATAGTAATCACAGTATGGTGATAACATTATTGAATCTCGAAAGTATTTGTTTTGCATTATGCTTAAACCCTGCTGGATTTTGTAATTCTGCATTATCAACTAATGATTACTATGTTAGAATCTATCAATTGTACCCCTTGGCTTGAGTCTTTAATATACACCAACTGAAAATATCATAAGGTTTATTGTTTTATTCCATGTACGAGTCTCATTATGTACATATTTCTTTTGAATGTAGCTGAGACTCTTGCATGTTATGCTAGTATTTTACTTTAATCATTCATGAATGGATTTGTTTTGTGTTTTTTTTTTGAAAACTTGGTGATTGGTTCAAACATTTGAAGTGACATTCTCAAATTGTGGATTATACACTGATAATTATTGTGTTGGATTACACCACTTGTACTTGTTGGCTTGATTTTTTACAATATAATGATTAAAATATCTCTGTTATTGCACTAGTGTCTATCCTTTGGTCTCTTAGTCTTACAACTTCGATGGAATTGGGAACTCTATTGATTCACTGGTGTATTTAGTTAGAATATGTAATGGTTATGTTTTGATTCTCTACCATAAGGTCTCTTGTTCTGAAATGGATGCATGTACGAGTCTCATTTACGTATTTATTATGAATGTGGCTGAGGCTCATGAAGATTCATGATATTATTTTACTTCATCAAATGGATTTGTTTCGTGTTATGCTTTGAATTTTTGGTGATCGATTCTAACATGTGAAGTGACATTCTCAAATTTTGCTTCGCCTTGATTTTGTAACAATATACTAACTGGAATGTTTATGTTATTGCACTAGTGCCTATCCTTTGGTCTCTTAGTCTTCTGGAGTCGATTGAAGTTGGTACAACTCTATTGTCTCATTAGTGTATTTCTTGTTTCTTTACCATATTTTTTTCAATATATACTTATTTCATAGTTCAAGGAAAGATTTTCTTTTATTGTTTGTTTGTTTAGAATTGACAATTTGGTGAGAGTGGTGACATGTTCCTCCGGCCTACACAGCCTTCAAATCCCTACTCTAGAAAGCTTATGACTCAAATAAATTACTTCTGATTATCACCATCTACCCCCGAGAGTCCAAGTTATCTGACTTGTGTTGATTTCTCCTCTTTTAGGGTTCTCGTTCTGTAAAGCTATCTTGTTTGTTTCCGTTCTGTAGAGCTTCCGTCTTCACGACGTGACTACTCTGTATGGAGTATTACTTTGTCAGTTTGCAATAAAAGCTCTCGACATTGCACCAATATTCGATATTCTGGAATCAGATGATCAGGTTTTGGATTTTGTTTCCAAGTGTTGTGAAAGATTCGGCACATGTTTTGCTTGTTTATCTGCTTTCAAGTGTTGTTGTTTGTGAACATATATAATAAAGGAGTTTCGGAGTGATCATTCTTTGCTTATCCTGTTATACTCTTTGTTTTAAAGAAGCTACAAAGGAAAAAGCAAATGTATTATGTACTGAAGATTAGCTGAGAAGATTTGCTATCTACAAGGACAGAGAAGCTAAAGCGTTGTTCATCAGCTCTTGTATGCATTTTCACCACTGAAGTATTTTCCCATTCGTTTTTGAGTGCTGCTTCATATATCTTCCAGACACTGAGAATCAATTCAGGCCAAAGACGATGGATCTCATGTTCCTCTGCCAGAGGTTCTTCCCTTCCTATCTCTCACCCTCCTCAAATTTCAGATCAAGCTTCTCGTCCATGTTATCTATCCTCTTCTATTATATCACCAAACGCAATCAGATATCTTCCACCTAAGATTTGAGTGAGCAGAGAGTTACATATCTATGTCTCTCCGTCAGTTTTCCAGCTTCCTGAATCCTGCCTATTTGCAGCTTCTTTTACTGCTTCTCTATGAATGGAATCAAACATCGAGTCTCCAACTCCTAGTCCCTTCAGTATCCTCTTCAACGCAGATATCTTCTCTGTCTTCTCCTTCATTAGTCGCTTTGCTATGCATATCAGTACAGAACAGAACTGACTAAACCGGGATAACTTCAACTCATATCAGCACGGAGTAGTGAACATTTTGGAGCAAACAAAATGAGGCTAGTACCAAATAATGTATGTGTGATTGTGAGGAGAGGGTTTGAGAAAGAATGGTAAGGGTTTTAGCTCAACCAAGCATCTTGCTTTCTGATCAGATGTGCTTGAGACTTAGAGATCAATTCAAGAATTACAACCGATGCTAATCAAAATACTTCTCTGAGTTTATATTTCCATGAAAATACTCAGAATACAAATAATATTTCTTACAACCATAGCAATGACCGTCAAGGTATTAAGTCACCTCGATCAACTGAATTACGAATACAAATTGTGGAACAAAATATAAATTCAGAACACTGCAATACTATTTTGTGTGGACAACGCTCCTTACAATTAGAGCAAATAGGTCGAGACGTATGACGATTGTTAAGCAAAACCTCTACCTTTTCGCTATTGTACAACCATGATGAACCCGGCATCATGTATAAGTCCACCCCAAGCAGGCATTCAATGTGTAGGGCAACACAACAATTCTCATCACACATATAAAATCCTATGCTCTGATCTATCTTTCTCTCACATTCTTCACACCAATGTGTCTTGGTACTTGTCTTCTCCCCGTAAGAAAGAGTGAGCACATGCTTATCATCTGTATACCTCACCTTTTGAGGCAAAGTAGCACACTTCAAACACAAAGCAAAGTCGCATTCAAGGCAATTGAATGTTTCATCTGTGGAACAATGTCCCGACTCTTTGCAAACACAACATGTTCTTTGCTCTTCTAGTTTGGATGTTAGGAATAAAGAATGTATGTGACTTTGATGGTCTAATGGCTCGGAAATTGTGGCACATGGCACGTGTAGCTTAAAATGACACAGTTCTCTGTGGCACTTATAGAAGAGACCATATGTGCACAACCAAGGACAAGCTGAGCATTTATTCTCATCAGTCATTACACTGTCATGTCCTACCACCAGAGTGAGCCAATGAGGATGTAACGGGTGATGCATTATGCGAGAAACATTTGCACAAACTTCGTGGAGAATGAACTCACATTGCATACATGAGTAGAAGTTACCGAAACAGATTGGCATGATGCATGCTTGGCACATCTTATTATCGTCGTAATCTTTACTTGTGTACTCATCCAGTGTCAAATGATGATGTGGATGACTGAAATGTTGTATGATCCTATCGCTTACCCTGACAAGTGGCTCTAATTCTTCTTCTTCTTCTGGCTCTCCCTCAAGTTCGATACCATCCCACACATTTCTCTGCATAGCACATTTTGAATGAGCCGCAAAAAAACAATCTTCGTTAGTGCAAGAAAACCCCCCGTAATTATTATCCATCTTTCTTCGACAAACACCACACGACCAATCTCTTTGATCAAACGAAGGAGTAAAATAGATACGATGGGGATGGCGTGATATCTTAATGACACGTGGTAAGCGGTCACACTTTTGATGAACCACAAAGCCACAAGGGGAGCATATATAGAAAGGACAATCTGAATCAGACAAGGCACAAACGTCGCAAGTTAAGGAAGCGTGTCTTGGAAACAGGGTAAGTGTATGGTCGTGGTGCTTCGGATGGTCTATAGATAAGACTGGTGGTTTCTCCACACAAGCAAGATTGATAGCCAAATCACAAGCCGAACAATAATAAAATAGCTCATTGAGATCTTCATCACAGCAAAAACATTCCCTCGTCCTACCATCGTGTTGCGACAAAACAAGCTGAAGAGAATGTTTTGAATGAAGAGTGTGTTTGATCACAACAGGAGCCTTGTCATATTCCTCATGGTTCTCGCCATTGCATCCTCGGCATAAAAAATAGGAAGCGTCTTCTCCAGTTGACCTGAATATCTCCCAGCTAAAAGGTAGACAGTTCCACTTGTCGCTGCTCCTCGAGAAGACTTCTTCAACCACATGAAAGTTTCCATCATCAAAACGTACTTGTTGTTGAGGGCATAAGGAGATAAACTTCGTCGACTCTGAATACATAGATATGACGAGGGAGAATATTTGATAGATGAGTGATACAAGCTCCGGCTCCGGCTCCAGACGCCTTGTTTGACTTACGAGTGTTCTGAACTCCCAATCCAAATGTCTAGATTTGGCTGGAGATGAATCTTGAAAAATTAGTGATATGAGCTCCGACAGCGACTCCGGCTGAGAATCATAATCCATGGATTTGAAGAGAGAGATTGTTTGAGTAGTGAGTGATAAGAGCTCAGACTCCTGATATGCCTGCGAATCCAAATCCATTGTGTTGTTGACCAGCGAGATTATTTGAGCTATGAGTGATATGACATCCGAACTGTAACCCGAATTTGAATCGTCAACAAAGATTAGTTGAGAAATGAGTGATACGAGCTTCGACTCAGGATCCGAACCTGAATCCTTCAATAAGTCGAGGGAGAGTATATGACGGTAGAGTGATACGAGCTCCGGCTCAGGCTTGAGAGCCAAAGTTTGTCCAACCAGTGTCATGAAGTCTGTATCCTGAACCGGCTTCTGGTCCGAATCCGAACTTTGAGAAATGAATGATATGAGCTTCCTTAGCGGTTCAGGCTGGGAATCCAAATCCATAGAGTTGAAGAGGGAGATTGATTGAGTAATGAGTGACATGAGCTCCGACTCCGGCTTCGGCTGCGAATCCAAATCCATTGAGCTGACCAGACAGATTATTCGAGTAATGACCTCCGGACCCGAATCTTCGAGAGGGGTTAGTTGAGAAAGGAGTGATATGAGCTTCAACTCAGGCTCCGAATCTGAATCCATTGTTTTGCCCAGAGAGAGAGACATGAAAAACTTTTAGTAAACTTACTTGAATAACAAGAAATTTGAGATTTTTTTTGAGTATGAGCAACGTATGTTTCGCTAGATGTAATAATTACATATTCTTATAAAAATTATCACTATACATAAAATCAAGAAACAATCTCAAGACAGGCTGTCCGAATTCTAAAGTCAATGATCCATTTAGAGAATAAAATACATTAACAAAATAATTTGATTACACAACTTTCTACACTAATAAATAATTAGCCTATGCCACTTTCACCTTTCACATTTTACATTTCCTTAGACAAAAAAAGGACAAGATCATTGAATAATAAGTTTTGGATTTTGATGGTGTACTACGACACATACACATTAACGGTTTTTTCTTCTAAAATCTGCTATTATAAATTTTATATTTTAAAAATAAATAGTGTTATTGTAGTCAAAAAAAATATATATTTACATCTTGCTTTCGCTAAATATTTATTTTAGTTAGAACATTTTCTGTTGTTGTATAGTAGTTTACGTTATTAAATATTTCATAATACAATATATATTGGTTAAGTTTCTGTTTTGTTTTTAAGTTTGGTTAATTTTTATTTTGAAAAATATTATAATTATATACAAAATAATATTATTATTAAAATTATCATATATAGGGGAAATTTCAAAAATAACTCTTTTCAGATATGTAAATGTTCCAAAAACAAAAACTTATACCTATGTAATATATTTTAAAGACCAAAATATTCTATAGTAGATTATTTTATATATAATTATAAATATGTTAATTAAGTTGATTATACAACTGTAAATAATGGTTATAATTGAATATGTTAATTTCAGTCAATATTGATTCTAATAATGTAATTTATTCGAAAAAATGTTTAGCTCGAAGTGAAATCTGTCCAGTATTAAAGTTAAAATATATATACATTTTCTAAATGGTACAGAGTGAAATATGCTTCGGAGAGGCAGAGACGTGCGGAGATGTATGAGTCATACACTAGAGAGCAGACAGATACAGCTATTATATTGCTAATTGCATTAAATTATTAAACTATGACTTGAGAGTTATTTGGTCTTTCTTTATTCACAAATCACAAGGCGATTAAAAAACAAAAGAAGCAGAGAGATGATTATTAAATTTCCATGCTTCAGCAATATATAAAAAAAAAAAATACTAGTGAAAGGGAGAGCACTATAGAATATACTAATCTATGACTCAAGTGATGAACAATATAAAAATTGATTCAGCAACAAGTTGTAAAATCTAACGACAAGTTATACACAACGAAGACAGTCAAATTTGTCGTAACAGTTGGTTGTTATTTGCTATTGTCGGCAAGTAGCAAATGAACACATTTTTATATCTAAAATCTGTGAATTCTAAACCCTAACTTTTTAAGAAACTAAATTTTTTGAATCCTGATTTGATCAGTTTGCTAACCATTAACTAGAGAATAATTAATTAGTTGTTCATCTAGCTTATTTAAGACTCTCTTTTTTATAATATATCATGTTTAAGGAGTTTTCTTACGTTTCATTTTATAAGATGTTTTACAAATTTTTATACAGATTTTAATGTTTTTTGATATTTTTTTAACTTTTTAGGTTCTGCCGTCATTTTTGTGATTGGATGGATACTATTTTTTAATTAATTATTAAATGATATTAACTTTTTAAAAATAATTTATTTAATTTTGTGCTCTTATCTAAAAATCTTATAATTTAGAATAGAAGAAGTATAATTTATCAAGCTAATCAAGTTTGACTATTAAAATCAACCCACAGGAAGAAACCAAGTTATAATTTTCCAAATATTATATGATGAAAATTATGATAAAATATGATGGAAATTATCAAAAATATGGGTTTTTGTGGAATCCAACAGTATTTAACGATGATTTATACTGGAATAAACATCTTATCCATGGATAAAAGGGTAACAACGAATTTTGACAGAAAATTAATAACGCGATATGTTTTAATTCATTGGTTACCCTTTGAAAACAATAAATTAATAAGTTACACTTTGAAAACAATAAAACAATCTGTTAATTATATTATAATTAGTTTTAAAACAATCTTTTATTAAAGATATCAAAAGTTTTCACTAGAAATGACAAAACTTCCCGGGAAAAAAAAAGTCAAACCTGAGTGGAGAGAAGTGAAACATGGGTGAGGCAATACCGAAGGAAGTGAAGGATCTGTGGGACAAATGGAACATACGTGGTCTGGTGATTCTCAGTCTTGCTCTTCAGACAATCCTGGTTCTTCTCTCACCAAACAGAAAACGAACTCACCGGCGTTTTTTCCGGTTGCTCATTTGGTCGGCTTACCTTTTAGCCAACTGGGCAGCAGAGTACGCTGTAGGACAGATCTCAGATAATCAAGGAAGCGAACCGCAACCCAAGAACACTGATCTTTTAGCTTTCTGGGCAACCTTCCTTCTTTTACACCTCGGTGGTCCTGATACTATCACGGCTCTTGCTATCGAGGACAATGACCTCTGGCTCAGGAGCTTGTTCGCTCTTGTCTGCCAAGCTGTTGTCACTTTCTATGTCTTTTTGCTCTCTATACCAAACAATATTTTCGTACCCACATCGCTCATGCTCGTAGCCGGAATCATCAAGTATGTTGAGAGGATAAAAGCTCTACGTGGAGCGAGTCTTGAAACCTTCAAGGACTCAATGCTAGAGGATCCTGATCCTGGTCCGGATTACGCAAGGCTCATGGAGGAGTATCAAGTTAGGAAGATGCTTAGAGAACCTACCCAGATAGTTAGGATCGAGGAGGTGGAGAAAGGTCAACGACCCAAGGTTTTAGTGAGGTCACCTAACAAGCTGACCGATCTCGAGGCTGTCCAATACGCCTACAGATACTTTAATATCTTTAAAGGTCTTGTGGTTGATCTCATGTTTAGCTCTCAATCTGAGGAGTTAAACAACAGCAAAGAATTTTTCCAGCAATTAGAACCAGAGGAAGCTTTGAGTGTTTTAGAGGTGGAGCTCAGCTTCGTCTATGGTACCTTTTACACTAAAGTTAACATTTTGCATACCTGGATTGGAATATCTTTTCGTTTCATGGCCTTGGCCTCCCTTGTCTCATCCCTCTGCATCTTCGCAACGGCCAAGAAGTCTGATTACAACAGATTCGATGTCGACCTTACATACGTCTTGCTCATAAGTGGAATCGCGCTTGATTTGGTTGCGATTTTCATCTTCTGTGTCTCTGATTGGACATTTGCCAGATTCAAGAAGCCAAAGGAGGATGACGACGGTAAGGGCTCCCTTGTCGGTGCAGTTTTCAACTGGATCCTCAGTTTTAGGAAGTTGAAGTGGAAACCTTATGATTGTTCACACCGAGTAAAAGGCAGCAAAACCAAATGTGAGGTTCTTGATAGAAAGTTTATATTTCGCAGATGGTCTGAATACATATATTCATACAACCTGATTGAGTACTCTCTTGGAATAAGATCTTCGAGCATCCACAATACTGACGGATGGATTCACAGATTCTTTGATGCTTTCATTCAATCTTTGTGTATTGACAGTGTCGTCATTTGTATCATCCGAGGAATCAGCTTATGTTTCAGGAACATGAAACATGAGATCGATCGTGCTCGCAGCTGGTTGTACGAGCTTATCTTTCAATCATCCACGGACAACAGAAAAATGTATTGTGCACTTTACCCTATGAAGCTTTTTCTGAGATTCTGGTTTGGTATCCCTGTTTTCTACTATGTCTTGGACTTCTTCGGCATCTCAGATCAGCTCAACCGGGTGATTTATACATCAAGTGATCGCATCACAAAACAGATGTGGGAGTTCATATATAAAGAGGTTAAGCGAAGATCAGAAGCTGCTGATCGTGCTGAGACTGCCAGTGATATATATTCTACAAGGGGTGAGTGGGTGCTCCATGATATATTAAATGAGTCTCTCCGCATGAAACTGCTCCGCTACGTGACTCAAGCTGACTATGATCAGAGCATTCTTATGTGGCATATCGCTACTGAGCTCTTATACCAAACAGAGAAAGCAACGACAGCGAATGAATGTAACCGCGAGTACAGCAAGATCCTTTCAGATTACATGATGTACCTTTTATTCGTGCAGCCTGCTATGATGTCAACAGTTGCAGGAATCGATAAGACAAGTTTCATGGAAGCTATAGCAGAAGTTAAGAAGTCTGGAGAAGCTAAAAAGTTCTTAGAGAGGAAGAACCGCGAGGATAAAGCATAGATAAGGTGTGCAATGATATTTTATCTACTCTCGGGGAGTCAAGGGAACGTAAAGGTAGGCGAAATCAACGCAGGAATGTGCTAGCTGATGCGAGTAGATTAGCAAATGCGCTGAAGCAAATAAGCGGGGAAGCCAAGTGGGTGATAATGAGCAATGTGTGGGTGGAGATGCTTTGCTATGGAGCAACTTACTGTGATCCCAAGCAACATGTTGCGCAACTAAGCAAAGGAGGTGAATTCATCAACTTTGTTTGGCTATTGATGGCTCATTTTGGCCTCGGAGACCAATTCCAGACCACAGAGGAGAATGCTAGAGCCAGGCTCATTGTGGCCAAGTAAACTACTGTGTTCCTATACTCTTCTTTACTTTTTCCCCTGTCTCACAACCCATTTGTAGTCATTTTTGTTAACCTGGCGAGTGGGGGAGTTGGTTTCGTTGCTAAACAATATGTGGTATCTGATGACTTTTAGGTGTTATTATTAACTAACTCATTTTTCGGATTTGTGTTTTTTTTGGATAATTAAGAAGTTATTATCAACTAGATATAGTGCCAGGAGTCACTCTAACTAGCATTTTGAATCATCCACTTTTAGACTAGGAAGAGTTTTGTAAAATGGTGAACGAAAATATCTTAAAACAGAAACAGGGGACAGTAAAGAGAGTGTCGGTAACATGATGTTTCAAAGCCAGTCATTCAACACACAAAGCTACAGATACACGCTAAACAAGTACTTAAATGATTACAGGCAACAATCAAGATGCATAGTACTGCGTAAGGAGAACTAGCTCCAGCTAAATATATGATCTTCACTCTTGTGATGCTGCCTCCTAGAAAGTCATGGGGATCAATCAATCTCAGTCCTGCAAATAGGCACGTGAAGATGAAGCTAACATGAGACAAGAGTTGTTGCAAGGCCGTATAAAAGAGGTACAAAAAAAATATGATGCAAATGAATTTTGACAAGTAGGATTTGTAAGTGTCTTTCCTGATGAGTTCTTTAGTGTGCTAGAACGTTAGAGTTGCAAAAGATAGCTACAAATTTACTTTTCACAGGAAAAGGAAAAAAGGAATGAGAATCATGGATGATCCTAAATGTTCACTAGAATAGAACTTTGTAACTTACCGAATTTGGGAAAAGTCCCTCCAATTTGGGCAGTTCTCCACTTTCAATGACAGATTAGTGAGAGTTGACAGTTCGACTCCTTCAACAACTTTCTCCAGCTTCTCACAATGCTTTACATTAAGGAATTCTAGGCTGCCAGGCATATCCGTGAAAATCGTTTTGATTTCCGGGCAGCAATCTAAGCTTAGGTTTTTCAGATTCTCCAACTTACCAACAGAGCTTATAGTCTCTATTGACGCAAGGTTTGTAATCGACAAAGTCTCCAGTGATTGCAAACTATCCTCATCCACTTCATAGAAAAGTTCTTCTATTTTTTTTTTTTTTTTTTGAATCTAATGTTAAATTATATTCAAAGAAAAATATCGTTTTTACAACTAGTGCAGCTTGAAATCGAAAAAAAAACTGAAATTTTGTTTTTACAAAGGAGACTTAACGCCTAGAAAGAAACCAAGCTTGTAACCCTTTCTCGTATCTTCTATCACCCATCCGTTGAATTGTCGTGAGCTGATTGCGGACCTGTCGATCTACCATCCTAATCAAGTTGGCTGTAGTGTGCGGGCTTTCACCATGGCGACGACCATTTCTCTCCCGCCAAATGGTGTGAGCAGTAGCTTGAAAGACATAGCGAACAAGAAATCCCTCTAAACGGTCCAACTGAGAACTTGAAACAAAAGCAATGATCTCATTCCACACTTTGGTATATCGAGCTTTGAATACTCCTTTAGCTAGAACAGCCCAGACTTCAGAAGTATAGATGCAATCAAAAAAAAGATGATCTCTGGTTTCAAGGTGCAATCGACAAAAAACGCAGACCCCGGTTTCTCCTCTGTTCCATCGCAGCATTCTAGCCCCTGTAGCCAATCGATCATGGACAGCAAGCCAAGTGCAGAAACTATATTTTGGCGTCGCATGGCTAAACCAAATACCCCGATGCCAAGCTACAGTATTTGAAGTCGTCCGCATATGGTTCCAAGTATCCTTTGTAGAGAATTTGTTCGAGAAGTCGTCATTCTTACCCCGCCACAAAACAATATCATCATGTGTGGTACGACGATGAAACTGAGAGAGGAGAGCCTCCTCAATGAGATTGAGAGTGTCCTGCCGATGTCGACGGCGGCGGCGGGAGGACCAAGCCGCTGCCACAGTCATATTTCTCTTGATCCCCATATCGATCATACCTCTATCCCCCATGAGTTCATGCAATCGACCAAGAGAAGACCATTTGTCAAACCAGAAAGATGTTTGCTCTCCACAGCCCACTTCTACCTTTGTATAATTTTTTGCTAAGTCTCTGTATTTTAGAAGTTTCCTCCAAATCCATGAGCCTAAACTAGCAGCTTCTTTGGCAATCCAAAAACAGTCCCCTTTCAGCAAATATTTTTCAACCCATTTAGCCCAGAGAGAATTTCCATGAGAAATGATTCGCCATACCAACTTAAGGCAACACACGTCATTTGCTTCTTTAAGATTGCGAAGGCCAAGTCCTCCTTCTTTCCTTGGCAAACACACTTGATCCCATTTGATCTTCGCCTTGTTGACATTCATTTCGGGGCCCGACCAGAGGAAAGCTGAGCAAAGGGTCTCAATGTCTTTAATACAAGCACGAGGGAGACGGAAAGCTCCCAACCAGAAGTTACAAACACTCCACAAAACAGAGCTTATAAGATTAAAACGGCCTGCAAAAGAGAGATACCTTGCTGTCCAAGAACTGATCCGTTGTCTTATCTGCTCTAGTAAAGGTGTGTAATCTGCTACGGTGAGGCGTTTAGTAACCAAAGGCAGCCCCAAGTACCGAACCGGAAGCTGACCCACAGTGAAGAGAAATTGGTTCGCAAATTGCTGGCGAGTAGTGGTTGAAACACCAGCCATATATAAAGTCGACTTCTCCATACTTATTTTTAAGCCCGAGACCTTAGCAAACTGATCAAACACCTCCACAATTCCCTCAATTGATCTTGTTTTACCGTCAGAAAGCACCATCAAATCGTCGGCAAAACTCAGGTGAGTCAAGCCAAGCTCCTTACAACGAGGATGGAAACCGAACTGCCCCACTCCCGCAGCCTTGTCGAGTAGCTTCGAGAGAACGTCCATACAAATGACAAATAGGTAGGGAGAAAAAGAACAACCTTGTCTTAACCCCCGAGAGCTCTGGAAATACCCTGCTAACTCTGCATTAACCTGAACCGAGAAAGAGGCGGTAGTAATACAAAGCTTAATCCAGTGAATGAATTTTTGAGGAAAATTCAGAGCCAAGAGGACATTAAGTAAGAAGGACCATTGAAGCGAATCAAAAGCCTTGGAGATGTCAATTTTTATCGCACACCGTTCTGAGATGGATTCTTTGTGATAGTCCTTGACCAGTTCCGTCGCAAGCAGCACATTCTCAATCAACAAACGGTCTTTGACGAAAGCCGATTGATTCCCAGCAATAAACTCCGGTAAAACCAACTTCAATCTATTTGCGATTATCTTGGATATGACTTTGTATATGACATTGCAGCACGAGATTGGGCGGTAGTCTTTCATCTCCGTTGCCTCCAACTTTTTTGGAATTAGTGCTAGAATTGTTGAATTTACACCCTTAGGTAAAAATCCTTTAACAAAGAAGGATTGAACTGCCATAGAGAACTCATCACCAAGGATATCCCATGTTGCTTTGTAAAATTCTGAAGTGAAACCATCAGGGCCAGGAGATTTATCATTCGGCATAGCAAATAATACCTTCTTGATCTCCTCTTTGGAGACTTCAGTTTCAAGCATAGTTTGGTCACTAAGTGAGCATCGAAAAGGTAACAACTCCTGTAACACTTCTACCTCTACTCCCGCAAAATCGGATGGAACAAATTGTAAGAACTCCCTGAAATATCTCTCAGCCTCAATCTTGATATCTTCCCCTTGAACCACAGTTCCATCACTACACTGGATTTCCTTAATTGTGTTGATCGCTTTCCTAGACGCTGCAGCCCTATGGAAAGCTTTATTATTCTTATCTCCGACCTGGAGCCAATGCAATTTCGATGTTTGCTTTAAATATTTCTCCTCAAGACTAGCTACATGATCCCATCTTAAATAAGCCTCATTTTCTTCCGCCATTGTTAGCACAGTGGGGTTAGATAAGTTCACCATTTGTTTGCTAGAAAGATCCTCCAAAGCTTCTCTAGAACGCTTTTCCAGATGACTCAAACACTCCTTTGACAAATTCCTGAGAGCTGGTTTAAGCCCTTTTAATTTCTTAGTAAACCGGAAAAGCGTCGAGGTGGATAAAAACAATGGCTCCGTGCCCTGCCAATAGCTCTCGACTATCGGCTGAAATTCCCCCATTTCAGCTAGCACATTGACAAATTTAAATGGACGTCTCTTCCTTGGAGTAAGTCTCTCATCCCCAAAAACTTTAATACGGCCTCTCAAGTGGTCCGAGCATCCCCCTGCCTCAAAAACACTATATGAATGCGGAAAAATCTGACACCAAATATCATTGACTAAAACCCGGTCTAGCTTTTTCATAATTGGATCTATGTCTCGCTTGTTCCACCAAGTAAACAAAGGACCATGGAAAACCATGTCTGTGATAGAACAATAACTTACTGCTTCTTGAAACTCCCGCATACCCCTCGTTACCATGGGATTATCCTCCACCCGAGAATGTTCAGACATAGCTAGGGTCTCATTAAAGTCACCCAAAATCATCCAAGGTTTGCCACGCATAATCGGAGAATCAAAATGGTCCTTTAATTCCTGCCATAAAGCCGATCTTTGTTCCGCAAGATTCAACGCATAGACAAAAGAACAAAAAAACTCCATAGTTTGGTCCTCTAATTTTACAGAGCAAGTGATCAATTGTTCACTGTTGTAAAATGGAGTCAAACGCACATTGTTCTTCCAAACAACCCAAATGCGACCTCTTCTATTATGCTCATAATTTGTCAAAAGTGACCAATCATGAAACACACTCTTAATAACTTCCACGACATTCTTCTCCTGAACCCTTGTCTCTAACAAACAACCAAACTGAAAATCTTTTTCCCTGACCCACTGCTTTATTACGGAATGTTTTGATGATTTATTTAAGCCCCGGACATTCCAAAAGAAGCACGACATCTAGTGGGAGTTGGAGTGACCTTTCTTACTCGGATCTCTAGAGCTTGCTCTAGAACTTTGAGACGAATAGGTCAAGATTGTCTTATGCGCGGTTTTTGAATCCCGAGGTAGAGAAGGACGTAATGTTATGTCCGCTCGCACCCCACGAGTTCTCGCCAAGACCCCAGTTTCCTTGGGCATGATGACGTGTGGTTCCTGCATGATGACAGTCTCATCGATTTCTTTTCCCTCCAAATCTCCTCCCCTATCTAACTCCACCTCTAGCACAGAGTAAGGGTTGGAAAGCACTGTAATTTCGCCGGCGTTAACTTGTACTTGATTCTTAGTTGGGCTGCGACCGGATTTCGATGGAGTGACCCAAGGCTGCTCCATAATCTCTCCGTTCTCTTCAACTGGAATCAAGTCAAGCTCTGCAGTTTCTTTGGAAAGATCAACAACGGAAACAGTTTCTTCAGCCACTGGAAGTGACGGAACATCTGGTTCAGTCTCAATACTCTCTTGTACTTTCACTGGCGAGACATTTCCTGCAATTTGCTCCTCCTTCTTCTCCAAGGAGAGGCAAGTGGCTTGTAAGTGTCCCCATTTTTTGCAGCAGCTACATCTTGGAGGCAACCAAGGATAGGCATACTGAACTATAGAATCCATCTCTCCTTCTTTCTCTCCTGTAAAAACAAACTCCGATGGTAATTCTTTCGTCAAATCTGCTTCTACCAATATTTGTGCTTCTGTAAAGCTAACACACGCCTCTGTTTTTGGGTGTAGCCTAACTGGCTTTCCCACTGCACTAGATAAAAACTGCAGGCCCTTATGAGTAAACATGGTTGGCGGAACGTTCTTTAGCGTAACCCATAATGGGATTGATTTCATTGCTGGTTGAGTGTCTTCCGTGAAGGGAGACCATTTCGATACGATCATAGGAATATCCATGATATTCCACATTCCTCTGTTCAATATTCGATGCCTCATACCCTCATTTCTAATACGAAACTTTACAGTTGATTCATTGACCTCAAACACATCAAAGTTCTTCTATATCAAAGCACATCTTTAACCAGCAACCCTTCACCAATTTGGTCTTGTTAAATATAGATGTGACCCTTGTAGAAGTGCAGTCTACAAAAGACACAAATTCAGCATTAGCTAGTGTGTCCTCATCTAGCTCATTAGTTTCTTTGATCTCCATGGCTTCCTGGTGACTTGGGGAATCAAAACGTGATAGTAACTTCTTATATATAGCTCTGTCTATGGGGACCTGAAGAAGATGTTCCTTGCTGGCATCTCCCTTCTCAGTACAAGGTTCAGCTGAATGAATCTCTCCTGTTTCTTCTGAGATTTCTTGGGATGATACAACTGCATCAGCGGAACTGACATTCTCAGATCTATCATGTTCAATGTGTTCCTTTATTTGGCTCCATGTCTCACCTTCAAAACACCTTCCATCTGCCAAAAAGATTCGCTTAAGACAATGGGTTTTGGTCTCCTTTGGCAACTCCGGTGTCTCCACTTTCGTTCCATATAGATTCACTTCTCGTAGGTAAGACATGTCTTCAAATGATCCCTCAATCTTCGCCAGCTTGGTACTGCCGGAAACATCAATGACTTCGAGATTTTTCAGTGTCTGGATGTTTGGGATCACTTCTAGATTGGTGCAATCCCTTATGAGGAGCTCTTTGAGACTGGACAACTCATCTATGGTTGAGGCCAACTCGCTAAGATTAGTGCCTGACAGATTAAGAATTCTGAGTTCATTCTTATCCTCAAAACATACTTCCAGCATTTTCACTAAGCTGGAAGTGCCAGAGAGATCAAGAATTTGGAGACCTGACAAGGGCTTCAAACTAGGCAATCTTCTCAATTTGCTACAATTGCACAACAAGAGCCGAGTCAAGGAGTGAAGCTTGTCGGCCACAGCAGAGTCCTGAAATATTGGCAGTCGCTCTATTTGGCTCTCCGAGAAGTCAAGGAGCTGAAGTTTTTTAAGATGATAAAAGCTTTTGTTTTTTATTATGTTTTTCTCGTTGCCGTTTGCGTGGTCAAAACAAGTTTGAAGCCCACGAGCACCAGAAATATCAACAACCTCAAGCTCTACTAGTTCTTGTATGTCTGGCAAATCTTCCAATAAAGGGCAGTCCCTGATGATGAGACAGTGAAGCTTCTTCAGTTCAGAAATACTGGAAGGAGAAAATTTGATCTGAAGCCCTGAGAGATGAAGACTTTGAATATCAGGCATATCCATAAAGAAGTCGTCAGATATTTTCTTCAGGGAGCTGGCTCCGGAAACTTCAAGAACATGTAACCCGCGGAGAGCCTTAAGATCCTCTATATCTTTAAGTAGGTCACAGTCCCTGATCACAAGAACTCGAAGTTTTACTAGCTTGGATAAAAACGAGACAACAGGTTCCAATGCGGGTTTAAAAAGGCCAAGTATCTCAATATCCTTCAGCTTTTCAAAAAAGTCTTTTAGAGTTTCACGACGCAAACGGTTTCCACTAATCAGAACTGTGGTAGTTTTATCTCCTTTCCTTGTAGTTTGAACTGCTTCTATGATGTCATCCAGCTGGTTGATTTTCCCTAGACCCTGTGTCCTGTCACTACCACAAACTTTAGCAAGTGAGATTCGAGATCTGCCTGACAGTCCACGACCCCGAAGATCTATTAAATACTTCATTGCAACCTCTGGCATAACAACATTGTCCTCATGTATCTTTAGAAAACCACGTTCTAAAAGCTCCATCATGACTTCATGGCCATCCATATAGGCCTCTGTAATGGATCTAACAGGATCGAAGTAGCCTTCAAGAATCCAATGTGCGATCAACTCCTGGTAACAAACACACCCACAATGCTCAAAGAAGCTCAAGCTATGCCAGAAGCAATCAACAATAGAACTCTTCACGGTATCATCTGTTTTTAGTAACTCATATGCGAGATGTAGAACAGGATTAGCTCTATTACGGTCAGGATCAAAAGAGGAAAGAACTGCTAAAAGAACCCCCTCCTGCTTTGGAGGAAGCTGAGAAAATTGAAGCTTCCACGCAATGTAATTTAGAGACTTGGTTAGGACAACGACTGCAGCTGGCAAACCGATGCTCCTTTTCACTATATCACACTCTAGAGATTCAAGTAAGTCATATTTAATCAGGGACTTGAGTAGACCCATCAAATAAGTATCTGTAAAGAAGGCGCTTAAAATCTGTGACGCATCAATGGTATGGGGGTCAAGTAAATCGCCTGCCCCATCCGTCGTAGCATGGGACTCGATCTCTTCATCAGAGTCTGCTTCTAACTCCTCTGTGGCAAGGGAATCGATATCCCCAACAGACTTAGCATGTAACTCCTCTGTGGCAAGGGGTTTCATGTTATCTTTAGAGTCGCCTTCTCCTTTTCTTCTTGTGAGAAGAATCTTGATAGGTCTGAAAGGAGCAAGGAAAACTTCAAGTTCCAAATCTTGCATCACTTTTGCTTCGTTGGTCACATTTCCTACATCATCCAAAACCAAAAGGAGGTACTTCTTTCTTTCACCCTTGGCCTTCATTTTCAAAAGATTATTTTTTTCAGCCTTTTCCTTCTTTTTCCTAAGTTTTACATGAATCTTTTCCTTCAACCTGACCAAGTATTGAGTTTTCTGATCCTCTTCCTCATCTTCACTATCATCCTCTTCACTCTCTTCTTTATCAAGAAATACTGAAAGCTGAGAAGCTATATCCTCGTAAAGGGACAATACATGGAAATCTTTATTTAGATTCAACCAGAGAGAAACGTAGCATGAGGAGTCTTCGTCTTTAGGTGCACGCTCGAATATTTCGCGAGCCATCCATGTCTTACCAATTCCAGCTTCACCAACAAGCAAGACTCTCGAAACATTATCATCTTCTAATGATTTAAAAATCTCTTTGCAAGATACTGCTACACATTTTTCCAAGTAAGCACTATGTGGAGAAGCCATCACAACTGGTAAGCAAAAACACAAGGAAAAGAAAATATGTAAAGTCAAAACTCTGGAAACAAGATGAAAGAATAACTAAAAAAAAAATCAATAATGGTTTAGTAATCGTGAATCCGTAGCAGAAGATGAAAAGTCTAGAAAGTTCAAAATAGTCAATCTATATGTTTGGTGTGCGAATACAGAGAAAATGACGAACCTTGGGTGAAGCAAACTCGACAATGGCCCTTGTTTCCTCTTCGTTGCCTTTGATTTTGATTGATCACTCCTCCTCACATTTTTACAGATTTTGAATTTAAGTTGGAGCTTGGAATTAGGATGCCCCCAGTAGATTTTATCTCCCCCTCGATTTACTTACAAGATTGATTTTTTTTTTTTGACTCTCTTTTATTTTATTGGGTTAAATTTGTTTTTTTTTTAAAACACACATTAAAAAAATGATTATTAATTATCGGAACCTGTACCGAAGTATCTCGGTTACGAATACATTAAGATAGGTATATTTTTTAAACTTCCACTTCTGAACTTATCATGTGGACAAGCCATTAACTCCGACATTAAATATGGTTTGGGGAAGGTCTCCGGCCTCAAAGTCTTTCTTTATTCACCGTATACAATTGCTAATTGCATTAAAATATAGATAACATGACTTGACATTTATCAGGTCGAGTCTTTCTTTATTCATAAGAAATTCATTAGAACCTCAAGATATCTTAGTGTTTTTTTTTTTTTTTAACACAAATCTGCAATATATCAATAAAGACTAGAATAGTCATTGTTTACAGCATCAAGAATAACATAAGGGATAGAGTGATGGTAAACAAAATCAGAAATAGAAAAACGTTGAAGATTTGCAAGACAATCTGCAGGATTGTTGAGCTTTCTAGGAACCCAGTTAAAACGAACATCCTTAAAACGTTGCATCCACATCTTAATTTCGAATATCCAGTTGAAGACATCATAACGCACACATCTATTGTTTAGAGTGTCAATAAGAATTTTGCAGTCTCCTTCAAATATAACTTTCCGAAAACCTCGTAGCCAAATATTTTGCAAAGCACCAACCAAGCTTTGACATTCCGCTTCGAGAGGGGAAGAAACAAAATGACCAGTCCATTGAGAAGCTCCTTTAAACAGACCCCGATCATCACGGATAATCCAAGCCGCAGTAGCTCGATTGGTAATAGAAAGAAAACTACCATCAAAATTGCATTTAAACCAGCTTGGAGGAGGGAGAGACCAGCGAGGAGGAGGAGCTCTGGAATGGTGTGAACCATGAACTTGAAACTGAGATTGGCGATGAGAAACAATATTAACATTAAGCCATTCCTCAGCTTCCTGTTTAGCTTCACGAAGATCCCTACGCCAATTGTTATTTAATCTGCAAAAAACTAAACGATTCCGGCTTCTCCACAATTTCCACATGATCCATAAAGGGAGATGAGTAAGAAGATCATTATAACAATTAACCCTGTGAAAGTCAAACACAGCCTTCATCTTATCCTCAAAAGGTAAATTGGGATCAGATAAACAAAGAAGAGGAACAGTTGAAGCTCGCCAAATCTGGATAGCATGCGGACAAGTAAAGAAAATATGGTCAGAGGTTTCAGAGTGCCAACCACAGCGCTTACAGTTCCCATGATCAGCAATATGACGGTTAACAATTTCTTCACCAGTAGCCAACGCACGAGAAAGAGATTTCCAAAGAAAATGGTGAATTTTAGGGGGAACTTTCAATTTCCAAATATCCTTCTTAATGAGGGGATTACCATAGGGAGGACTAGCCTGAAATAAAGAATCCGGATGATGAGAAGCAAGCCAATAACCAGACTTAACAGTGTAGAAACCCTTATCAGTATAATACCATCCCAAAATATCATTGTGTTGACTAGAGCTGATCTTCGTAGCAAGAACAAAGGAGATATCATCCGGATGAATCAAAGCATGGAGTTTATCAATATCCCAACCCATTTTATTTGGAAGAAACAGGGAGTTAACCGTATGATAAGATAAGTTACTGTTGTTGAGGGCTCTAGGCGGACGAGGAGGATGAACAGGGAGCCAAGGATCAACCCAAGTACTGATCATATTACCATCACCAACCGTGTAGCGAAGACCTTTTTTCAGAAGATTCTGTCCATGGAGAATGGATTGCCAACCAAAAGAAGCTCTGGAACCACGTCCAACATTTAAAAAGTGAGTGGAAGAGAAATACCTTCCACGAAGAGTTCTAGCCATAAGACATTGAGGATAATGAAAGATACGCCAAGCTTGCTTAGCAAGAAGAGCTTCATTGAATTTTTCAATATCACGAAAACCAAGCCCTCCTTCCTTTTTCAAAAACTTCATACGGTCCCAAGCAATCCAGTGAACTGAATTCCTTTGGTGATTGTTATTCCACCAGAAATTTGATATAATTCTCTCAATATCTTCACAAATACTCTTAGGGAGCTTGAAGCAATTCATGGAGTATACAGGCATCGCCATGGCAATCGATTTAAGGAGAATTTCTTTACCCCCTTGAGACAAAAACTTAGTGTTCCATCCTTTAGTTCTTTCAGCCACCTTCTCCACAATATAACGAAACATATCAACCTTTTTTCTTCCAAATTGCTCAGGGAGACCCAAATACTTGCTACAACCACCATCATTATGGATACCAAGAAAGTTGCGTATCATAGTCTTGGTAGAAGCAGAGATCCGTTTACCAAAAGTAATAGCCGACTTGCTGGTGTTAACTCTCTGACCTGAAGCTTGTTCATATTGATAGAGGATATTTTGAATAGCCTGACAAGAACGCAGATTGGCTTGACAGAAAAACAGAGAATCATCCGCAAACAAAAGATAAATAATAGCAGGACAAGCATTACCGATCTTAATACCTTTAATATCACCTTTCTCCTCAGCCCTTTTCATCATATGACTTAATACTTCAGCACATAAGATAAATAAATAGGGAGAGAGAGGATCACCTTGACGGATACCACGTTCAGGTTTCACAAAACCATTAGGGGAACCATTAATGTTGATCGAGAAGGTAGCAGTTCGAACACAAGTCATAATCCATTCAACCCATTTAGATGCAAAGCCAAATTTCAACATAGTTTCTTGGAGAAAATCCCATTCAAGTCTATCATAAGCTTTAGTGATGTCAGTTTTGATAGCCATAAACGAATTTGCACATCTTTTCTTCACCTTTAGAGCATGAATAACCTCATGAGCAATGATGACATTATCAGTTATAACCCTCCCAGGAATAAAAGCCGCCTGCTCTTCAGAAATAATATGACTGAGATGATGCTTTAGACGAGCCACAAGAATTTTAGAGATAATCTTGTAGCTAACATTACAGAGAGCAATGGGACGATAATCACGCAGATGAAGAGCATTGTCAATCTTAGGGATCAAACACAGATTAGTGTGGTTCATATCTTGATCAAAAACACCACAAGTGAAAAAATTCTGAACTTCTTCACAAATCGAACCCTTGGTAGTTTCCCAAAATTGTTGATAAAAGGCACTTGTAAAGCCATCAGGACCTGGAGCTTTTGAAGCACCAATATCAAAGACAGCTTTTTTAATCTCATCTTCACTAACAGGTCTTGTCAGATCAGCATTCATCTCCTCTGTAACACGATGATTAAAACCATTAAAAATGTGATAATGGTTGTTCTGAGGAGTTAATTCACTCTTGTACAGGTTGGTGAAAAAAGTCTGAGCAACAGCACTGATATTACTATCTCCACGGTGTTCACGTCCTTCATCATCAAGAATGGAGTACATACGCTTACGAGCTAAACGAGTCTTTGTAGATGCAAAGAAAAATTTATTATTTCTGTCCCCACAAGCTAACCAGGTCTTGCGGCTTTTAAGGCGCCAAAATTCTTCCTCTTCTTTATACGCATGGCTAAGAGAGTTACGCAGAACACGGATTTGATCAGTGGAAGAACCATCAGTATAAGCTGAATTGATACGATGCTTGAGCACAGCAATGTCTTCCCGAGAATTAAATTTCGATCTCTGTTTCCACTTTGAAATCGCAGAACGATAATGGGTGAGACGACGACATAAACTACTAGCAGACCCAAAAATTTGGTTGTTCCAACTACTGTTAACAACATCAGAGAAACCTTCCTTATTAATCATTCTACTGTCAAAACAGAACTGACCATGACGAGGAGTGAAATCATTAGAAATAGTAGTGATGACCGGACGATGATCAGATTCAATAAGTTCCAAAAATTCAGAGTAAGAAGCCGGATTCTGAGCTAACCACTCACTATTAACCATAGTTCTGTCAAGACAACAAGCAACATCATGGGAGTGACGTTTACCCACCCAAGAGAAGCGATCTCCCAAAGCTTGAAGATCATGAAAATCACAAACTTGAATCATTCGTCTAAAATCAGTAAAAGAACTCTCAGGTCTTGGGGGACCACCTCTCTTTTCACTGTTATCTTTGATTTCATTGAAATCACCAATGGCCATCCAAGGGCCAGTTCTAGTAGTAGCCGTTCTTTCCAGTCTTTCCCAAACCAAATGACGATAGGTAGGATTTGGATGACCATAGACACAAATCAAACAGAAACCAAATCCATTGATCTGAACATACGTATCTACAAGATTGGGAGATTGAAACAAAACAGAAACAGAGATACTACTTTCCCACATAAGAGCAACACCACCACTAAGACCATGAGGAGGGACAGTAACAATATGATCATACCCTAAATCACCACAAACATCCCTAACAACATTGTCACTTTGCTTAGTTTCCATAAGGCAAATGATGTCCGGAGAGAATTTCTTCTTGATCTCCTTCAGACGTCGAACTGTGAGGTCATTGCCCAGTCCTCTACAGTTCCAAGCAGTTGTCCTCATGGGGGAAGTGGTGGTTCTGGGCCCACCGCGCCTCTTTCAAGTCCATTTGGGTGAGAAGAATCACCCGAGCTGCCACTAGTAACTTCTGTGTCACGAACCAACACTTTGGAAGATCCTGAGGAGCCTGCAAAATCAGAAACATCATCACGTTTCCTTTTACCACATTACATAGATGGGAGCATCACAGTATCATCAGGATGGGGGGACAGATCCAATCTAGGGCGAATCCAGGGATTGGTTGCAAAGTCAGCAAGAGGATCAACTGCAATCTCCTCAGGGAGATCCTCAATGTGAGCCAAAGCATCATGATAAGGATCAATATCATCAAGAGCAACATCTTCATCCGCATTCACAGCCGCATCAAGGACTGGTTCTGGTTCCACGATTTCACGAATGACAACACCTTGGTTTTGACGGATTTCTGGTGGAGGGTGCTCATCATCTTCTTCGTCATTTGCAAACTGTTGTTCAACATCATCAGGGAGAACACAAGCACCAGTATCATGGGTTAACAGACCACACACCTCACAGAAACCACGAAGTCGCTCATAGCGGAAACGAAGAAGAGTGTTCACCCCCTCTTGGAATTGAATATGTCTCTGAAAACGGAGAGGGAGTTGGATATCCCAACTTATCTGAACACGAACAAACTCCACACGTGCTGCAGCCTCACCATCGTAATCCACATCCAAAAGTGGACCAAGGGAACGACCAATGTGAGAAATCACATCGCGATTGAGGAAGTGAAACGGGATTCCACGAACTTGAACCCAAAATGGAATGAAGTTGATCAACGGAGCATTGTCAGGAAACCAACGCTGAAGCACCAACATGCGATCATTGAAAGCCCAAGGACCACGGCGAAGGACCGTTGAGAGAGACTCCTCAGACGGGAAGATGAATTGGAACTGGTTACCACCAATAATACGGCCATGGACAAGACCGGATTGGCCCCAGACACGCGGCATGGAAGCAATGATGGATCGAAGGTTCTGTCGTCTCGGCATCACAGGTCGTCCCATAAGGATGAAACGGTTTTCAGCCATCGCATTAGCCACGATGTTAGGGGGAATCGTCATGGGAGCGTCATCGAAACCCAAGTTAATGTCTTGAACTGCACGCCGTAAATTCTCTGCCATCTTCACAATCACAAGATAGAATCGAAGAGGAAAAGTAGTAGTAAGAGAAGAGATTGAGTAGATTTGTAAAGATTTCGATTCCATCCAAATGCATTTATAATAAAACCAGAAATTCTAAAAATATCTCTCTTTTGTACTTAAAAAAAAAATGCTTTCTTCACATATCTATTTTTTAAAATACATTTTATTAGATTTATAAATTTATAAATTTTTATATAAGATAGTTCTATATAATAATTACTATAAAGAGATTTGATTCAAATATTTATAAAGTTTTTAAAGATGTTTTTTTAAAAAAATAAAATTTTTATAAAATTTTACACACATATGAAAATTGTTTGTGAACTGACTGTCTTTAAACCAGTTTGAGTTCTTTTTATTTTCTATTTTTAACATTTTACCAGTGGAGTTCTGAATAGGGTTTTACTAAATGACATTGATTGTTTATTTTCTGCAATTGAAAAAATTTATGTATTTTTAAACTAATATTAAATAACTTGAGTTTTTTCTGGAACTTCTCTAGAAAATATAACGGTGTTGTTAACAGCCGTTACAGCGAGAGTAGGAAATTAGAACAAGAAAAAGAATTCATACTTTTTTATCAACGATAAATTAGTTCAAGCATTTTTCGGATAACAGAAAAAAATTATTATTTTTTGGGCAAATATTATATAAGTCACATTTTTTTCACGAATGTTCCCGTTCTGAATACTGTGGTTACATTTTAGTCTTTTACAAAACATATTAAGTAATTTCTTTTATTAATTGAATTAAAAAAAAAAAACTTTTAGAAAGATTAAGAAATGCAGGTTCTACGGATCCTTCTGCATATTTTGACTTCAACTGGGAAAGCCGTCCCATCTCGATTCGAGCATGTATGTATGTACTCCGTAAGTGCTTTTTCTTTTGTACCCATTCAAAATCTGATTAAGCTTTTGCTTTGTGATGTCAATCATTTTGTAAGGGTAATAGAGATCGATTACTTACGTGATTAGAATTGGTGAATGAAAAAATCTTTTTTTTTTTTTTTTGCTGTAGCAACCAGTTTTGAACCATCTGATCTGTTGAAAAAAAAAAAAAAAAAAAATGATCGATGATTTACGGGAAATGAGTGATCGAACAAATTGTATTTTTGAATAATCTGTTTGTGTTTTTTTTTTCTGTGATCTTAAAATGTAACTCGAAATTAAATCTTGGCAATGGGAAATTATATAGATTGACTTTATAAATTACTGGAATGGTTTGTTTGCTTTGCTTCTGTATTGCTCTAACATCATTGGAGATTTTTCGTTGCTTTCTAAGATTTGCATGAACTGATAAGGACGGAGTCATGAGCCGCGACGAGTTGACGCAATCAGCTAGTGTTGGAACTACAATTGATTCGATCATCAACATTGTAAATAAACTACATTCAGCTATACAACTTCAAGATACTGATGAATCAGTAAAAGGAGAACATACTCAGGAGCATGTGTTACCTTCCTCTAAGAGCATTGATGTTGAAATCCGAAGGGAAGAAGAAACATTGGGGACGCAGCAAAAAAGTGGAGGAGCTAGTTTGGAAAGAAGTAAAAGTGCGCCTCCTCAGACTCCCACTGATCTTTTGAATCCGATTCGTAAGCTACAGATTGCTCTTCGTCGCTTAAAGCGTAAAGTAAGATATATGAAGAGACTTCAGTTAGATGTGGATAAACAACTGGATTTGCTTAATGGTGAGGTTAATAGAGTGGAACCCTCTGATAGGAGTTTAACCAGTAAAGACTTGACAGTTATCACCGCCAAGGTTTTTAACTTGATAAGGAAGGTCCCTATGTCGTCTGAGAGGCAGAAACAGAAGAAAGCAGCACCAGATGATCAGGACGGCGACACTATTAAAAAACGCATTGTTTGCTTGCCCGGCATCCATGCAAATGAAGAAGTTCTCAAAAGGCTCGCGTTTTTCAGAGATGTAAAACGAAAATTCGAGGGTCTTAAAGATGATGAACAGAGGATCTGCCTGCTGAGCTTCGCTGTGTTCCCGGAGAACAAAGAGGTGGATAGAAAAATGCTGATGTATTGGTGGATGGGGGAGGGAATTCTGACTGTTTCAGAAGCTGAAGGTAAAGTGAAAGAGATCCTTAATAATTTCAGGGAGGAGAACTTGATTGAACCAGTTGAAAACAAACGAAAACTGGAGCCAAGTAGCTATAAGATGAACCCTTTTGTGCATGCTTCACTGGTTCTCATCTCCAAGAAGATAGGGCTTTTTGATATGTATGATGAAAAGGAGAAGCCAAATATGCAGAAGTCGGACTTGAACAAGGTCTGCCTTGTGGAAGGGTCGTCATTCCAAGAGGAAGCAAAAAGTAGAACAAAACTGGATCCAGAAAACATCGAAACAGTGTTCAATGTTTCTGAAAGGTTCCCGGAATTCACACGCAAGTGGTTCACACGTATGAAGAAGCTCAAAGTCCTTTATCTGGGTAGGTGGGAGAGAATCGACCCCGAGGCTGAAATGGAGAGGGAGAGAACCGACCAAGAGATCGAAATGGATAGCCGCCGAGTTATGAAAGATTTGGGTTCCTTGACGAGGTTAAGGTTTTTGAGTTTTCAAGGTATCTCAACCATTAACAGCCTCAGCCGTTCTGCTTGCAAGCTCAACAAGCTTGTAATCTTGGACCTCAGGCACTGCTATAACATGGAGCAGCTTCCAGATGCCATACATAAGCTCAAGAATCTAGTCTACTTGGATTTGACTGGCTGTGAGGCCTTAGAGAGCATTCCTGTTGGATTGTCTAGGCTAGCCAATCTAGAGGTCCTCAAGGGATTTGTGCTTGGTGATGCTGATACAGCAAAAACCTGTAAACTGGCTGCTCTGAAGCGCTTAATGAATCTTAGAAAGCTTAGTGTTACCGTACACCGAGAAGGTTTTCCTTTGGATAAGTTGATAGATGATATAAAAGATTTCAAAGTACTGGAAAACCTGAAAGTGCGGTGGGGAAGCAAAGTTATCCTAAAAAAGAAGCACCCAAACAAAGATGAGAAAGACGAGCAGGAGGAGGATGAGCGAAGTTGGCGTGATATTAAGGAACTTCCAATACAGTTAAAGAAGCTGTCCCTGCAGCGGTTTCCTGATAGGGAACTCCCAAAGTGGCTTTGGCCTCAGAACCTTCGTTACCTGGAAAAGCTCCACCTTGGAAGTTCGAAACGTGTCAAAGGATTTGGTACCTTACCAGGAGAGCCAACAAAATGTCCTGTTGGGGTTTTGCGTCTCACGTCACTGATAAAGCTAAAAGTGGAATGGAGAGAGCTGAATAAACTCTTCCCAAATCTGAGGTTGTTGGAGAGCTATGAGTGTCCCAGAGTAACATTCTGCCCCTGTGATCGAAACGGAATCTGGAGACCTAAGAAGATCTCTGAGAAGAATGATGGCTCAACGACAATACTTTAAGATCTGACGTCCCAAACTCTTATATTGATTCAATGACTCTTGTTTCATATTTGAAGACTTACTTGATTGTGTTGTTTCCCATTTTTATATTTCTCCGTTTCAAACGTTTGCGAGAATGAGCTTTTAAAAAGTAAGTGATTTCAAGCGATTCAAAGAGGTGAGTAAGTGATTTCAAGCGATTCAAAGCGGTAGGAAACGATATCCTTTGATTGGTACTCACTGTTGATTGATTATAAATGCTTTTTGGTGATTGATAATTTTCCAGAGCTTTAAACTGATAAACAAATACTAATGTATTCAGTTTCTCTCGGACTACTACAATTCATCAATAATAGCTAATTAAAAATACGTAAAAACCTAAAATTTGTATATTTTAGCAAAATTAAATATTATTATATTAGTGTGTTAAAAAAATATATATTATATTATTTTTATATTATTTAATCACTCTAAAATTTCTTATCGTAACAAATTTTCAAAAACTATTTATGTATTGATCCATTAATATTTTTTTTATAAAAGTTAATATTATTATAGTTTATATTATACTACTACTATTTTGGAACTAAATATTAAAAAAAAAAATCCTTTTCAAATGCTAGTTTTGTGGAAAAAGTAAACGACAAAGGAGATTACAAACGAAAAATGATACTGTATATTCATTTTAGGTATGTTCATAGACATGGGATTTTAAATTTGAAGGTTTTTTTTGTTGGAACAAAGGAAATGAAAAAATAAAGACCAGAAGACTTCTAGTTCAAAGAAAGTCAACGACTGAACGTTATTAAATCTCAGTCTATCTGAATCCAAACCTTCATAACAATAATTGTAATCAAAAGAAGATGGTACAGGTGATTCCCGCACATATCAAGAATGTATGGGACGAATGGAACATCAGAGGAATTGTAATCCTCAGTCTCTCGCTTCAGACAATTCTCATCCTCCTAGCACCATTGAGGAAAAGAACATCCAACAGGTTCCTGGCTTTAGTCCTGTGGTTGTCTTATCTCTTAGCAGATTGGTCTGCAAACTTTGTGATTGGACTTATTGCTAAGAATCAAGGGAAAGAATTGAAGCCAGATGATCTTCCTCAAGATAAGAAGCTCATGGCTTTGTGGGCACCGTTCTTGCTCTTACATCTTGGTGGACCAGACACAATCACTGCATACTCTCTTGAGGACAATGCTCTTTGGCACAGACACTTCCTTGGCCTGGCTTTACAGGCTATTTCAGGTGCCTATGTGGTTATCCAATCTCTACCGAATTCTCTTTGGGTGATCATACTGCTTTTGTTCATTGCTGGGACATTAAAGTATCTGGAAAGGACAATTGCCTTGTATCTCGCGAGCTCAGACAAGTTCAGGGGTTCAATGCTTGAGGTTCCTGATTCGGATTCTACTGAGACCCGCCCTTCGGGAAAGGAAGACGACTCGATGGCTACTGAAAACTACACGCAGTATGGGAGACCATTAAGGCTAGAAAACCCCGGTAATCTGACTCACCTCGAGATCCTTCAGTTTGCTTTCTGGTTTTTCAATAACTTCAAGAGTCTTGTGGTCAATAACATTTTTAGCTCTGAGCAACGAGGTGAGAGCAGAGAATTCTTCAAGAATCTAACAAATGAAGAAGCTTTGAGGATTTTGGAGGTGGAGCTCGGTTTTATCTATGAAGGTTTATACACGAAAGTCTCGGTTCTTCATACTTGGGTTGGAGCTTTGACTCGAACCATAGCCTTGGGATCTCTTTTGTCAGCATTTGGAATATTTCATTACAGAACCAAGAAGAGCCATGAGTTTCATGGAGCTGATATTGTGATCACCTACATTTTGTTCTTAGTTGGAATAGCTCTGGATTTTGTATCTCTCCTCATGATCCTCCCCTCAGACTGGACATTTGCTGTCATTAGTAGGATAAATGAAGACGAAGTAGACAGTGGCTCATGGATAGACCCTGCACTCAAGTGGCTCCTCGGTTTGAAGAAGCTGCACTGGAAGAAGCAAATATGCTGCGGAGGAGTCGAACATGAGGTGCTTAACACACCATTTCTAATCCAAAGATGGGCAGGAAGCATCAAACTGTTTAATTTCATCGCATACTCTGTGAAAGCAGATATAAAGAGGATGCATGACGTCAAGGGTAGAAGACGTCGGCTTGTGTGGAAGACTATACTTTACCCTTTCACTTCCGTTTCCAACATCTCCAAGAAATTGTGCAAAAAGATCGCCATTTGGAATGATGATCTTCACCAGTATATGAAAGATGTCACCGGTCAGTGGTCGGGAGACAATCCAGTAGCTCATTACCTTATTATTATTGTTGAGTTCTGGTTCATGATACCTCACTGCTTCACGTTTATTGGCAGCTACATCACCAACTTCCTCGGCATCGATGATCTGCTAGATGAGATCAGTCTGATAAGATCTGTACACAGTGAACCCTTGACAAAAGAGCTGTGGGAATTCATATTTGACGAGCTTAAATCTAGACTCCAGCGTCCACGAAAGGAGAGAAGAAAAACAAAAGCCGGAAAGAAAGGATGGGATTCTGGAAACATTGAATTAGATATGGCTGATCCAGAACGGCTTATGCGTTATATAGCAGATGTTGATTTCGACCGGAGCCTTATGCTATGGCATATAGCAACTGAGCTGTGTTACCAAGAAGAAGTGCCCATAAGTAGCTGTGATAAAGACCGTGAGTTCAGCAAAATCCTTTCAGACTACATGATGTATCTCTTGATTATGCAGCCAAAGCTGATGTCAGAGGTTGCGGGGATAGGGAAGATCAGGTTTAGAGACACGTTAGCCGAAGCTGGAAAGTTCTATAAGAGATGGCATATTGAGAACTTGAGGGATGTGCGAAGAGCTAGCCATAAGATTCTTTCAGTAGAGATAGAGATTCATCCAAGGGATGTTAAAGGAAACAAAAGCAAATCTGTGTTGTTCGAGGCTAGGGCACTGGCGAAAGAACTCAACAAGATAAAGAAGCAAAGTGTTGATAGCGATGAAGAAAGCATGTGGAAGGTGGTAAGCAAAGTGTGGATGGAGTTGCTATTTCACGCAGCAAGCAATTGTGACGCTACAGCACGTATGGATCAGCTTAGCAAAGGAGGAGAGCTCCTCATTTTTGTTTGGCTAGCATTGGCTCACCTCGGCCTTGGAAGTCAGTTGAGTTCATCAGCAAACGGGTTGTCTGAGACAATCTGAATGTAAGGCAACATTGGTTTTGATTTGCACGTATCAATGTCCATTGTTGCTTTTGTTTTGCTTCTGACCTCTTATCGTGAGCAATTGCCTGCAAACAAATATGGCACATTGGAAGGAAACTTCACTTCTCTTCGTTATGTTATCGTTATTATCAAAATATGAACAATTAACTATACTAACAGTTTGAAAGAAAAAAACATTTGTACAGTATGATCATCAAAGACCTGCAAATTCAATAACAAACCTAATTGCACAGTATGATCATCAAAGAGCTGCAAATTCCACAAGTCACTGATCAAAATCACAGTACTAACATGAAAGAGCTTCAAATTCAACATTGTCAACTCATTTACCATCAGCCAAACACTCACTAGAGTGTAAATAAAACGGAATCACGAAGTACCAAAGCAACCAACCAGATTTACTGAGCCAATTCCAGATAAAATTGATAACTAACTGATTGGCTATTTGATTGGAGAGGAGGAGATTTTTCTCATACTTTTTTTGTGGATTCTTAATTTTTGGTCATACGATTTTCATGTTTATATACTATTTGATTGGCTAAATATACGAATATAAAACCACTACAGCCTGAGAGTTTCTCAGGTTTTCCCAAGTTGTCTAATCCTTTTTTGTTCTTGTTTGTGTGTTTTGCTTCCTCATTTCCACTGATGTATTGCTGGTATATGAGTTTTCGATTGTTGTTTTTTGTGAGTATTTGAATCAATGAGTTATGCTGTGATGCTTCTGGTTCTAAAGAAGAAACTAGATTCGGACCCGCGCTACAGCGCAGGGGAATGTTTTCGGTTCATTGTTTATCGTATGTGTTATTATTTTGTTAATTTTAGTATCAACAATTATTATTTCGAAATATTTATTTGATTACAATTATTTGGGAAAAATGTGTATTTAGAAATGAAATACAATATTTAAATAAAACAAATAAAATAACGTATATTAAAAATACAATAATTATAGTGTTTTTTAAAATAATAAAATTGATTAATTAGTTATTATTATTGCTTCCCAAATAATAGTAATGATAATTTGTGTAATATTTTTTATATTAAAAAATTAGATGACATGAGCTCCCTAAATTTAGTCTTTCACCCCCCCCCCCTAAATTAATATAAAATTATATGAGCTCCATAACTAATTTTGCATTAATTATGCTAATGTTAAAATAGTTTTCCATTTTTTATAAGTAATTCAAATTGATAAAGATATGGAATAATCTTGGAACCTCTTTCATAAATTTTATTGTGATTAAAATCTTTCATTTTACATATCAGGAAAGATAAAAATAAAAAAAATAATAAGGATCCAATATAATTATAAACATCACACTAATTCTTATTATTAAATTCGTTTTATAGTATATATATATATATTAAAATTTTATTTTATGATTTTAAGAAACATTTAACTAAACCCAACTGATTATCATTTGTAATACCATTATCTACGTAGTTTTATGTGCATTTTTTTATATTTGTTATACCAAATATTTTTAAAGTATGTTTTATATATATGTTTTTTCGTTTGTTATATCAAATACTTTGTCTTATAAAAATTTCAGAAGTAAAGATTAATATTGTAGAACTCTGGAATATTTACGGTATTATTTACATATTAGGATTTGTAAAGATTGAGAGGTTAGTCAATTATTTTGAAAAATCGTTTAATATAAGCATTTAATATTGTTTTCCGTAAATAGATTTGTTAGCAATAACAAAGTATCCTAAATTAGTGGGATAGTAAATATGGCATCGAAGAGGCAATCTCGAAACCTATTGATAGCCAACACTTTTATGGAATGTCAATTTATTAACGGGTCATATCTATCTATACTATTAAAAGGGGAGCATTTTTTGTGAGTGTAACCAAACAGATTAAATAGAAAAGATGATATAAAATGTAATACTAAATCTATAGCCAAACAAAATTAATGACAGATTTTCAAAAGAAAAAAATATGTTTTAAAATAAATAAAAAATCAAAACTAATAACTAACCAATTTTCATGGTAATCATAATAAATTTGTTACCATAAAATGTGGCCTATTAAATTCGAAATTGAATATTTGTAAACAATTTTTTAAAAATTGATATTTATAGTATTTAAATTGTATATATGTAAACAGTTTATATTAGGTAAATAAAAGTATGAAATAAATTAGGTCCAAGGAAAGATTAATATACTATAAATATCTAAAATCTATAGAAGTTTAGGTATTATTAACATTTACTCCTTTAAAAGTTTTTAAAATCTTATAAATATTTAAATTCCATGTAAAGTTTAAAATATTAGAAATATTTAAACTCAATTAAAAATTTATAAGTTTAAGCATTATTATATGGAGGAATTTCAAAAATACATATTAAAAATTTCAAATATCTTGAAGACTGCAAAATATATTACTAACCAATTTTCATGGTAATCATAATAAATTTGTTACCATAAAATGTGGCCTATTAAATTCGAAATTGAATATTTTTAAACAAATTTTTAAAAATTGATATTTATAGTATTTAAATTGTATATATGTAAACAGTTTATATTACGTAAATAAAAGTATGAAATAAATTAGGTGCAAGGAAAGATTAAAATATTATAAATATCTAAATTTTATAGAAGTTTAGTTATTATTAATATTTACTCCTTTAAAAGTTTTTAAAATATTATAAATATTTAAATTCCATTTAAAGTTTAAAATATTAGAAATATTTAAACTCAATTAAAAATTTATAAGTTTAAGCATTGTTATATGGAGGAATTTCAAAAATACATATTAAAAATTTCAAATATCTTGAAGACAGCAAAATATATTTTCAAAGGAAATAATTATGCTTTAAAATAAATAAATAAATCAAAACTAATACCTAACTACTATTCATGGAAATCGTAATAAATTTGTTACCATAAAATGTGCCCTGTTAAATTCGAATTTTTGTATTTGTAAACATATTTTAGATTTTTAATATATTTTTTCTAATTTAAACTAATAGATTTCAAAATATTATAATATTTTAATATTTGAAATGTTTAAAATAAATTGATATTTATAGTATTTTAAATTGTATATATGTAAACATATATACAGTTTAAATTAGGTAAATACACGTTCAAAAGATTAAATAATATAATTATTGAAATTCAGTATAAGTTTAAATAAAAAATAAAAAATAACATATTAATTAATGACATTTTAATTTTTAATAATTAATATTGGTTCATACAACCCGTCCTACAACATAATTCGTTTGTGTTATTTTAATTTTTATTTATTAAATTTAAATATATAAATTATAATATTTTAAACTTTTTAAAATTTTAAAATTGACTATTTACGGCAAAATTAAAAAAAAAATCACCTAAAAATCGAACTAATTGATATACAAATTTCAAAGTTTGGATGCTTATTAAGTGAAACTATTAAGTGAAACTTTCTGCTCACTCGGATTTAAATCCATTATGATCATATGTATAATATCATTTTGAATCATTCTCTAATATTTAAGCGGATTTGAGATGTGGTACACATACTTTTTATATTAGTTGAGTGATATATATCCGTTTAAAAAAATTTGAATCACAAAATATGTAGAACAACAAAATTAAATTTTATTCATTTATGTGTTATATGATGATTCAAAACAATTAAAAATCAAATCAAAAATATGATAGGGGAACCATAATTTTAAATCTTTTAAATATCGATGTATTTCCAATTTTATTATTTTCTAACAATTTTCCATTTATTTTTAAAGATAGTGTATTAAAGGCAGTGGCAATTTTTGTAAATAGTTTGAAAGTCTAGGATTTATTTGAAAAATTGCTTTAAAAATGTTAATATAGATAAATAGTATATCAAATAATTATATCTAAAAATATAACTATGCTAATGCGTAAGGGTGTGAAACATTGCGAACATTACCCTGGCAATATCTGAACGGGAAACGGTGAATGTGAAATGGGAACGGAAAAAATTATTTCCAAACTATTCCTGATAAGATATATGAGAGATAAATTTTGTATAACAATCTAAATAGTTTTTTTTTTATCTATAATCGAATCTAAGAATTTCATTTGAATATGCGCTAACTTTTGAACGGGTAAATATATACTTTAGATGATAATTTTAAAGTTTAAGAGAGTTAGAGAATATCCAAACGTAAGATATGAGTATTATGTCTAAATTGGAAGATTTATCAAAATGTATGGTACACACAGATTTTTGCAAATTCAAACGAGACGAATGTAAACATTGCTCATATGGCTTTCATGGGATAGAGTTTTCATGGGATAGAGTTTTTATTGGTAAAAACATCAATTACGTTGTCAAGGTGGAATTTCCACCTTGACAATTTAGGTAATTCGTTTTGGGAAGTCTGATATTTTTGGTATTTATCCGATTTCATATTTCAATAATTTACTAAAAATATAATTGATTACATTAGTTTACAATTGATCCGGATCCGGCCTCATGTCGAACCGGATCCATCCTCATGTCGATCTGGATCTGTCTTCGTATCGATCCAAATATTATGATGAAACTATTATTATTACAAACGTTAAGAAAATGTGATGAAACCAAATCATTATAAATATGAGTTATAAAGGTTATTTTAAATATTTAATACACAAATATATCCCCGCACGTATGTGCGGGTCCAAATCTAGTTATATCTTAAATGTGATTCGTTTGCTAAGTATCCATTTAATCTAATCGGGTAATATTTTTAAAATTTTCTGAAATAACCCGACCCATGAATTTTTTGTACTTCTCTTTTACTAATATAGAGATGTATTATTAACTGAGAAGATCTACCATGTTTCTCTATCAATGTTACATTTGCAGAAACTAAGCTCAAAAAACATAAAGTGACACTAAAGACAACAACAAAACAGTTTACAAGGAAAACAAAAGCAAACAAAAGAAAAAAGAAAAAAAACACAATGGAAATGAGCTCTTTCAGGTTTACACCTTTTCAAGCATGCTTAGGTAGAATAGATCCATTCTCACCTGATGTAGTGTTGTTAACTGATTCGGTAGTTCCACTTGTAGACCCGTTCGGGTCAGCTTTCTCATCGTCAAGAAACACAGGAAGAAGCGTAGCCAACAGTCTAGCAGCTAAAGGAAGACCACGAGACTTGTTCATCAGCTCATCTAAGCATTTCTTGTCGTTCCTTGGCGGCGTTTCCTCATTCTGTTCAAGTGCTTCTTTATATATGTTCCAGACACTCCCAGTATCAGTCAGAGGCCAAAGACGATGTATCTCATGTTCCTCTTTAACTAACTTCTTTGCTAGAGTGTATTTCTCATCCCTGGTCGTGTATATGACTCTTCCACCAGATCCGTTAGGGAATCCATCTGACAGATACTTTCCCCATTTACTCTCTTTCTTGAGTTTCTCCGCATCATGCTGAAGAATCTCGTTCCAGTTGTCCTCTTCGCGCACATCATCAAAGACAATCAGATACTTCTTCCACCTCAGATTCAAGTGAAGTGCATAGAGCAGAGCAGAGAGCTCGTCCTCTTTCGCCGTCTCTTCATCAAATTCTCCAGCTTCCTTCCTGTTTGCATCTTCTTCTACTACTTCTCTATGGATGGATTCAAACACCGAATCTTCAACTCCGAGACCCTTCAAGATCTTGGTCAACACACATATCTTCCCATCAAGTCCCTCCTTAGATTCATTGCTATGCATGGAAACCCAAATCCTTGGGGCATAAACACTCCTCACATCTGTATCATTGAAGATCATCTTGCATAATGTTGTCTTTCCAACACCATATTCTCCAACAATCACAAGACTCTTGAACTCCTTGTAAACTTTTTGATCCAACAAGAAGTTTTTCAGTGACGTGATCTCATTGTCAAAACCATGAATTACCTGGCCCGGATATTTAGAGTCGGTTTCCACACGATCCTCTTCGTCATCCTTCTCCCTATTCTTCAGAGCTCCTGCACAAAGATGATTTGTTTTGGGACTATTGCTGCTTTCTTCGTTGCTAAGATTGACCCATTTTTCATATTGGTCATGGAAGTTTTTTGTGAAGGTTCCTTTGGCTTCTCTTTGCCTCGAAATTTCTGGAGCCATAATCCAAGCAATGCTAAAGCAAAAGGAGAGAAATCTACAAGAAAGAAGAAACAACTAAAAAAATAGGATGAGGAAAGAAAAGAGAGAAAGACAACTTTTTGTTTTTGTTTTTTTTTTTTTTCTTTCTGTGTTTTGACTTTTGAGACATAATCAAAAATCACAATTAACTAAAATTAATCTTATTTGGTATATTTTAAGACCAAGACTAAGCACTAACTAACTAGCACTTCTTAATGATTTGTAGCCTTTTTAAACATCTCCAGTAAACTAGTTCTTAATAAGTTTCTTTATTTGTTTAAAATTATTGGAAGGTGTATGATTCTTATTTAAGAAACTCTCAACTGTTGTATAATACACTGTGTATTCAGTTAATCATTAATCTTTTTTTATGAGAGCAACTCTGTTTTTAAGTTCATTTGATAAATAACTTATATAATCGAACTTAATTTGTATCGCGTATTATATGAGGGAGCTTCAGTAAACATAAATTAGGCATTTTTAGAGTTAAATTTTTATATATATATATAAATATATATTTTTTCTATTGTAAAAAAGTTGAAAAATTTAATAGAAATTGACATTACAATTTTATAAGATACTTATAAGTCATATAAAACCAATTTTAAAATATAATAAACCATTTTATTTTCAAAATTTCTCAATCTTCTTACGTATAAATCACTATGAAACACTAAAATTACAAAAATATCTCATGTCTAATTTGTTAGTTTTTTTGTTATTTTAATATAGTTTTGTACTTTAAATTAGCCAAGTAAAGTTATATATGTATAAGTTTTGTTTGTTTTATATAATCAAAAACTATATTTGATTTAATAAAGACTATATTTTAATATTTTTATGCATATGATGTTTATTGGAATTTATTTAATAAAGACTATATTTTAATATTTTCATGTATATGATGTTTATTGGAATTTTTGGAAATAAATAATTTGTGGTATTTTTGTGGTATTTAAGAGAATTTAAAAGACTACTTATTATTATTATTATTATTTTTTTTGTAGGAACTTATTATTATTATTTTGTTAAAGGGTTTGCTTCAAAGACTATTTATCAAATTACCCGGGTATTTTTGTTTTTCGCAATTGCCAAAAGAAATATAATCGAAAAACCTACCCCAAAAAAATGTAACTCTGAAACTAAAACTGAAATTGAAATTGAAAGTGAATGGAAGGGAGAAGGATTGATCCATCCATGGAAGAATTAGAGTCGGAAATATAAGAAAAGCTTTTCTAACTAAGTATCAGTGAGCTTCGTTTGCGCGATTCAATGTGCGTTTGGGGTTTTGATTTCACTGGATTTGATTGTGTGTTGTATCGTCACTCATCAGTCGTATCGAAGAAGATCAATTAGAGTGATTTGTGCGTTGTTGGTTTCAATGGCGGCCAAAAGCTTCTCTTCTTGCGGCTTATACTCCCACAGATTCCTTCAGTTTTGGTCAGAATCTCCATTCGTTAAGGTATACATCGAGATACTTCACTCTTCTTTCGCAGGCTTATACATGTCACAACCCTTGTTGGAATATGAAAACTATTTGGGATAATAGAATCACAAAAGCATAACAATGTATGTCATCATCTCTATGCAGGACAGAGTTGGTCATTGTTTTTTTGAGGAAAAAAGTAGAAAGAAGTACAAATGCAGAATGAATTTTGTTGTTCTTGTTCACTCTCACTTGCCTATTATGAGCTTGGCTCTGGCATCTCCTTTGTTGATCTGGAACTGATCTGTTAGTCCAAAGTGAATCATTAGAAGCCACACGAAGTTTATGAGCTCACCGCCTCTGCTTAGTTGCTCCACGTGAGCCGTAGGGTCACAGTGACGAGCTGCAAAACAGAGAAGTTCCACCCATACTTTACTCAGTATCTCCCATTTGTCTATTTTGTGCGTCTTCTCCATCTCTGTAAGGTCTTTGGCTAGCCTGCTTGCCTCAAACAAGACAGACTTGCTTCGATATCCTTTCACGCCCATAGGTTCAATTTCACTATTGACGTCCAGTATATTTTCGGTGGCTATCTTTACGCTTCTCTCGTCCTCGATATGCCTCCTCTGGAAAAACTTGTCAGCGTCAGCCAATGTGTCTCTGAATCTTATTTTTCCAATTCCAGCTACTTTGGACATCAGACTGGGTTGCAAGATCAGGAGATACATCACATAGTCGGAAATGATCTTGCTGTGCTCGCGGTAACTGTAATGATATTTTTCATCATAACCCTCTGGGGTATTTTCTTCTTGTTGGTAACAGAGCTCGGTTGCGATGTGCCACATCAAAAGACTCTGATCATAATCAACGCTTGTGACATAACGAATCAGTTTTTCACGTTCTGCATCCTCTGGCAGGTTCTCTCTTAAAGTCCATTCTCCCCGAGCCAAAGATATCCCTTTGGCATTCTCAGGACTGTCTCCATATTTTGATTTGTATTTCAGCTCAGTAAACATGAACTCCCACAATTGTTTCGTCATCGGCTCTCCGTGTACAAACAAAGCCTTGTTGACTGTATCAAGCGTTTCCGAGATGTCGAAAAACTCACTAAGGTCATCCCACACATATTTGATGAAATAGGGGATGCGGGAGAGGAACTCAAAATAGAGAGGGTAAATCGTACGACGAGCCAAAGGATAAATTCTTGATAATTCATTGACTTTGTGGCTGATCCATCTGTGCACTTCATTGATCAACTTGACAATCCATCCAAAAACGTTCTGGATGATTAAGTTAAGAATTTTGAATGGGAAAGATATGATCTTCCATGAGTAGCGGCGGAAACTACCTCTTGCATCGTGAATCCTCTTTACCTCTGATTTTGTGGCGTAAGCTAGAAAGTTGAATACGTTAATGCTTCCGCACCACCTTCGGAGGAAGAATGGCGTCGTGAGCACGTCATGCCTATGTACTGTTGAACACTTATCATCACCTTCGGTCCACTTATGCCAACCTTTATGGTGGCATTCTTGCGTCTTCCAACGCAGCTGTCTGAAACTAAGTAGCCAACAGAAAAATCTCTCTTTCGATGTTAGAGGCTCATCTGGATCATCCTTCAGGCTACTAAGTGTAACACACGTCCAGTCGGAAAACAAAAACAAGACTAGGGATATAAAATCCAAAGCTATGCCAACTGCAAACAGTGTGTAGGTAACCACGACATCAGCTCCATGAAATTGTATGTCTTTCTTAGGTTTCTTATGAAAGTTGATGAATGCAGCCACAAGGGTACCAGAAGCAACAATGCGTGAGGCAAGTCCACCTAAGCTATGAAGAACCGCCATCTTGGTGAATAGAGCATCATAGAGGAAACCAAGCTCTATCTCAATGATCCTCAAAGCTTCTTCCGGACTATTCAAATTCTCAAAGATCTCTAGACTCCCGTCACGCTCCCTGAAGCTGAAGATAAGGTTGACAACAAGGCCTTTGAATGTGTTGAAGAACTTGTAACCATACTGAGCTATCTCAAGATGGGTCAACTCTTTTCTGTTCGTCAAGGCTAATGATGGATGCCCTAACTTCGGAGGGCTATGTTCTTTGTCAGGCTCATCAATCAGAATGATCTTAATGGGTAGTCTTGCATCTTTCTTGGCCTTGTACTCCTCCATGAGTTTCGCATAGTTTGGTCCCGGATCTAGTGCTTGAATCATAGAGTCCCTAAATTTGTCAAAACTGGCACTGTACAAAGCCGCTGTCCTCTCTACATACTTAATAGTCCCAGAAATGAACACTAAGAGTATAATCACCCAAAGGCTGTTGGGCAGAGACAGGAGAACCACATAGACACCAGCAATTGCCTGAAAGACAAGTCCAAATACATGTCTGAACCAGAGAGCGTTATCTTCAAGCGCAAAAGCTGTGATTGTGTCTGGTCCACCAAGATGCAAGAGCAAGAATGGTGCCCATAAAGCCATGAGCTTTTTATCCTGTGGAGGGTCATCAGGTTTCAGATCTTTACCTTGATTCTTGGAGATGAGACCAACAGCGAAATTGGCAGACCAGTCTGCTAAGAGATAAGAGGTCCAAACGAGCATGATCAAGAGCCTTCTTGGTGTGCGTTTCCTTAGAGGGGAGAAGCAAATGAGAATAGCTTGAAGGCCAAGACTTAGAATGACTGCTCCTCTTATGTTCCACCTATCCCACACATCTTTGATGTGTTTTGGTATTACTTCCACCATTTTTGCTCTCTTGATAAAGGAAAGAAAGAAAAGATTACTCTTTGCCTCTTCTTGGTTCTTTTTTTGTTCTCTTCCTCTCTCTCTCTCTTTAGGTTATTGAGATGTTTCTTTCCACAGATTTACTTGAGAAGTTGTGGAATGTTTTCAGGAAGCCATTGATGCTGTTCTTTCTCTTTTCTTTTTTTTTACGAGAAGCTCACTCGGGAGAGACGACTTGAACGAAACCTTCTTTTCTTTTTCTTTTCTATTTTTATTCTTTTTGTAACAATTTTGCATTTTCGTCATTTATTGTTGCAAATTGTTTATTAAAAAAATTACTGTAGCACACCGTAAAAAAAAAAAAAAACTTTTTTTTCTATTCAAATTAAATAAAAATACCAGCTAGCTAAAACCTGAGCTTGCTGAATAAATCAATCAGTTATCAATGCCTCCATTTGTTTTAGAATTATTGTTCCTACTTTTTTTTTCAACTATCCCACACATCTTTGATGTCTTTTGGTATCACTTTCACCATTTGTGCTTTCTTAGGTAAAAATAAAAAAGATTTTTTCTTCTTAAAATTGGTTCCTTTTTTCTCTCTCCCTCTCTCTTGGTTATCGAGACTTCTTTGAGAAATTTAGAGTTTGTGGAAGAGAAAATTGTGAGGAATAATATGTACACCAAATGTTTTTTAGAGGCCCTTTTCCCAAACTTCTTTCAAAACATGCTATAGTAATTTTATTTTAATCAAATATTTACATTTTTAACAAAATAATAATAATAATAATGATGCATATGTTCTCATTACATTGTGGTATTTTGACAAAATTCCCAAAAATAAAGAAATAAGGGAGACGTGATTTACTTAGACCATTATTAGTAGAGAACCTCACATGAAGTACTTAAAATTAAATGGAAAAAAAATAAGGGGAATTATTATTTTTTTCTATTCTATTTTACCAAACTTCTAATAAGAGAATGCAACGCCTGAGCTTCTAATAAAAGAATGTCACCTCGCGTTTCTCTAAGGTTGCATATGTTGCCACAAGAAGCAACGCTTTTATTTTTACTGGGCCCTTTTTCTTATTTTTCCTTTAATTGTTGGCCACTTTTCTTTAAGGAATCCCTTTAGTACCTCCCAGTAAACTTGCTCTTAGAGCACTTCCCATTGGAGATACTTAGACCATGTTTATTGGCGTACTTTGTCTTGGTCCCAACCAATTTTATACACAAAATTAAATCAAAAACAAAATAAAAAATGAAGGACGTACGCACAAACGCGACGGTCATGCGTCCTGTTTTTCTATGTTCACGGGCCCCACTGACACGTGGTGGCCCGCGATTGGTCTTCTTTTTTTTTGATTAAATTTTTTTCTTGGACCCAACTATGCCATTGGCCTTATATGACTTTCATATTATTGAAAAAATAAAAATAATTAAAATAGAAGAAAGAGAGTAAAGAGGAGTGCTTTAAAGAGAGATTTTGGAACCTCTATAAACACTTCATAATTCACAGGTCACCAATTGATTGGTTATATTTTGTTTTCTTAATTGCATTTTAATTTAAGTTTATTAAAATAATTATAATTTTATGATTTAAGCATCCCTTATTAGAGGTATTCATGGTTGAAGATGGTTTTAGTAAATCATCGATTCTTTTTTTTTTTTCCGGATGCCAAGAGACGAGTAAGCTATTGGTTCTTTATATACTTTTGTTTCATTTTAATTAACCCTTTTTGTAACGTTTTGTAGGTGTCTACACAAAATTTAGGTGAAAATAACTAGTTGACTTTTAAAAATAAACAAATTTCTTAAAATGTGCTCTTGTAACCAAAATATCTAATAAATTGGGACAAATGAAGTATCCTCTCTCTAATACATACAGTATTTAACCATAGTTATAAGTTATATTATTTAAAGACAGTCTCGGGTTAGTCTTTCTTAAATCGAGTCATTATATAATGACCCAACTGACCATTGACCAAAAATATAATAATGAACATTAAAAAGTACTTCTGTTGCATAATTATTAAATTTATAATAATAAATTATTAAATTTCATAGATGGTTTATAAACTTTCGTTTATTAATTTAAGAAATAGTTTTATTTATTTGACAAAAGTAAAAATGTCCAAATCACTCTATTTTAAAGGAGAATTACAAAAATACTTCTTTCCAAATACCATTTTCCAAAAATATTTCCTTTTTCATAACATCAAAAACCAACTAAATTTTGAAATTTTATCCAAAAATATGGGTAAACTTATATAAATATACACAACTTACATTTATATGTGTGTAAAATTATACATATATTTTATAAATACCGTATAAATAACTTAAAAACTTTTAAAAACATTTTATACCCCTTTTAAGACCTTATAATATATGTTTTATTCGAGTCTCTATGTTATAGTTATTATTTAGAAGTACCTTATAAAAACATATAAGACTTTATAATTTTTCAAATTTAAAAGAGGTATTTTTGAAAATGCATAGATAAAAGTGTATATTTGAAACATCTTATAATTTTGAAATATTATATTTGATAATAACAGAAAATATTCTAAAAATGTAAATTTGGATTCTAATTTTTTTTTTAATCAACAACAATATCTAGGTCTAAAATTGAAATTTCGTCGCAGAACAGAGACTTGATTGCAGTGATAGAAAGCAGTTAAAAATTTAAGAAATTCTCTTAGAAAAACAAAAGAGACAAAACACAGAAAAAATGTAGAAGTCAAAAGAAAAAAGTAAAAAAAAAAAAAAAAACAGCTGCTACTTTTGTTGCTTATTAGATGACGATCACTTGCCTATAATCAGTTTGGCTCTAGCATCTCTTTGGTTAATCTGGAAATGATCTCCTAGTCCCAAATGAGTCATCAATAGCCAAACAAAGCTGATGAGTTCTCCTCCTTTGCTTAGTTGAGCTGCATGTTCTATAGCGCCACAGTTGGTCGCTGCATATGAAAGCAACTCAACCCACACTTTGCTCACTATTGTCCACATCTCTGCGTCGTCCTCCTCCTTCTTGCTGAAACCCTTAAGCTCTTTGGCAAGCTTGGCTGCATCAAACAGGACGGACTTGCTTCTATCACCTTTCACGTCAATGATCTCAGCTTTTGCTGGGGCCGCCACTGATAAAATGGCCAAGCTGGCTCTCTTTGCATTGGTGACCTTCTTTATGGACCTGCCCAAGATATGCCTCCTATCAAAGAACCTCTTAGCCTCCTCGCACGTGTCTCTAAATCTTATCTTTCCATTACCCACAACAGCTGACATTAGAGTGGGTTGCATAATGAGGAGATAAATCATGTAGTCTGAAAGGATTTTACTGAACTCACGGGTGCTATGATTTGCATTAGTGCCTTTTTCTGTTTCGTATGTTTGGTATAAGAGCTCAGTGGCAATATGCCACACCAGAAGGCTCTGACCATAATCCATTTCTATCACATAGTGTAGAAGTTTCTCACGCTTTTTTTCTGTTTCTTCGTCTTCACATTTTATGTCGCCTAGAGTCCAGTCACCTCGAACTGAAGATATCCTTATGGCGCTTTCAGGGTCATCAGCGAATGTGGATTTGCTTTTAACCTCTGTGAATATGTGTTCCCACAGATCCAGGGTGAGACGATCACTGGATGTGTAGATCACCTCATCTAGCTTACCTTGAATCTGAGCTTGAATGTCAAAGAAATCCATAAATCTCTTTATCAGATGTACAAACACACAAGGAATGTAAAATGTGCAGTAGAAGCACATCCCAATGTACCCCTCATTTAGACGTTTGTTACGTCTGTAACAAAGACTTATGTGTCTCTCAATCCGCTTGGGTATTTGGTAACATCTCTCTTTTATGGTTGCTATGCCACTTCCTATATATTTGATGGCAGGTCCAATGAAAAGGACTTCGTTAATTATCCTGTCTAAGGCGAGGTGTATTGCGCCCTTGGTATGGTGGATTCGCTTCGGTTTTAAACATAAGCAATATTCTATCAGGTTGTGTGCATGTACATACTCGGACCACCTGCGGTATATGAAACTCGTGTCCAGCACTTCATGAAATGGTTCATCATCAGTACTCTTATCGGGCACTTCATGAGACGCTGTTTTCTTAGTACTCTTGAAGCATTGGTAGTATTTCTCCGTCTTCAACTCCCTGACCCCAAGAACCCATTCAAGAATCCAATTAAGAATGTCGTCGAACTTGGTGTCTTTATCGTCCGCCTCGTCTTTCATCTTCCTGAGTCTAACAAACATCCAGTCAGATGCACAGAACATGATTAGAGCGATGCAATCCAGAGCTATTCCTCCTAACAGCAATGCGTAAGTAAGGCCAACATCAAATCCACCATAGTCGTTCTTGTTCTTGTATTGAAAGATGCGGAGAGCTGCTATAAGGCACCCCAGGGCAATGAACCTGAAGCTAAATCCTATCCAATTATGCAAGATCTCGGCTTTCGTGTACAGAGCTTCATATAAAAAGTTGAGTTCAACCTCCAAGATTCTTAGAGCTTCATCTGCTCTCAACGAGCTAAAGAATCTCTTGCTTTCAGCTAGTTCTTGAAATGTATAGATGAGATCAACCACAAGACCTTTGAAAATATTGAAGTTCTTATAAGCATACTGGAGAATATTGAGTGGAGTGAGGATCTCAGGCCTAACGTCAACGTCAGCTTTTGGATCTTTCTCAGCCTCTTCAATCATGATAATCTGTGCAGGCACCTTCATATCTTTCTTGGCTGCATATTCCTCCATGAGCTTCGCGTAGTTTGGTCCAGGATCAGGCCGCTTAATCATGGAATCCTTGAACTTGTCAAGACTGGCCAGGTACAAAGCTAATGTCCTCTCAACATACTTGATCACTCCGGCCGAAAACACCAGCAAAATGGGTTTCCAAAGAGCATTGGGTAGGGATTGCAAAAGCACGTAAATTGTTGCAACTGCTTGAAAGAAGAGACCCAACAAATGCCTGAGCCATAACTCGTTATCTTCAAGGGCAAGGGCAGTGATTGTATCTGGACCACCGAGATGCAACAGCAAGAAAGGAACCCAGAAAGCTAACAATTCGGCGCTCTTTTTGGGTTCCCCCGGTTCTGGATCGTCTCCTTGACTATCTGAGATTTGCCCGGCGGCGAAATTGGCTGCCCAATCAGCAAGAAGGTAAGCTGACCAAATGAGAGAGAGAAACAACGTTTTTGATGAGCGTTTTCTTTGGGGTGCAAAGAAAATGAGAAATGTTTGAAGACTGAGACTGAATATTAAGGTACTTCTGATACTCCATACGTCCCATATGTCCTTGATAGGCTTCGGGATTGCGTTCACCATCTTCAAACTGATTTGCTGGAACAGACAAGAACTGATGAGATACAACTAAAGAGGCTTGGATTATTTGTTTTTTGCTTGTTGGCTTTCGTGTTTACTTTTTTTTTCTGTGTGTGACAGCCATTGAAGCCTTCTTGCAGTACTTGTGGTTTAGTCAACATTTTCGTTTCTTTTTTTTTTTGGTGGAAACATTTTCGTTTCTTATTAGAGCTCTCAAGTCTTTTCTTTTTAGTTTTTCGTTTTTGGTTTTACCTTTTTCAGTTTATTTATTTACTAATACAGTATACCTCATAAAAAATATTAAAAAGCTGTTGTTTACTCTAGCCGTCCGAGATTCCGGAGGAAGCGTAATCCTTGTTGACAATAAGTGAGACGAAAGGAATAGGTAGCCGTAGATCTGATGAAATGCAGTAAATAAGATGTATTATTTGTGCCCAGCCATAGAAATATGCAACAAATTTTCCAGAGAATACAAATATTTTAATTAAAAAAAACAATGAAATTATTTCGAATAAAGTTGCAAATCCAACCCAATATGTACGAGAGATTTACTTTTAGTCAAATTTTGGGAAGAATTTACATAAATATGGTTACATATATTTATAGTAAAACTCACAAAATATTTTAATCTAAAATTAGACTATTTAAATTAAAGATGTTATGCTAACATCATTATACCATTTTGAATCTCAGATTTATTTAACTAAGTTAATTAAATTACGATTATATATAAAAACGAATTGCCATGTATTATTTTACAGGTTAAATCATATAATTAACGATCAAAATACAGTAATACAATTTTAAATACCAAACAAATACAACTTTTAAAGGATTAAAGATACAATCTTAAATACCAGACAAATACAACTTTTAAGGGGGAATTTCTTTAAAATGATCTTTAATCGAATCTTGGAAAGCAATGAAAAAAAAAGAGTTGGGTGTGTTTCTCCAAAATTTGTGTGTTTGTTAAACACTCTAACTGGTAAAGAGAGTTTCAATAAGGTCAATTTCCAAATAATTCCAATTTCTTCTTCCTCGTTTTCCGCCGGAAAAGAACGTTGGCTGTATGCTCCACCGTCTCCACCTCGTTCTTTGCCGGCGGAATGATTTCCCATCTTCATTCTCCTTATTACATCAATTGATTCTTAGAGTTGGTTCATCTTATCAATCGACCCTTCTTCCCTCTTTCCTTCTCCGAAGCTGCCTCTCCGTCAAATTTTTCCATTTTCAAGATTCCTTGCAGCTTCTTCTTCTACCTGTAAATATGTACGGATTCGAACATGTACACTACTCTTTCGATGTGGTTTCGCATAGTTAAAAGGTGAATTTTATAAATGTGTTATCTTTGTTTCGTTTTCTGTTACATGTCATCTGTTGATCATTTTATCCGCAACAATTACTAATGTAGCTATGTTATTCAATTTGCGATAGTATTGCCATGCTTTTATTCATTCGAATGTCTGCGTGCTTCCCTTGTTTTGAATCGGAGACTTGTGTAATCTAGACTCAGCTAGAATGATTCTTAGAGAGCAAATCTTATACATGTCACAGCCCTTGTTGGAATATGAAAACTATTTGGGATAATAGAATCACAGAAGCATAACAATGTATGTCATCATCTGTGTGCAGGACAGAGTTCATTGTTTTTGAGGAGAAAAAGTAGAAAGAAGTACAAATGCAGAATGAATTTTGTTGGACTTGTTCACTCTCACTTGCCTATTATGAGTTTGGCTCTGGCATCTCCTTTGTTGATCTGGAACTGATCTGTTAGTCCAAAGTGAGCCATTAGAAGCCACACGAAGTTTATGAGCTCACCGCCTCTGCTTAGTTGTTCCACGTGAGCTGTAGCGTCGCAATGACAAGCTGCATAACATAGAAGTTCCACCCATACTTTACTCAGTATCTCCCATTTGTCTTTCTCGTGCGTCTTCTCCATCTCTGTAAGGTCTTTGGCTAGCCTGCTCGCGTCAAACAACACAGACTTACTTCGATCTCCCTTGACGTCCATTGGTTCAATTTCACTATTGACGGCCAGTATATTTATGGTGGCTATCTTCACTAAGGTGGTTGTCTTCACGCCCAAATTATATATTCGTCTCCTCTGAAAAAACTTGTCAGCTTCAGCCAATGTGTCTCTGAATCTAATCTTCCCAATTCCAGCAACCTCGGACATCAGACTGGGTTGCAAGATCAGGAGATACATCATGTAGTCTGATATGATTTTGCTGAACTCCCGGTAGCTATAATGCTCACGTTTTTTATCAGTGTCCTCTGGGATAGTCTCTTCCTCGTGTTGTTGGTAACAGAGCTCGGTTGCGATGTGCCACATCAAAAGACTCTGATCGTAATCGACCTTTGTAACATATCGCACCAGTTTTTCACGGTCTGCATCCTTTGGTAGGTTCTCTCTTAAAGTCCATTCTCCTCTAGCCAATGATATTCTTTTGGCATTTTCGGGACTGTCTCCATACTTTGATTTGTTTTTCAGCTCTTCGAACATGAACTTCCACAATTCTTTCGTCATGGGCTCTCCGTGTACAAATAGCGTCTTGTGGACCATATCAAATGTATCTGAGATGCCGAAGAACTCGCTGAGGACATTCCACACATATTTGATGAAATCAGGGATGTGGAATAGGAACAGGATATAGATAGGATAAATAGTACGACGAGCCCAAGGATGGTTTCTTGATAATGCATTAACTATGTGGCTGATCCATCTGTGCACAGTATTGATCAACTCGGAAATCCATCCAAAAACTTTCTGGATTATGAAATTGAGTATTTTGAATGGGAAAGCTATGATGATCCATAAGAAGCGGAATTCATCGCCGGCATCATGGATCCTCTTTAGCTCTGTATTTGTGGCATATGCTAGAAGTTGAATACATTGACGCTTCCACACCACCTCCGGAGGAAAAACGGCGTCGTGAGCATGTGATGCTTCTGTACCATTGAACACTTATCATCACCTTCCTTGATACACGGTTTCTCACCTTCCTTGGAACACTTATGCGTACCTTTATTGTAGCACTCTTGCGACTTCCAACTCAGCTTTCTAAATTCAAGTAACCAGTTGAAAAATCTATCTTTCCATGATAGTGGCTCATCCGGATCGTCCTTCAAACTACTTAGTGCAGCACATGTCCAGTCTGAGAACAGAAACAAAAGGATGGATATGAAATCCAAAACTAGGCCAACTGCAAACAGAATATAGGTAACCACAACATCAGCTCCATGGAAGTCTCTGCCTTTGTTAGATTTCTTATAAAAGAGGATGAATGCAGCCACAAGGGTACCAGAAGCAACAACCCGTGAGACAGTTCCAAAAACAGTATGAAGAACCGCAATCTTGGTGAATAGAGCATCATAGAGAAAACCAAGCTCAACCTCAATGATCCTCAAAGCTTCCTCTGAATCAGCTAAATTCTCAAAGATTTCTAGGCTCTCGTCACGCTCCCTGAAGCTGAAGATAAGGTTGACTACAAGGCCCTTGAATGTGTTGAAGAATTTGTAAGCATACTGAACGATCTCCAGATGAGTTAACTCTTTTCTTTTTGTCTCCGAGGCCAGTGATGGATGCTCTAACTTCTTAGGCCTATGTTCCTTGTCAGGCTCATCAGTCAGAATGATCTTTGTGGGTAGTCTTGCTTCTTTCTTGGCCTTGTACTCCTCCATGAGCTTCGCATAATTTGGTCCTGGATCTGGTGCTTGAATCATAGAGTCCCTAAACTTGTCCAAACTGGCACTATACAAAGCCGTTGTCCTCTCCAGATACTTTATAGTCCCAGAAATGAACACTAAGAGTATAATCACCCAAAGGCTATTTGGAAGGGACTGGAGAACCACATAGGCACCAGCGATTGCCTGAAAGACTAACCCAAAGACATGTCTAAGCCAGAGAGCGTTATCTTCAAGAGCGAACGCTGTGATTGTGTCCGGCCCACCAAGATGCAAGAGCAAGAATGGTGCCCATAGAGCCATGAGCTTTTTATCCTGCGGAGGGTCATCAGGTTTGAGATCTTTACCTTGATTCTTGGAGATGAGACCAACAGCGAAATTAGCAGACCAATCTGCTAAGAGATAAGAGGACCAAATGAGTATGATCAAGTGCCTTTGTGGTGTGCGTTTCCTTAAAGGAGAGAAGCAAAGGAGAATGGCTTGAAGGATAAGACTTAAAATGATTGATCCGCTTATGTTCCATCTGCCCCACGCATGTTTGATCTCTTTTGGTATCACATCCACCATTTTTGCTCTCGCTTGTAGGAGAAAAGTTAAGCTTCTCTCTTTTGGTTATTGAGAAGTTTTTCTCCTTTCTCAGAGTTACTTGAGAAATATGGGGTTTGTGGAATGTTTTCACTTTTCAGGAAGCCATTGCCATATGTTCTTTCTCTTTTCTTTCTTGACCAGAAGTTCGCTCGGGAGAGAGAGACGACTTCAGCAACTCGTCTTTTCTTTTCATTTGTTTTTGGAGTTATAACCGTAGTTATGACTTATTATTAAAAAACAATGAAAGACTAGTTTTTCTAAGTCGGGTTGGTCTTTCTTAAGTCGAGTCACATTATTTAATGAAAATAATTAAAGGATGAATCTAGTGTTAAACTTTACGAATCTTGTCTACTAAATAAACAATGTGAATTGTGATTCCTTTATGAGATTCTGAAGTTCGATTGCTTCATTACTGGATTCAAAGACACAGAGAGAGCTTATATTTTTATTCTGATTTCATAAATAATAAGGATTTACAAATTATATGTGGATTTAAAAATCAATAACACCCCTTAAATACTTCAAAAAATTGTTAGGATTGTGTTTGTTCGTGTTTTAGATGTAAAATACAATAAAATCTTCAATGAAACAAATTCCATTGGAAATTGAATAATGGTTATTTTACAAATACTTTAAAATACATCAAACAAATGTTTAATCCAACAACAACAGATTTTATTGTGTTTTTAAAATATTTTTAGATACACTCAAATCCATTAAAACACAAGGTTGAATAAGACCCCTTAAATTATTTAAAAAAATTTGGAGACAATTTTAAAAACTCTTTAAATTTTACGATTATTTTCGAGCACACAAATATTAGAAATTTTATCTCAATATACTCAAAAAAGATTCAGGTAACTCAAGTTTTCGGTTAAATATCCTTATGATACACTTAAAAATGTGAATTAGATTTAATTATTTTCCACTGAATTTTGGAAACCAAAAATTTGGGTTTGTTTGTCAAAAAATTTGGGTTTTTGTTAAACACTCTAATTCATAAAGAGTGTTTCATCAGGGTCTATTTCCAAAATAACCCCAATTCTTTCTTCCTCGTTTCCGCCGGAAAAAGAAAGTTGGGCTATATGCTCCGCCGTGTCACCGGCTCACCGCCTTTTAACCTCGTTCTTTTACGGAAGACTGATTTCCCGTCTTCCTTCTCCCTCTCATCAATTCATCTCCTCTTTGTCATCTTATCAATTGACTCTTCTTCCCTCTTTCTTTCTCTTTACCTGCCTCTCCGTCAATGTTTTTCCATTTTCCAAGTTCCTTGCGGCTTCTTCTACTACCCTAAATATGTACAGATTCGAACATGTACTGTTAAAAAGGTGAATTCAGAAACGTGTTATCTTTGTTTTTACATGTCAGATATTGATAATTTTTTTTTATCTGCAATAAAGATTGATGTAGCTATGTTATTCAATTTGCGGATAGTATTGCCATGCTTTGCTTTCATTTTGAACATCTACTGGATTCTTTGTAGGTTGCTTTTATTCATTCGGACGTCTGTGTGTTCCCTTGTTTTGAAGCTCTAGTGACTGGCGACTGATAACTTGGAGAAATGTGTAGTCTGAACTCGGCAGCTAGACTGATGTTAAACCAATTTCATACATGTTTGGCAACGATATTTGGGATAATGCAATCACAAAAGCATACGAATGTATGTCATCATCCCTATGCAGGACAGAGTTCATTGTTTTTGAGGAGAAAAGTAGAAAAAAATACAAATGCAGAATGAATTTTGTTGTTCTTCTTGTTCACTCTCACTTGCCTATTATGAGCTTGGCTCTGGCATCTCCTTTGTTGATCTGGAACTGATCTGTTAGTCCAAAGTGAGCCATTAGAAGCCACACGAAGTTTATGAGCTCACCGCCTCTGCTTAGTTGTTCCACGTGAGCTGTAGCGTCGCAATGACAAGCTGCATAACACAGAAGTTCCACCCATACTTTACTCAGTATCTCCCATTTGTCTTTTCCGTGCGTCCTCTCCATCTCTGTAAGGTCTTTCGATAGCCTGCTTGCGTCAAACAACACAGACTTGCTTCGATCTCCCTTCACGCTCATTGGATCAGTTTTACTGTTGACGTTCAGGATATTTTCGGTGGCTATCTTCACGCTTTTCTTGTCCTCGATATGCCTCCTCTGGAAAAACTTGTCAGCTTCAGCCAATGTGTCTCTGAATCTTATCTTCCCAATTCCAGCAACCTCGGACATTAGACTGGGTTGCAAGATCAGGAGATACATCATGTAGTCTGATATGATTTTGCTGAACTCCCGGTAGCTATAATGCTCATGTTTTTTATCAGTGTCCTCTGGGATAGTCTCTTCCTCGTGTTGTTGGTAACAGAGCTCGGTTGCGATGTGCCACATCAGAAGACTCTGATCATAATCGACCTTTGTGACATAACGTACCAGTTTTTCACGTTCTGCATCCTCTGGCAGGTTTTCTCTTAAAGTCCACTCTCCTCGAGCCAAAGATATCCTCCTGGCATTCTCAGGACTGTCTCCATACTTTGATTTGTTTCTAAGCTCTTCAAACATGAAGTCCCACAATTCTTTCGTCATGGGCTCTCCGTGTACAAATAGCGTCTTGTGGACTATATCAAGCGTATCCGAGATGTCGAAGAACTCGCTGAGGATATCCCACACGGATATGATGAAATAAGGGATGCGGGATATGAACTCGAAATAGATAGGGTATATAGTAAGACGAGCCCAAGGATGGTTTCTTGATAACGCATTGACTCTGTGGCTGATCCATCTATGCACATCATTGATCAAATCGAGAATATATCCAAATACTTTCTGGATAATGAAGTTGAGTTTTTCAAATGGGAAAGATATTATCATCCATGAGATGCGGCGGAAATCACCTCTGGCGTCATGGATCCTCACCACCTCTGCATTTGTTGCATATGCTATAAAGTTAAATACGTTGATGCTTCCACACCACCTCCGGAGGAAGAATGGTGTCGTGAGCACTTCATGTTCCTGTTCTATTGAACACTTACCATCACCTTCCTTGATACACGGTTTCTTACCTTCGTCGGTACACTCATGCTTGCACACTTGCTTCGTCCAACGCAGCTCTCTTAGACCAAGTAACCAGTTGAAAAACTTATCTCTACGGGACGATAGAACCTCTTCAGGGTTTTCTTTCAAGCTACGTAGTGCAGCGTACGTCCAGTCAGAGAATAGAAACAAGAGGATGGATATGAAATCCAAAGCTATGCCAACTGCAAACAGCGTGTAGGTAACAACAACATCAGAGTGTTGAAAGTGTATGTCTTTCTTAGGTCTCTTATCAAAGAGGATGAATGCAGCCACAAGGGTGCCAGAAGCAACGATGCGTGAGACAGTTCCAATAAAGGTATGAAGAACCGCGATCTTGGTGAATAGAGCATCATAGAGGAAACCAAGCTCAACCTCAATGATCCTCAAAGCTTCCTCTGAATCAGCTAAATTCTCAAAGATCTCTAGGCTCTCGTCACGTTCCCTGAAGCTGAAGATAAGGTTGACTACAAGGCCCTTGAATGTGTTGAAGAATTTGTAAGCATACTGAACAATCTCAAGATGGGTCAACAATTTTGTTTTCTTCAAGGCTAATGATGGATGCTCTAACTTCTTAGGCCTATGTTCCTTGTCAGGCTCATCAATCAGAATGATCTTGGTGGGGAGTCTTGCCTCTTTCTTGGCCTTGTACTCCTCCATGAGCTTGGCGTAGTTTGGTCCTGGATCTGGTGCTTGAATCATAGAGTCCCTGAACTTGTCCAAACTGGCACTATACAAAGCCGTTGTCCTCTCCAGATACTTTATAGTCCCAGAAATGAAAACTAAGAGTATTATAACCCAAAGGCTATTGGGAAGAGACTGGAGAACCACATAGACACCAGCAATGGCCTGAAAGACAAGTCCAAAGACATGCCTGAGCCAGAGAGCGTTATCTTCAAGCGCAAAAGCTGTGATTGTGTCGGGTCCACCAAGATGCAAGAGCAAGAATGGTGCCCATAAAGCCATGAGCTTTTTATCCTGTGGAGGGTCATCAGGTTTGAGTTCTTTACCTTGATTCTTGGAGATGAGACCAACAGCGAAATTGGCAGACCAGTCTGCTAAGAGATAAGAGGTCCAAACGAGCATGATCAAGAGCCTTCTTGGTGTGCGTTTCCTTAGAGGGGAGAAGCAAATGAGAATAGCTTGAAGGCTAAGACTTAGAATGACTGCTCCTCTTATGTTCCACTTATCCCACGCATCTTTGATGTGTGTTGGTATTACTTGCACCATTTTTGCTCTCTTGAGAAAGGAAAGAAAAGAAAAGAAAACTCTTTGCCTCTTCGGTTTCTCTCTCTAGGTGTATGTGGTTCTTTTTTGTTTCTCTTCTTCTCTCTCTCTCTCTCTTTAGGTTATTGAGATGATTCTTTCCACAGATTTACTTGAGAAATTGTGGAATGTTTTCAGGAAGCCATTGATGCTGTTCTTTCAGCTCACTCGGGAGAGACGACTTCAGCGCAACCCCAGGTCTAGCTGGTATGTTTCTTTTCTTTCTTTTTTTCCTTTTTGCAAATTTAGTAACTATTTTGCATTTTCGTCATTTATTATTGCGATTTGTTTTTTAAAAAATTTACTGTTGCACGCCGTAAAAATACCACTTTTTCTATTGGATTAAATACTCAAAAAAAAAAAAAAAACCAGCTAGACCTGAGCTTGCTGTATAAATCAATTATCAATGCCTCCATTTGTTTTCTTTTGGCTGGGTAGAGAGAAGACGACGACTTTTTGTAGGCTATTGGTCTTTTTTATATTGTTTTTTAATTTCTGATAATAAATAAGTAGCAAAATTCAAGTGTCATTCGTTAGTTGAGCTCCCGTCGTTTTAGTAAATATATATACATTTATATCCCACTGAAGTCAGATTTGAATGGTTAGGTTACAATAAAAAAAAAATTAAGAGTATGATTGTTGTTGGTTAATAATTTTATTATGTATTAAGTTTAACCATAGTTATAACATGTCTTATTTAAAGACATCCCCGGGTTTAGTCTTTAATTAGTGACCCAACTGACCATTGACCAAAAAGATAATAATGAAGATTAGATAGTAGGAGAAATTTCTATAAAAATATGTTAAGCACTTTTCGATTTCCACAAAAATAAACAAACTTTTTGCATACCCAAGAAAATAATACAAACTAGTACAGTAGTACTTGTTTTGTTTCTAATACTCAGAACTGAAATTTTCATCTTTCCTTTTTTATGGAGATTGTGAAACTTAGAGTTACATATTTAAAATTTTTTTAGATTGTGGAAAAAAAATATATATATATGTTAATTTTCCTAATTCATGTTAGAAATTAGACAAACTAACAAAGGATGTTGGACACTTTGAATATCATTTATTAAAGTGTGATTAAGAGATGTCTTAAAATAGATGCACAGTTTAGATTGTGAGTATTGATAATGATGGTCTTAGGTCCCGAAATTCATATAAACTTGGTACTTTGGTACTCTCTAATTAAGGGTTTTAAGCGATGCATCATCTGTGGTGAGATTCTGAAGTTTTGCTCTGATTGGATTATGTCTACGAGTTTCTAACACATTGATAGTGTTTCATTTTGTTTGATTCGAATTTTGTAGGATCTTTTGGAGAGTCGTCTTTTGGTTGTATAGAGTTAAGGATATCTCGCTAGAATCAACCAAGCTTGGGTATTTGAACGTAGCAGTGGCAGAAGAAGGATAAGAGTTACAGATGATTAAAGAACAGATAGGTGATATGTAAGCTGCAAACAGTTCAAGACACTCTTTGAAAGAAAAACAAGCACAACGGAAGCAAATGGGGGAACCTAATGTTGCTTATTCCATGATGATCACTTGCCTATAATCAGTTTGGCTCTGGCATCTCCTTGGTTGATCTGGAATTGGTCTCCTAATCCAAAGTGAGCCATCAATAGCCACACAAAGCTGATGAGTTCTCCTCCTTTGCTTAGCTGAGCTGCGTGTTCTATAGCGCCACACTTTGTCGCTGCATAAGAAAGCAACTCAACCCACACTTTGCTCACTATTATCCACATCTCTGTGTCGTCCTCCTTGTTCTTGCTTAAACCCTTAAGCTCTTCGGCTAGCATGGCCCCATCAAACAGGACTGACTTGCTTCGGTCACCTTTCACGTCAATAGGCTCAGCTTTTGCTGGAACCGCCACTGATAAAATCGCATTGCTGGCTACCTTTAAAATGTCTTCCTTCTTCGTAGAGTTGTCGGGGATATGCCTCCTCTCGAAGAACCTCTGAGCCTCTTCGCACGTGTCTCTGAATCTTATCTTTCCAATACCCACAACAGCTGACATCAGAGTGGGTTGCATCATTAGGAGGTAAATCATGTAGTCTGATAGGATTTTACTGAACTCACGAGCGCTATGATACGCTTCACTAATTTCTTTTGTTTTGTCTGTTTGGTATAAGAGCTCAGTGGCAATATGCCACACCAGAAGGCTCTGATCATAATCCATCTCCATCACATAGCGTAGAAGTTTCTCTCGTTTTTTTTCTGTTTCTGTGTTACCTTGTATGTCGCGTAGAGTCCAGTCACCTCTAGCTGAAGATACCCTCATGGCACTTTCCGAGTCGTCAGCAAAACGGGATTTGGCTTTCACCTCCCCGAATATGTGTTCCCACAGATCCAGGGTGAGACGATCACTGGTTGTATAGATCACCTCATCGAGCTGAGCTTGGATGCCAAAGAAGTCCATAAAACTTTTTATTGCACGTCCAGGCAGACTAGGAATGTAAAATATGCAGAAGAAGCACAGCCTAATGTACTCTTCATTCAGCTTCTTATATTTCTTGCACCCACGACTTATGTTACCATCAATCCACTTGAAAATCTGATGACCTGTCTGTTTTATGGCTTTAAAGCAGAATGCAATGGCACCCAGAATGTTTCTGAATGTGGATTCAATGTAAAGGATGTTGATAAGCCAGTCAAAGGCGAGGTGTATCACACCCTTGGTATGGTGGATTCGCTTCGGTTTTAAACATAAGCAGTATTCAATCAGGTTGTGTGCATGTACATACTCAGACCACCTGCGATATATGAAACTCGTATCAAGTACTTGATGACACGGTGTTTTGCTGCTGTCAAGAATTTCATGAGATGTTGTTTTCTCTTTACTCTTTTCAGGCTCTTCATGACCTGGTGTTTTGTAAGTAATCTTGCCAGCTCCTTCAGGAGACTCTGTTTTCTTGGTACTCGTGTTTGGCACTTCATCTGACAGTGTTTTCTTGTAGCATTTACCATACTCCTCTGTCTTCAACTCCCGAACCCCAAGAATCCTGTTAAGAATCCAGTTAAGAATGTCGTCGGACAAGGTGTCTTTATCGTCCACCTCATCCTTCATCTTCCTCAATCTGACAAACGTCCAGTCAGATGCACAGAACATGATTAGAGCGATGCAATCCAGAGCTATTCCTCCTAACAGCAATGCGTAAGTAAGGCCAACATCAAATTCCCTATAATCTTTCTTGTTCTTGTATTGAAAGATGCGTAGAGCTGCTATGAGGCATCCCAGGGCAATGAACCTGAAGATGAACCCTATCCAGTTATGCAAGATCTCGGCTTTCGTGTATAGAGCTTCGTAAATAAAGTTGAGCTCAACCTCTAAGATTCTTAAAGCTTCATCTGCGTCCAGAGAGTTAAAGAATCTTTTGCTCTCAGCTCGTTCTTGAAATGTAAAGATGAGATCAACAACAAGACCTTTGAAAATATTGAAGTACTTGTAACCATACTGGAGAATATTGAGTGGCGTGAGGATCTTAGGCCTAACATCAGCATCAGCTTTTGGATCTTTCTCAGGCTCTCCAATCTTGATAATCTGTGTAGGCATCTTCATATCTTTCTTGGCTGCGAATTCCTCCATGAGCTTTGCGTAGTTTGGTCCAGGATCAGGCCGCTGAATCATGGAATCCTTGAACTTGTCAAGACTCGCCAGGTACAAAGCTAATGTCCTCTCGACGTACTTGATCACCCCGGTCGCAAACACAAGCAATATAGGTTTCCAAAGAGCATTGGGTAACGATTGCAGAAGCACGTAAACGGTTGCAACTGACTGAAAGAAAAGACCCAACAAGTGCCTGAGCCAGAGCTCGTTATCTTCAAGGGCAAGGGCAGTGATTGTATCCGGACCACCGAGATGCAAGAGCAAGAAAGGAACCCAGAAAGCGAACAACTCGGGGCTCTTTTTGGGTTCCCCGGGTTCTGGATCATCTCCTTGACTATCTGAGATTTGCCCGGCTGCAAAATTGGCTGACCAATCAGCAAGAAGGTAAGCTGACCAAATGAGAGAGAGTAAAACCTTTTTGGATGAGCGTTTTCTTTGCGGTGCTACGAAAATGAGAAATGTCTGAAGGCTGAGACTGAAGATTAAGGTACTTCGGATACTCCATTGGTCCCATATGTCTTTGATAGGCTTTGGGATTGCGTTCCCTTTGTCCATTATCTTTCACTCTGATTTGCTGAAACAGACAAGCACTGAAGATTTGTTTGGCTGTTTTTTTTCTTTTCTTTTTCTGGTGTGAAGGTTTGAGTTATTCTGTGTGGACAGCCATTGGAGGCTTCTTGGAGACCTTGAGGTTAGTCAATCAATACATGTTCATAGAGCTCCCAAAGTCTCTTTTTTTTCTCTCCTTTTTCTTTTCTGTTTTTTCTTATACGACTTATTTTTGAATTTTGTTTTTTTCTAGTCTGCTGTTAATTAAATTTATTTACTTTATACTTACCTCACTTAAAAAAGTAAAAGTGAAACAATTCAAAGTGGGATAAATAAAGATATGCTATATTGTGAGTGACTACATAATTAATATAATTAATTAAATATACAATTCATCTTATCCTCTTTAGCTATATTAGTTTAAACTTTTTTTTTTCGTGCAAAATTATGTGGCCATTTAAAAAAATATATATATTTAAAATGTTTATCTTGTCTTTTATCCTTTCGTCTCCTTGAAATCAAAAGGTTTACAGAATTATATTATGTTTTAATTGAAAATATAGGGTACGAGGTCATTTCAAATGACCTTAGAAATTGGAATGATCAACAAAGTGATAAAGTTTGCACATGGGAATACTTTTTGTTACTTCTCCAAGAAACTTGTTAAAATAAAGTACAGAAAAATTATACATTTATCTTCACACCTTTTATATTTTATTAAAAAATAGAAATGTTTGAATAATAAATAATTAAATACTAATCGGATTTTTTTTATTTGTTTCTGGGGCAACCAAAAAAATAGAAATTTAATGAAAAATCAGAGTTGGCATAATACAGCTGGATATATATATAAAATAAGCTAATGAAAATGTTACACTTAAGGTCGGATTCAGATATATTTTTTGGTTTTTATAACCATGCTAGTTGCTACAGTTGGGTAATTTTATAATAGAAGCTTTAAGATGTATTATTGCGACGACTTGTATAACGATGACTTTTGGATGTGAGTCTTTTAATTCTATTTATTTTTGTCATTTTAATAAAGACTTTTATTTCTGGTTGTCAAAAGAAAAGGAAAAAAAGACAGAAGATTTTAGTTCTGTTTCCTAGCAATTACATATGTATATTCTCAACGTGGGAACAACGGTGTATTTTTTTTTATTTTTTTTTGAGTTAAAATAGATTGTGTCGTATCTAAAGTTAAATTTTATGTACTCTATATTTATGTGTTATGGTTGAAAGGTAGGTTTTGCATTTAATATAAAAACAGTATTTTATTGATTGATTTTTACATTTATTATATTAAAAAAAACTTAAGACATGTTGTCAAAAATAAAATAAGATATTCTGTTTTAGTTTGTTTTTTTTTTTTGAGAAATGGTCATTTTATATGTTTTCAAAAATGTTTCCTCTTTTTCACAAACAGTGTCATTTTTTACATTTTTCACACAAATTAAGAAAAGAAAATAAATTTTATTTTTACCCTTTATTAATGCACTACATAATATCATTTCTCTAATTAATAAGCTGAAATAATAAGAATAAAAAAGAGATTAAGTCTTTAAAACTGCATTAGAAACACAAAACGACACTATTTGTGAAACAACTTTTAAAACGACACTCTTTGTGAAACGGAAAGAGTATGTTGTTGTTTTCAGTTTTCAGTTATACTGTTTTCAAAATGCTCATTGATGTCCATGCGACTTAGGGTGGTTAGAATCAGAAATCATCTTTATAAAACATTTCAAAACATGTTTTAACCTTTTAAAGTTTATAGATTATTTTATAAATTATAACTATTTATCATAATACATGGTTTGGGGGTTTTTTCAATTATTTACATATTTTTCCTATTTTTATATATATTAAGTTTGTATGTAAACTTATAAAATCAGTTATTTTGTTACCAATTCAATCAAAGGTAAATTTTCAAAACTAGTAAAGCAAATTAGTAATACTTAAACATAGTGTTACCAGGTGTTCAAAAAAAAAAAAACATAGTGTTACTTAAGTAAATTGAATTCACATACCTCTCCCTCTCTCTCCTTTGCCTATCCTTTTTATTTTCCATTCTTTCTTTCTTCGTCTTCTTTCTCTTTTTTTTTTTTTTTTTCCTATTTGTTTGTTTTTGTTTTGCAGCTTCCCTTGAATATGCCTCCTCCAGAATCAGTGCACGGAGGAGTCAAAAAAGAATTCTCAGATCGCTTCCGTGACCAATATAATAGCTGGCTCAATTCTCGCTACGAGAAAGATGTAAAAGATCCCAAACAAAAAAACCATCTTTCTGCTGCAGTTTTGGACAAGAGGAAGGAGAAGAATGAGGATGTGAAGGCTGAGGAGGATCGTGTGGTAACTGACGCTTCACCTCCGGTCTCAACAATCCATGGGTTCGAGAACGAGATCAAGTCATTGAAGCACTTCTTGTTGGATCAAAAGGTTTACAAGGAGTTCAAGAGTCTTGTGATTGTCGGAGAATATGGTGTTGGGAAGACAGCATTATGCAAGAAGATCTTTAATGATGCTGATGTGAAGAGTCTTTATGCCCCGAGGATTTGGGTTTCAATGGATAGAAAAGAGGGTCAATGCAACACTAAAAAGGAGAAACTTGATGGGAAGATATATGTGTTGAAGAAGATCTTGACAGCTCTCGGAGTTAAAGATTCCGTCCTCGAAACTATCCGTACAGATGCAGTTCAAGAAGCTAAGGACAGTGAGGAATTTGCAAGCAATCAACAAGCTGGAGAAATTGATAGAGAGACAGCGGAAGAGAAGGAGCTCTCTGCTCTGCTCTATGCACTTCACTTGAATCTGAGGTGGAAGAAGTATCTGATTGTGTTTGATGATGTGCGAGACGACGACAGCTGGGACGAGATTCTTCAGGACGATGCGGAGAAACTCAAGAAAGAGAGTAAATGGGGAAAGTATCTATCAGATGGATTCCCTAAAGGATCTGGTGGAAGAGTCATATACACGGCCAGGGATGAGAAAAAGACTCTGGCAAAGAAGCTAGTTGCAGAGGAACATGAGATACATCGTCTTTGGCCTCTGACTGATACTGACAGTGTCTGGAACATATATGAAGAAGCGCTCGAAAAGAATGGGGAAAAGCCTCCAAGGAACGACAAGAAATGCATAGATGAGTTGATGAACAAGTCCCGTGGTCTTCCTTTAGCTGCTAGACTGTTGGCCACGCTTCTTCCCGTGTTTCTCGACGATGAAAAACCTGACCAGAACGGTTCAAACCAGGGCACTCCCGAATCAGCCAGCAACACCACACCAGAAGGAACTATTCCACCTCAGCAGGCTTGAGAAGATTGAAGATCCCTTTTCCATTGTGTTTTTCTTTACCTGCTTTGGTTTGTCATGATTTATTGTTTTGTTTTGATGTTTGTCTCTTTTTTTCTTTTCTTTCTGTTGTATCAATAATCCCGAATCTCCGAGTAGTGTTTTCATTGCCACACTATGTTTTCTTTAGTTTAGTGTCTGAAAATGTTGTGCTTTTAACTGAAGACTCGAGACGAGATAGTTCTTTGTGTACCTTCTCTTATATCTGCAGTTTTACAGAATTGCTTACTCTTAGACTCTCTGCTCTTGTAGATAGAGACAATGGACACTTTCCAATTGATTATAATACACTTTTTAGAAATACAAGTATCACGGGATAAGCAAAGCAAACACTCAGGACTCCTTTATTCAAATGTTCACAAACAACAACACTTGAAAGCATACCAGCAAGACATCAATGGGAAATGAGGAAGCAAACACTCAACAACAAAAATAACAACAAAAACAAGAAAGAGGAATGACACAGCGGAAGAAAACTTGGGAAAGCTGAGGAACTCTCAGTTCAGAGTTGCTTAGACTTATTTTTTCTTGCTCCAGATTCCGATGCCATCGGTGGGGCAGAAACTAACTTGAGGACACTGATACTTGTCCAAGAATTCCAGCTTTGGAAAGTACCGCTGTAGGTCTCTCCACTCCACTTTGAGCCTGGGAAGAAATTTCAGGCGTAAAATCTTGACGTTGCACGTTGCCTCCTGGCCCTCCTCTGGTGGTGACGTTCCAAAACCAGTAAGTTTGGTTCCTCCTTTGATGTAGAGTTTTTCCAGATCACCAAGCTTATTGGGTTGAATCCATGTTGGAAGATTCGGATTTGGAAAACACTGCAGGTCCAGTTTCTTCAACTTCAGGGGAAGGCGGTCTGGAACCTTCTCTGTATCCTTCTTTGTAACCTTCTTAGTAGGTGGCGGCTCTTGGAATGTTACCTGTCTAAAGAATTTTTTTACTGCGCTATGAGTTTCCTCTTCCTTGTGGTCATTAATACCTCCCCACGCCACTTTCAACTTTTCCAGACTGTTGAAATTTTGAATATCCCCGAAGAGTTTTGCTACAGTGACATCTTTGTTTATTGAAATACTTAGCTTTCTCAGATTCTTCAAGTGCTCCAGCTCATCCAGCGTGCAGACCGTCTCATCATCAGTAGCATCACTGACCACAAACCCCTTGAGAACCTCCAAGTTATCAAGCCACGACAGCCTCTTGGGCATGCGATCTATCATGTAGCAATCTGTAATGTCCAAGTAGGTAAGCGCCTTGAGTGAATCTATCTTGTCTGGAAGTTTCTCAAGATTGTAGCAAGCCCTGAGGTCCAAGATAATCAGATCACGAAGCTTACAGACAGCATCGTCAAGTCTTTCAATTCTTGAGATCCCTTGAAAACTCAGAAGCCTGAGTCTAGTCATATGCTTCAAGTATTTCATAAGCTCGGGATTCTCTACCTCGATGTGGCGGTTGGCGGTTCTCTCCCACCTTCCCAAATAGAACACCTTGAGCGTCTTATACGTAACTTTTGATAAAGGACCAAACTTCTTCTTCGCTGATGATTGGTCCTCAGAGAACCACTTGAATGTGAAGTCTGGAAACCTCTCAGAAACATTGAAGATGGTTTCAATCAATTCTGCGTCTTTCATTTTGTTAGCTTTTGCTTCAGGTTGACTTGATGAAGCTTCCACAAGGCAGACCTTGTTCAGTCCTGATGTGTTCATGGTTGGCTTCTCCCCTTTGTGATACATATTAAAAAGTTTCATCTCCATTGAGATTCGAACCAGTGAAGCATGCACAAAAGGGGTCATCTTATAGCTGCTTGGCTCCACTTTTCGTTTGTTTATAACAGGTTCAATCAACTTCTTTTCCACAAATTCCTCAAGAACCTTCTTCACAACATTTTCGGGTCTGTCTTCATCAGCCAGAACGCTACCCTTTTTGGGTGGTGTGACTTTATAATTCAGAATGCCCTCCCCGATCCACCAATACATGAGCATCGTTCGGTTCACCTCTTGATTCTCGGGGAACACAGCAAAGCTCAGCAGGTAGATCCTCTTTTCATTATCAAGTTGCTCAAATTTGGCTTGCACATCTCTAAAAACCGCAAGGCTTTTGAGATCTTCTTCATTTGCATGGATGCCTGGCAAGCAAACAATGGGTTTCCCGTGATTATTCCCATTGCCATCATCTGAATCCGTTCCTTTGTTTTTCTTACTCTTGTTGGGCAACAAGGGTACTTGACACATCAAGTTAAAGATCTTCTTGTTGACTTTCTCCAAATCATTCTTGTTTCCTTCAGTCAACTTCTTATTAGTGGAATTTATCTTTTCCACTTGTTTGAGCAGGTTGTCAAGTGGACCAATCTGTTTGCTCACCTCGACTGCAACCTCTTCGTTGAGTTCTTGTAGCTTACGCACGTCATCCTTTAGGAGACGGAGATTACGTTTCAGCTTAGGAATCGCAGTCTCGGATTCTCCCTGGTTTAAACTAGTTTTCAAACTTTTTGATGATTCCAGACCCGAGGCCTGGCTAGCAGCACTAGGGTTGACAGGGGCAGTGTTGGACCTATTCATCCTTTTCTCCGCTGGTGGAGTTGGAAAACGACTATGCAAAGTTTCCACGATTTTAAGGATCGTCCGGATTGACTCTCCTAGTTCATCTTCTGCTTTCTTCTCCTCCTTCTTTGAATTTTCATTCCTCTCCGGCGGCGGCGGGGTGTTGTCCGTAGCCATGACACACCTTAAGTCGTCAAGACTCTTCTCTCAAATGGAAACACACGATCTGCAAATCTTTAAACAAATTAACAAACCAAAATGTGTTATATAACAAATGGATCAATCAATCATCACCCAACTCAAACTCCTAATTCTCTCTCTCTCTCTCTTTCAACTTAAGCTATCAAAACGAAATCGAACCAGCAAAAGCAAAGATTAGTAATCAACCTAGAGGTACTTAGGAAAGTTCAAATTTTTCTACAGAAAAGATTTTGCCTTTACCCAAAGTTTCCATTTTTTTCAGAGAAGAAGAGAGTTCGTACCTGTTTCTCCGGAGAAGAAGCGACTCTCGGACTCTGCTCTGAGTCGTCTCTCCCCTTTACAACTTCAGTTTATTGCCAAATAGGCAAATTATTATTGATGAGACAAGAGACGACTTAAAAAAAATCAAAAAATTCACAGTTTTATAAACTTCTCTGTGTGTTTATTTTTTTTTTACTTTTGTGACAATCATTTTTTTAACAAATGAACAACATATATTTATTACGAATAAGTTTACAATTTTGAGAAGTCATTGGATTCCATATTTGGATAAACTTTAAAATTTTTGTTTATTTCATTTATGCAAAAAAAAAAAAAAATTGTGTTCTATGATCATTATGCAGTATATGTTATGTGGTTGAATTGTGTTTAGGTAGATATTAATTAAAAAAATAATTGAAATAATTTTGTAGTTTCTGTGTAAGATAATTTTTTATTAAGTGAATATTTTCTTTCAATGAATGAATTATTAGTTAAGGATTTCTTCAAAATATCACACTTTTAAGTTTTTTCCTAAAGATACTATAAAAACTTATTTTCTAAAAATACCGCAAAATTTTATTTTGCCAAAAATACTATAAACATAAACACTGATTTTCAAAGATGTACAATAGTAAATAATTGTGCATGTAATCTTGTATATGTCTATTGTAGATATTTGTGGTGCATATAAAAGTTGGTCACATAATCGTCATTAAAAAATAAACAAAAATAAGATTTATTAGTTGTTAATTAAGGGGTTCATTTGGAATATGAGAAAACTAAAATATATCATCAAATGAAAATTTTATCGATGAAAATAAAATATTTGATTACTCCTCCAAAGATATCATAGAATTACTATCACAGTGAACTACTCAGTTCATAAATCATAGCATATCGTAGTAGTTTTAGAAAAAATACAGCATATGTACCAACAATCAACTGTAATTATTATACAGTAATAACAAATTACAAATCTACTGTAGAAGCATTTAGTCATCTTTTAAAAAAAAACCATCTGATCCCACTCTCTAAATTTGGACAGAATTTACAAATATAGCAATTATTATAATTGGCCAAAGCAAAAACTTGGATGCATGATGAATCTGCTCCATCAATTTGCTTGCTCTGGCCTCTTTGCATTGGCTACAAAACTAATAAACTTCAACTTCTCTTTGTTTGTCACTTGTCATTACTCCTCACAAGTCACACTATGGCAATATTTTTTTCATTCATCATGACCTCTCTCTCACCGATCCTTCATTGTTCTGAGGATATTGTCACTTGGATTAGATCGGTATCTAGTAATTCCAAACTCATGGCAATGCACATATTAATTCTTCAAACTCTCGTATATTTGCACTCATTCAGAATTGAGTCGATACTCTTGCTTCACTTGGGTCTTATGTTTTTTTTTTTTTTTATCTCATATCTTTATTTGATTTTTTTATATATATAGTAAGTTGCAAATGGAAAAATGAAGAAAAGGTTTATAATTAAAAGAAAAGAAAAACTATTGAAATGTGAATAAATAAAGAAAAAGGATTAGAGTGACTTTTACATTTCATGGAAGACTTGGTGAAATGCATTAAAGAAAGACCAATGAGAATGGGAAACAAAGACTATATGATCGAGACATGTAGATATGTAACGATGTAAATGCCAGCATTGGCTCTTACATTGTCAATAGCGAAAACTATATAAAAATGACACTAGTAGTGCTAGGCGCTATCGTCTATGTCTTCCATTTCACACGTGATATTCATAAATCATAAGTATGGGCTTTAATTATGAGTTAATTATATCATAGTTTAAAGGGTTTTAACTATGGTTAAGAGGAATCCTCCTCGTTTATAAAATTATTATTGCAAGTGTGAGCCAATAATTTCTAGATAGCGTTGAGTCATTGTCATTGTCTTTGTCTAAATATATTAGAGACAAATTTTAGTAGAGCCCATGATAATATATATTACGATTTTCCTTCTGCAAATTTTTCATTTTACAATTTTTTTTGGTCGTTGTTGTTTATATTATATTAAATCATATTATGCATAAAACTTCTGAATTATAGAAAGTATGTATTACCAGTTGTCAAAAAACAAGTATAGTCTTAAGTTTTAACCATGTAAAGACTCATTTTTTTAAGTACCCCAATTATCATTATACCATGGTTGGCATAGACATTTATTTGGAAAAAGGAAAACATATATATATATATATATATATTATAAGATACCATTAAACTAAGTATATTTCCAAAAGTTCTATGACTAATTTTTTTTCAAATACAACCCTTTTCAGTTTAAAATTACCAAAAATACACAAAATGATTTTTAGGAGTTTATATTTTATAATGCAAATTTTTTTTTTTGGGTTTAGTATTTTAGTTTACGGGTTTATGATTTATTTTTTTAGGTTAAGGATATAGTTTTAAATTTTATATTTGTTTTTTTGGAACAACAAATTTAGAGTTTGGTTTTAGTTTTATTGTATATCTAAAAATTTTCTTATAGTGATTTTTGAGAACTGACCAAACAAAAAAAGTTATTTTGTCCTATTCCTATCAAAAATGGTCGCGATAAACGCCACGTAAAATAGACCATGCACGTCGAAAAAATTGTTGTTTAGGAAGACGAAGACCTTTAAGTGCACAAAAAGAAATGGCACTTGTCTGAAATTCTTTTAATATATTTTGAAAAGGATTAATAAAAAAATGTATTCAAAGTTAATTATACTGTACGTTTTGGTTAAATTTTTGCGGATTTTACCAACAGCAACAAAATTGTTATGGTAGGTTATGTATAAACAATAAATATGGATTTCATCAAAGATATATTCGTGAACTTATGACTTTTCATATCAGGGAACTCTTTGGTGAGTGCAAAGAAAGACCAACAAGAGAGAAATAATTTAAAGAAAGACCTGCAAATTTTTAAATTGTTATCAGTGAGCTGTGCCTGTACGTACCACTACAACTGGGCGATCGAGACATGTAAATGCCAGCATATATAGCTCATTCATTTCAAATAGCCGAAACACTATAAAGTCTATATCAACAACATTGTCAGTGAAAATAAATATTACAAAATTTACAGGTGTGAAGATGAACTTCTAATTTGCACATGCAAGTAACATTGACTTATATATGTCTCTTTGAGAAAACAAATATATTCAGCAAAGTCAATGAGTATTATTAAATTAAACTGTTTATCATAATGTAACTTAATTATAAGCTAACTAAATTAGCTGTATGGTTGACATTGAGTTAGATAGTTAATGCGTTTGATAATCTACAGTTGTGTAGCGTAGATCATGTAGCTTAAACGTGGGTTATCATCACTCATCGACAACATTATATTTATAATCGTCTAATTAGGAAGACTTTTAAGTGTATGTTGACAAATCAACATCACATAATCTTAATTGTATATAACAGTTGGCAGACAATATTTTTTTTTATAGATAGACTTTAAATTTAAGCATGAACGAATTGTTGTGATTACTAAAAGAAACTTGTTTTCTAGATAGAGTTGTTTATTTGCGTGACTTTTCATTGCAATTTGTAGTAATTTAAGACTAAGCTCATTTGAGTCCATTAAAAAAAATGGCATTTGTCTTTGAATGATTTCAAAAAGACGATCGATAATAAGAAAAAAAAAATGTTGAATTAGTTACTTTTTGTTATAGACTTTATTTATTGATAATTTGAGTGCAACAAAAATGGCAATATATACTATTAGTCCATTATCCATTCATAATATTGGATGGGCGGATTTTATTTATTAATACTTTTAAAGAATGTAATATATATAATTCTGTTTCAAAAAAAAAAATGTATTTAATATAAATTACTAGAAAGTATCAAAATTTTCATGTCTCTTGCATCTAATAATCCCATAATCTACTTACATAATATATATGTAGTGTTGGTAACACAAAACAGTGCAATTTTTTAGTAGTACAAAAAATGATAACCGGTACATTATATGGTTGAAATAGAAAAAGATAGAGTTACAATTTTTATTTTTAATACTATTGTTTTTTATATAACTCAAGATAAATTCTAGGTTTACAGAGGAGTTTAGACTAATCTTTAAGGAGATGTAACGAATGGTTAGATCTTCTCTTCGGGTATTTAAATGGGTTGTAAGTAAATGTTTATATCCGTAAACCAATAACACACTTGTAAAAGTCGTGATATCATGATCTAAGGTCTACACAATACATAATACACAATACTCTGTCTTCACATGCAAGCCTTGAATTGTTCAGATTATTGTAGTTGCACGACTTTTGATTATATAGTTGGTAGTAGTAAAATAAATAAGGACCCGAGAGGATTAATAAAAAAATTATAATAAAATGGAATCCCATGTACATTTATTAAATAAACATGAACTACGGGTAGTTATTCGTAAAATTTTTAATAAAATGAAACAAAAACACCCTAAAATAATTAACATGTTGGGACAAAAGGAGTATATCTTTAACTATTTGCAGCGAAACCCTAAACTAATGAACCTTTTCTAAAACATCCTATATAGAAAGAAAAAAAGCTCTTAAACATCTTATAATACTCCTTTTATAATTTATATTATCAATTCAAGGCAAATTATATAACTCTTCTTGAAAGGGAATAATTTGAAGATTACACTTTAAATGGACTATTAGGAGTTAGCACCATGTAATGGGCCTATGACATTATATCTAAAGACTATAATGATCTAGTTATATATAACAACTTTATTCCATTTTATCTCTAATTCTGTATTATGAGAGTGGAAAGTTGTGATTAGGATATACATATGTTTTCATTTTCATCAGAATTTTCTGTTAGTCTCAATTTTATTTTCCTAAAACCCATTTGTATTGTCTGGCCCAAATACTAAACACATAAGCTATAAAAGCCTTACATATATTTATTTTTACCAAAAGAAAAAAAAAAAGTTATTTAAAAATGACATTCGCTTTCTATATGACATTATTGATGGCCCCAAATAATTAAATATACATTTTTAATGTTGCATTGACTACACCCAAATCCTATATTTCATTTATGTCAATGGTTACAGATAATATGAGTGATTAATATTATAAATTAAGTTGAGGTTAACTGTTTCATAATGATCTATACTTGGAGGAGGAGAAGACCTTGTTTATGCCAAAAGGCACATGGAAACATTAAATTTGTTCTGATTATTGAGTTTTTAATAAAAATTTCAAGGTGACATAACTAGCTCGTTTTAAATAATTAACTTGTCATCTAATAATAGTGAGAATATATTTCATTATAAAGAGAACTACTATATGAAAAGGCTGAATAACAAATAAATACCCCAGTCGTGAATACTTATTATCACAATATTTTGACAAGTACCAGTAGTTAATGTAATTATGTTTTAAGAAAAATTAGAGGAAATAACACGAATATATACACTATCGTTCAAAAGGAGTTCCTAAGATTTGTTTTTGGTATATTCTAATTTTTAATATCGTGCTAGCTACTTAGGAAAAATGTGAAATTTGCTAGTACAAATATTTCTCTTACATGATATTATGAAATAATAATTACTTTATATATTGGTTTAGTTGGGAAGACTTTTGAAATGCAACAAAGTCTTCAAAATGATTTACTCGTTTAAAATATGAAATATGATACATTATGAATCATCACCATTTTTATCCATTTATATGATAGTCACGTACTCACGTCGACATGTAGTGACAAAAAATATATAATATTCATGTCTTACTTCCAATTTCCATTTCACTATGTAATTACAGTATTAAATTATTAATAATATAATTTACTTAACCTTTATTCATTATGCTTGGAAAGCTTGCAATGCCGTACACATTATAGAAGTTTTCTTTAATTTTAGTTTAAATATATTATAGAGCTTTAAAATGACACATTAATCAAAGAGTATAACGTGAATTCTAGCTGTTTAAACTTGCACGACTTTTGACTGTATATAAAAAAAGACCAACTCGTTTTAAATTATTGAAGTCATTTACTAATTCTCTCTACATCGACCTTTCCTTCGATCACTTGACAACAAATAATTGAAAGCAAAGGATAAAGAAATAGCCAAAACAATAAACAAAGACCCAAAAACAAATCAATGGACTCTTTTATTGCAACTTGCAAACAAAACAAAATCAATTCTAGTATAGTTGGCTCTTATCTGAGATATTCATACTTCATAGATTATGTGAAAGCTGGATATTTTTACCATTTAACATTTCTATAATGATCACTCAAAGTCTCAAACAACCTTTGTCATTTCTTTGAGTGGCCAAATTAGAAGCCCTAGCCATTTCAACTTTTAATATAGAGAACTCATGATACTCTTCATTTTTAGATCATCACCATATCATAGATTATGTGAAAGCTGGATCATTACTGAAATTGTAGCCAGATCACTCAAAGTCTCAAAACCTTTGTCATTTTTTTTTTGGCTTAAGTAGAAGCCCTAGTCATTCAATTTTTAAGGGTAATTAGGAAAGAATCCATAATACTCGCTATTTTTCTTAATTTTGCATTGTAAATAAATAAAAACATATTTAGATCATCAATTCAAATATCAATTTTTTTCTTGTATTTTTGTTTTATAATACATTTATATATGATCCTAATAGTCTCTTTCACCTTTTTCGAATATATTACATGTTTTCATACTCTCGTTCAACTAAATTATTTTGATGTTACAATAATTCTAATGTTCTCATTGTTTTTAATTTTCTTTGGGACTATGATATTTTATTAATTTATCTATAAATTACTATTTATTTTTTATAGCTTAAATTAGTAATTATTAACTTAAAGATATATTTTTTTTAATAATGGAAAATTTAAAATTTAAGAAGTAAGAAAAGAAAAGATTTGAAATTGTAAAATACATAGAAAAATAATTGGAAAATAATTTAGAAAATAAAGTACAAATATTACAGATGAATTAACATATACTAACCATATGCATAAATAAAAATTTATAATTCATGAACTCAATTGTCTAAATTAAAAATTCATAATACTATCAAAATGAAAATGATGCACATTTAGAAATCGAAAACTTTCAAAAAAATTTGGTTATTCTTATGATATATTTATAACTATACTATAACACTATATTAAAAACATAACTTTTGAGAAATACCCCTTTTGGTGTACCCATTTTTAAAAATACCCTCTTTATCTATCTATTTTCAAAAATACCCATGTTTAAATATGAAAATTAGAAAGTTTTATATGGTTTATAAGATACTTCTATATAATAACTACTACTTAGAGATTCGATACAAATATTTTATAATGTTTTAAAAGGTTTTAAATCGTTTTACAAGTTTTATAAGGTTTTTAAATGGTTTTTAAAAAGGTTTATAAAGTTTTTTAAAAGTTTTTATAAGTTATTTTACGCTATTTATGAAAGATATATAAAAATTTTATACATATATAGGTAATTTGTGTATATATTTATAAATTTATACATATATTTGGATAAATTTCAACATTTTTAGTAGTTTTTTTGATAAAGTATGAAATAGGGGTATTTTTTAAAAAATTGTATTTAAAAAGAAGTATTTTTGAAATCCTTATTTTATGGGAATGAGGTCTAACAAAATTCAGTTTAAAGAAGGAAAAAAAAGCCAAATTATTAACAAAATCCCAAAATGCTACTATTTTTTTCTTACCATTTCCTTATGATTTTTAGAATCTTTACTTTTTGTTTTTGCAAATTACAAAAACCAAAATATAAAATATAAAAACCATAATCTAAAAACCACTTATCAACTACTCTTATACAAGTTTAAAAAAACTTACAAAATTATTGTTATTCGAACGATCACAAAATTTATTAAATATATATAGGAAATAATTGGAAACTGACGTAAAAGAGGGAGAGAGATGAAGAGAGAAAGAAGAAAAGGGAGAGAGAGTGAGAGATGATGATATGAGCGACGTTGACTTCGCTTTGTAGAGAAGGCAAAGGGCTCGACGGCGGAAACTAAACTCTCCGGCCAACCTAAAATCTAATCATGCCGGTGACGTTTTCTGGTTAGTGTTCTTCTTTTGCTTTTGCCAATTTTCTTATGAAATCATATGATTCCGTAGAAGAGCTGTTCCTGTACGAGTCTTACTTCACCATCCGAATTGATTTGTGTCTTCTTTGCTTACTTATACCCAAATGTTTCTCTGATAGTTAAAAGTATACAGAAAGAAAATGGAGATTTAGGATTACTGTTTGATTTTGAGTTTGGGAAACAATTTGGGTTTTTTTTTTTTTTTTTGTTACTTGAAGCAAGAAGCTCTAATGCAGTTTGATTTTCTCAGATGCGGGTGATCCAGAACTGCATCATGCTACGAATGATGAGACATTGCGAAAAAACATAGTGGAAGTTCTGAAAAAAGATGGTCCTCAGAGAGTGTTGCTGGCTGGTAGAGCTGGAATAGGGAAGACGAGGCTGGCAAATTTGGTGGCCGAGCATGTCACCACGACTGGGATTTGCTTTCTGACACTCTGCTTGCATCTTAACAGGAAGTTCAAGGATGAACGGTCGCTTTATGAGAACATAGCTTCCCAGTTATGTGTTTACTCCGATTTTGAAGAGACTGAAGTGGATGACAGAGATGAGGATGAGGAGGAGGAGAAGGAACTGCAAGTCTCTGATTTGAAGAAGAAGATACTTGACGAAATTGTAAAGCAAAGAAAGGAGATTGACAAAAGAATCGCTGATAAGAGATTGGAGGACGCTGAAAAGGCCAAGGAGGCTGCAAGCAAGAATACGTCTAGAAAAAAGGATAAAACAGCTGAAGTAGAGACGAAGCCGAAAGCTGAAGATGAGAAGAAAGATGCGTCATTTACAGGAAAGCCTTTTCTTCTTTTGATTCTTGATGATGAAGGAAACCAAACCAACCAAACCAGTGAAGAGGTGGTGATGAAAGACATGCAACTTTGGAAGATTCTTGATGATATTCTTGAAGATTCCAATCGTCTCAAAATTCTTGTTACAAAAGGAGGCGAGGAGCCTACAAAGGCTGGTGGCGACGCAAAGAGTGAGAATGGAAGTGAAGAGAAAGAGGGAGCAAAGAGTGGGAATGGAAGTGAAGAACAAGAGGGAGCAAAGAGTGAGAATGGAAGTGAAGAGAAAGAAGGAGCAGAAAGTGAGG